TCAGCCTTCCCAACTTTAAGTACAGCCTCTATTTTATCTCCTCTACAATAGTCTATCCAGACTAGGTGCTAGAGCTGTTTTTGAATCAATATTAACCAAGTATTTAGGGCAAACATGTAACATCGTAAACAACAGCCCACTGTTTGCAAGTGTCTCATTTTTTTATAGCTGTTTCAATACTTCTGATTAAATCAATTAGACTCAAATGTGTTTGTTGTTCCTTAACACTTGTGATATCTTTCTCCTGCCCTCAAGCCTGCCTTCTTTCTCTCTCGGGGGCTGGGTCTCTTTATCTTGTCCAGTCTGGAAAGTTTCTGATCAGCACAAAAGCTTTGCCTTGTCTCTGACTTGAGCCAATGTGTCTCCCTCCTTCAGCAACCAGATGGTCTCCCACTCCCTAGGGGCTCACTATATTAATTATGTTAAGCTTAGTGTGGACACCTGACTGGCTCAGCCCATGGCACCTCAGAATTCCTGAGCTCAAAATAACCAACAGCTGAAGCCTCCCAAGTAGCTGGGATTACAGGTATGTGCCACAAGGCCCAGCTTCGTGATCATCTTTTAACTAAGGCCTACCAATTTTGACAAGAAAGGAAAACTGAAAGGAGAGAAGAATGGAACTATATAATTAGGACTAGAGCAGGCTAGGATACAGGAAGCTGTTATGATAGATTCTTAGAAAGTACCTCAAATATTTCAAACAATAAATCCTAAATATGAGAATAAAGAAACATTTTTCGTGTGTGCACATGTGCGCACACGCATATGTGTGTGTTTAGTAAGTCTAATTTAAGAAAACAGTGGCATTCTTCCCTAAATTTCTTTGTGATTTCTGCTGCTAAAGAGAAATGAAAATTAAATCCACCAAAGAGGACCATCTAGTGTAGAACATGAAAACTGCATATTATAATTTGTAAGTTTGGAATCGCTAAGGAACTTAGCCCCCTAACATTATAGTTGGGGAAACTGAGGCACTAAAAGGTCACAGCATTTGAAGTGAATGGAGATCCACCCATCACCACCTGAAAGAGATCCCAGAAGGAAAACTTACAGGCACATCATAGCCAAGTTTGTTAAGGACAAAATATTGGAAGCAACAATAAAAAAAAATTAAATATAACAGAGTTACAATAAGAATTACAGAAGACCTAGCAGCTACTACATTGAAGTACTGTAGGTCTTGGAATACTATATTCTGTAGAGCAAAAGAGCTAGGGTCATGACCAAGGTACATTTACCCAGCAAAGTTAAGTATAATCCTGAATGGGAAAAAAAAAAGGGGGGGCATAAGAACTCAAAGACTTTCAGTTTTTTTGTGACAAACACCCTAGAACTTGAGGGAAAATTTGACATATAAGAAATACAAGGTAAACATTAAAAAAAAATTATGACTCAACAAAGTCAAACTGTTTACTTTGTACACATGAAAATATTAGCAACACTCTTATGATTGTCATTATTTGGGTAGTTTGAAAGAAAAATGTGGGTGGAGCTGGGTATGATGGGGTGATTCTAAGAAAATAAAACCGTGTAGGGAGAGATAAAAAAGAGTAATTATCTCATGCAAATAAGGCATAAAAGGAAAAACTGATACAGAAGACACTAGTAGGGGGGAAGACGGGTAGCGCTGGAACCTTACTTTCATTGGAAACAGGTTAAAGAGGGAACAACATATTTATATAAAAGGGTATAAAAATCTTCTAAATTCAGAGAGAAATAAGAGGGCAAGAGGATAGCATGGCAGGGTGAGAGGATAAAAGGAGGGACTCTTAGAGGGGTGGGTAGGCTAAAGAATAGTAGGCAAGCTTATAGACAGAAGTAAAGCAGAGCAGTGAGAAGGATACCGAGGAAAAATTGGAAGGAGGAAAATACACAAGTAATTGTAGCTTAGAATGTGAATGGGACAAATTTACCCATAAAACAGAGACAGCAGATTAACAATTTGAATCCAACAATATGTTGCTTTCAGGAAACATAAAAATGAGATGCACGTAACGATAAAATAAAAGGCAGGAGGAGAATTTAGTATGTAAAAAAGGCAGGGATAATAACCATGACCTCAGACAAAGTTAAAGTTAAAAAAGATTTAATCAAAAATGAAAAATAGAGAAACTACACTATGTCAGCCATAGTATTCAATATTGTTTTAGACCATTTAAAATACCTAGACAGTATAAAATATCTGAGTGTGTCCTGCCAAAACAGACACAGGAACTATATAAGCAAAAAACATTAAACACTTTAAGCTGATATAATCTTTAAAATGACAATTTTACCTAATCTATTCAATATCATCCCAACTGAAGTACTAAAAAAAATTATTTTACTGAGTTAGAATAAAAAATAACAACATTCATTTGGAAGAGCAAAAGGTCACAAACTTCAAAGAAACCAGGGAAAAAAGATATAAAGAAAGTAGATTTGGCAGTATTAGACCTTAAACTATATTATAAGTTGAGAACATTGCTGAAGTGTAAAAAGGATAATTTCGATTATTTTAAATTAAAACTTTCTTGTATAAATAAAACTTACATAGCCAAGAACAGAAGTAATGAAGATGATTAGGAAAAAACTTTTATAGACAATGCCTCAGATACGATGTGACCAGGTTGAAATATTGCTGTGGTGTAGTAAATGATGAGCTGGTTGATTTAGAAAAAACAGAAAAGACTTGGACTTACACAGGAAGATGCTATCACTTTCAGAGAAATAGATGATAGGAGGAAATAAGCCTAGTATGGTATTTCATATATGTGTATGACTGTATATGCATATATATATATATGTATGTCTGATTATAAATATCTATGTACATATATCCGCATTGAATTGTATCCTTCTTTGGGGGGAAGAATAAAGTAAAAAGTACACAGCAGAGAACAAAAAAAAAATCAACAAGGAAGCAAAAAAGAAAAGCTGAGCAGGTTTGAAAACAATGTGTAGTATTTATTATATAGGTTTTCTTGAACTGGAAATTTATTCTTTTATATTGAATCCTCTCTTATTATCTGCTGTGTACATGGCAATGTTTTTTTTTCTTCTCATTTTGTATTTAAGTTTAAAATAAAAAAATTTTACAAAAATAAAGGAAATAAAAGGAGAATATTAAAGTGAAAGTTATTTATCACAGAAAGCAAGTTTTCATACAAAGGTTGTTTACTACATCTTTAATAATTTGGAATCATTCAATAAATGCTTGATAAATAGATAATGGGCAGCTAGGTGGCTCAGTGGATAGAATGCCAGGCTTGGACTCAGAAAGATTCATCTTCCTGAGTTCCAATCTGGCTTCAGATACTTAAGAGCTGTGTGACTCTGGGCAAGTCGAACTTGGGTTGCACTTAACCCTATCTGCCTCAGTTTCTCATCTATAAAAAAAAAAAAGAGCTGGAGAAGAAAATGACAAACCACTACTCCAGTATCTCTGCCAAGAAATCCCCTAATGGGGTCATGAAGAGTCAAACCCAACTGAAAAATAACTGAAGAGAAGAAAGCTCATGCACGTGGTATAGTGGAACATCCAGTGAGTTGTGAGACAGAAGACCTATTGTAGAAAGGAACTTTAGTTCAACCTTTTCATTTTATAAATGAGGAAAAAGAGGCCTAAAAGGGTTAAGTGACTTTCCCAAAGTTATATAGCTAGTAAATAGCAGATAGAAGATTCACACCCAGATATTCTAGCTCCAAATTGAGTATTCTTTCTACCACCCATAGTATGGTATCTACATAGCTACACGATTAACAATGACTTAATTAAAGGTACTTTATTCCCTAAATCCATTTCTCACATCAATCATACACCATCAAACAATACTGTCTCTGATGGGACAGTAATCTGAAATTGATTTTTATTTACTGGAAGTACTATGAAGTATTTGAAATGGGGTATCATCTAACTTTGTAAAAGTACTCTGAAATTTACAAGTATTCAAAAGTAGTTTAGAAAGAAGACAGTTTCTTAACCAACTAAATATAATTCATCTAAAAATTTAATAAGTCATATATCTTAGGGGTTTTTAAGGGCAGTATTATTCCAACAATGTAAAGCACCACTTTGGTTTCTCTGACATCTCCACGTACTTTATTTTTGAAGTCATGAGTGGTGGGAAAATAAGTTCTGACCCCAAATTACATAAAAAATGAGTCCATGTTTACAATGAGTCTCAAAGGAATGACAATTCCAGAAATCAAGAAGAAAAAGTACTGAAAAAATCTTAAAGTGCTGCATCATGTCTTCCCCTAGATTCCTTGACCAACAGATTCTCTATCATTTTAGTAAGGATCTTAATACAAATGCTAAATTAAAAGTGAAAATCCAAAACCTATTGCAGATAGGCTTTGATATGGTATAACTGGCTACCCAATGTATCTGGTTTCATCAGTCCTCTCCAGACTTCATTCCTTCACTCCACTTCTCTACAATGCCAGATTCATGCTCCTCAACATTCATGTTCATTCTACCCCTGGACTTCTTTCTTTTCTTGGAAATACACTCTGCCCCTGTCTCCTCCTGACTGGGTGGTTCCTCCAGGATGTACATTTTAAGGAAAGGCACCACGGAAAATAAGGCCTTCAGCCTATATTCCAGATTCATTTTTATTTTTCCTAATGCAGCCTCCCTTTCTTTTATGTATTAGTTTCCCCCATTAGAATGTAAACTCTCTGGAACTAGGGATTATCTTTCTTTCTGCTTGTATTTGTATTTCCAGCACTTAGCGCAGTCCCTGGCACATGGTAAAGTGCTTAAAAAATGTTAACTGACTTGATTTGACATTACTGAAAAATCCTATGATTCCTGAAACAAACAAAAAAATCACAGAAATATTCTATTGCTAAGTGTACAATTCCCATATTAAAATTATCAAAATCTTATTAGAAGTTACCACAGCTAATGTTTAAGCCATTCATCAAATGGAGACTATACGTCATTAGCTACTTTCTTAACTCTTATTTTCTGTCCTGTAGTTGCCTTACTTAGAAATGATTTATCACAAACTCACCGTTAAGTGACCTTCATGATGATCAGGAAAATGAATGAATAAGTACTCTGTAGCTACCAACTGCATTATGGAGTCACCCAGAAATTCCATTCTCTGATTATGGCCTCTGAAAAATGAAACATCGTACAAAAAACATCAATAAGCACTTGCTATGAAAATAAAGATAAGAGATAATTTAAGAGTAAAAATGTACCTAGTCTATTTTGAAGCATAAATTGATAGTTATTAATTAAAAGAAAATTATGTTCTAGAATTTCCTAATTGAGAAAAGAATGAACTCTGTCTTTTTCTCTAGTAGTAGCTGACATCTGGAATGGAAATTTGTAAAAAAGAGAACAAACAAAACTATTTTAAAATTTAGCCAAATTCTAAAATACAGACCTGAAAATAATGTAGCTAGAATAAAAGTTCTTAACGTTTTTTGTGTCATAGACCCCTCACTGGCAATCTGGAGAAGCCTATGGATCCTTTCTGACAATAATTTTTTAAAGGAATAAAATAAAGCATGTAGAATTATAAAAGAAGTCAGTTATAGTAAAATACAGTTATTTAAAAAAAAGTCACACAAGTTCACAGATCCCAGGTTAAGAACCCCTCAGCTAAAGGAGGTGACCACTTACTTGAGAAATATACAAGAATGCAAATAAAATTTGGTGTCAAAGTTAAAACTAAGAGTAATTAAGCACATCAATTTCTTAGTCAATCATTCATTAGAATAGTTCTTAAAAATCCAGACTCTAGCTCAAAGTTAATACAGAAATCCATTAAAACAAATAAAACTTCACACTTTTTTTTTTGGTGAGGCAATTGGGGTTAAGTGACTTGCCCAAGGTCATACAGCTAGTAAATGTTAAGTGTCTGAGGCTGGATTTGAACTCAGGTCCTCCTGACTCCAAGGCCAGAGCTCTATTCACTGCGCCCCCTAGCTGCCCCTAAAACTTCACACTCTGAAGGGAGAATTACACATATAATTTTAAAAAATATTCCAAAATCTGCTTACTCCCTTTAAATATCTCAAATTCTGATGGTTATACATTGATTTAGCCTTTAATGAAATTTCAGATATGTTCTACCCTTTTACTAAAAATGAACAGATCAGAAAACAAAGTGACAAGTAAACTACATCAGTCAGGACATTTCACATGGTAACAGTCTGATGCTGCTCAGTGAGCCTTATGGTATACTTTGTAATTTATTCAAAGGAAATACGCAAAGGCTGAAGTCTACATTATCTTACTAGGCCTGCTAATGCTACTCTCCACTGAAAGGCTACTTTCAACTCACAGAGTCAGATGATTAAATCCCACAGTTCTCAATGTAAATGCTCTTGCCAGAAGTCGAACATGAGTAAAAATTACTCCAATAGCTTCCTCGAACTCTGTAAGCTTCTGTAGTACTGGAGAGGTTTCAATAAGTTGTCGATCAGTATTCGGCTCTTGTAGCTTCAGGAAAAAACAAAACAAAACAAGATACATTATATAAACTGTAGAGCATTAAAGTGTTTTGCTTGCTACTCAATCATACCTACTGGTTCCAAAAAACAAAACTTCTTTTAGAATAATTTGTATGTGTAAATCAAGCAGAAATATTTGAAATCTAAAAAAAATTTTAATTCTTCCCCACTATCCCTCAAATCTTTATTTAATAATAAGAATGAACAGATCTAGTATTTAAGAAGGTTCTACGGTAGTACTTTTCAATTCCTTACCATATTACGGGACCAAGTACTATACAAAGGGTACTCAAAATCCCAAGTGTTGTACTGGCCCTTCTGAGTAGGTAGGGTGCATAACTGCATCAATGCACTGGTCCAAGAGCAGCAGGAAGATACCATGTGACTTGCCTTTGGTAACCACTGTAGGTCACTTAACTACTCTGGGCCTCAGTGTTCTCATCTATAAAATGAAGAAGTTTGACCAAAGGATCTCTAAAACTTCTCCCAACCCTGTTATTCTACAAATAACAAGTCTCTTTCTTAGTGACCACATATCCTTGGGGAACTGAAAAAGCCTAGACCCTGCTCACTCTAAAGAGTACTAGTATTTTGTATTCAGATAGAAATCAGTTCTAACAGCGAACCTTCACCATCTGATGAAGAGAAAATATAAAAATCAAAATCAAGATTCAAGTTTTTGCCTAATCCATGTCATGTTGGCATCATTCATCCTTTGTCACTGAAATGTTTTTCAAGTACTCTGAATCACTGATAGTTATTACAAAGTCTATGTGTACCTGTGTGTGCAAAATAAACAGGAGCTAGTTTCATGAGAAGCTTTACAACAATAACCAGCATTAATCCAGAATGCTTAGAAATTTTTAATTAGATTATGTGTATACCAAAACAACAACAAAAAAAATCAAAACATCAAAGATTCTAAAAATCGAAGTAGGAAAGATGTACTTTTTATAAACAACACCAGAAGGTCCTACAGATCTCCAATAAAAGTCATTATACTACCTTATGATTTTAATTTAGCAATAATCTTTCAGCACCTAAGTTAAAGACTTGACTTTCTCAGATACAAATTAGGTAAAATTTAATCTTAAATTTGATTTACTTATTTTTCCATAAAACATATTTTCCTTATTCTCTTATCCTATACAGCAGGCAAACTGGCATCGAAATGATGTTTTAATATCACCTTGCTGCCAAACTCTTCTATATAACAAGTTATATTTGCCTTATGAAGAGGAGAAAAAGACACAGAATAGGTAATATGGTTAGCATTGTTCAATTCATCACTTAATTTCCAATACTGTCATGACAGGTGAATTTCATATCTTTGAGAGAATCTAAGGATAAAAACCCCCAAACCCTCAAATTCTAAAATAAAGCAAAACCACTAAATGAGGCTAAAGAATCACTTACTTGGAGTGGGTGTAGTGGATAATTAAGCCACACTTCCCGGAGGTCCTAAAAAATTGAGAGAAACTTTTAATTTTCAAAGGATTCATCTGATAAATTTCAGAATGCTAAATAAAATGCCCTTATTAAAATATTGAACTATTTTAGATGCTGACTGTGATTACTGCAAATTCAAAATCGTGTTGGTAAATGAATTCTTTTAAAAGTATATTCACTAACAAACTGAAGTGTCTCTAGTTATCTTGTCAAAAACAAACCAAAAAAACCCAATGAAATAAAAAAACCCCTAATATTTAAAAAGTTAATATAGTTGCTTAAACTTTTTAAAAAAAATTATTTTTCTAACCTACATTTTGTAGAAAACTTAAAATGGCTATAGACACCTCTATATAATACCTCAATTTAAACCTTTTCATTTGCAGAACTCATTTACAATTTTAGAAACCATATTAATAAGTTGGAAGGTGTCAAACAGAATGGGAAATGGCCTTGAGATCAAGCACTCTGGAATGATCTCTTGTCAAGAAAAAAATTTTTTTATATAAAACAGGAAGTCAAAAAAAATGTTGAAGATGGAGCTTGATCCCATACAGCTGAACCAGGAGTAATGAGTGGAAATCAGAGGGAGGTAGATTTAGGTTTGAAGTAAAGAATAATTTCCTAACAAGTAGTTAGCTCCTAAAAAGTAAAATAAGCTGACTTGGGAGGTAGTGATTCTCCTCTCCCAAGAGGTCTTCAAGTAAAATGCCTCTTGTTGGGGAACCTTACTCAGGGATATGTTGGTTTAAATGATCTCTGAGATCACTTTCAACTTTGCTATTTTTAGCAAAGTTTGAGGATTCCCAAGAGTGAGTCTATAGACATTCTATATGTATACTTTTTAAAACAACAATGAATCATTACTTCTAAGTCTATAGGCTCTTGACTGATTTCCTCGTCTTGTCTAATTTCTTCAATTCAACCTTCTTATAGTTGTCAAAATCATCTTAATTACAGAGAAAATATTTTCAATGGTTTGCCTCTATCTTGAGGATAAAAGACAAACTAATTAAGCTGCCATTTAAGGGTCTAGTCCCAACCCACTTTTCCAACCTTATTTGATTCTACTCCTTTCAGGAATAAAACACAGCAGCTAAACTAGACCATTAGTTATTCCAAGAGCACATTTTGTTTTCTCTTTCCTGTGTATTTGTATAGGGCATCCTCCATCTCTAGAATGTACTCCACAATTCTACTTAAATTCAAGGTCCAGATCAGAAACCACCTGTTCCAAGATGACTTACTTGACTTCACCTTTTCCCCACTCCCAATATTTTTTATAGTAATTTGTTTAGAACTACCTTTTGGGAACACATTTTACCTTTATCATACTTATCTGTTATGGTCTTATTCTACCATTATACTTCTCAAATAAGGGATTATGCCCTATTTTCATCTTTGAATCTCCTGCTTCAAGTACATTGGTCTTCACAAAATAATCACTTAATGTCAGTTTATTGAACCTGCCCTTTCATTCTAATTCTACTGTCACCACCATAAATAATCCAAGCCTTCAATATCTCACAGCTGGGTGACTTTAATAGCCACCTACCTGCCTTTTGTGCTCCTATTCTCTCTTCATTCTAAACTACCGTATACTTTCAGCTGATTAAAACTTTCTTAAAAATTATACTTTGTCATATCCTTCCTTTGCTCAAAAACCTTCAATGGTCGCAGGCAAGTCCTATTCTTTAGATAAACATTAAATAATCAATTTCTATTTTTCCCCCGATATGAATTCTCCACTCCCATCAAACCAGTGAGGTCACTTCACTGCTCCTCAAATATTCCACACTCTTGTCTGCTTCTTTTACTTTTTACTCATGCTATTCTTCCAACTGGAAAGTCTTCTTTCCACCTGTCCAAATTCTTTTCTTCTTTCAAGGTCCAGCTCATGATACCAATGTTATTACTAGTATTAATTATATGGACCATTAGTTTGGTCTATATTCATTTTTTCCTCCTTTGAAGTATTACATATAATGCTTTACCTAAACCACTAATTGAAGAATGCATACATGCAAGACATTGGGATAGGTGTTGTGGAAGATATAGACAAGAATTAGAAAAAAATCCCAGCTTTCATGGAGATAACAGACAACAATAGGAGACCCAGGGCATGTACACAAATAACTATAACATGAAAAGTGAAACAGGTGAGGAACTAAAAGTACAAGGTTTATTCAAAGAGAAAGATTACTTTTGACAGGGAAAAGGAGTAAGGAGAAGGGAGGAACACAGAAAGTATATTTCATTGAAGAGATGGAATTTGAATAAAACTGAAGAAAATGGAATTCAGAAGCTACAAGGAAATAGCAAACAGCCTAATTTTTCTGGTGCATTGGGGTATCTAAAGAAAAGTAAGAGGTTCTAAGTTTAGTGAGGTAATTTGAGGCCAAATTATAAAAGGTACTTAATTCTAGGCAAAGGAATTAGGTATGAGAGCCACTGAACAATTCTGATCAACAGGATCACAAGACCAATATTAAACACTAATCTAACAGTGATGTGAAAGATGGATGTGGAAGAAATGAAGATCACTTCTGGGGTTACTGAAATAAGTCTAGGTTAGAGGTTAAGAAGGTAACTACATAATAGACAGTAGGAGATGATTATAAGAGTTACTATGAAGGTAAGAATAACAGGATTTCACAACTGATTGGCTAAAGGAAGTAAGGAAAATGGATGGAGTCACCAAAAAATAGCTGAAGTTTCAAGCACAGGTTGACTACAAGGATGGCTGTGCCACTGACAGAAAGAGAAATCAAAAGTGGGAACTATTTTTTTCTGGAAAGAAAAGATAATTAGTTTTAAGTGTAGACTTTAAATTTGAGGTGCTGGCAAGACAATGATAAAAGAAAAAAAGCATAAATCTGGAGCACGGGAGAAACACTGGGCTGGAGACAGATCTGGGCATCATTCAAGTAGCAGTGATAGTTGTAGCAATGGAAGTGGATGGCCTGTCAATAAAATATATAAAGAGAAGGGGAACCACAAAGAAGACTGCTAGAGAAAAAGCAGTAGAGAACAGTCACAAAGAAGAAAGGTAAGAGCAACACTGAAGTGTCACAGACATGAAGAGAAGAAAGCCCAACCAAGTCTGAATGTCACAAAAAGCAAGCATGCAATATACCTCTAAGCACCTGGGCTCTGTTCAGTTTCACGAAAGACCTGCACTTAAAAACCAAAAGCAAAAAACAAACACCCGGTCTTCAGTAACCCCATTTATAAAGCTGCAGTAAGACTGTTGGACACTGAAGCCAATATAAAAGTATAGTGTAATGATTGATATTAATTAAAAAAGTTTCAAGACTGAAGAAAGCCATAAAACAGTTTCCTTCTGCAAAACAGAGACATGTTTAAAAATGTCTATGTTATAAAATGTTTATATATGCAGGAGGATGTGTGTTTCCTTCACAACATTTCCTAAAGGATGAAATACATGAACTAAAGATCTATGTATAAAAAGTGCAGGCTACTTTTTTATACTACTCATTTTTTTTTGAAGTCTCAAATATAACAGTAATGAAAAATACCAGTAAATATAAAGGGGTCATAAGGGTTGAGAACACAGGCCTACTACACATTTTCTTATAGTACTATGAAGACTCTTATAATAAATTATGATAACTTATTTCAATATGAAGTATATCCTTAACTTTTTCTTTAAATGTCATGTTAATTCTTCAGTTTGATTATAAAAGAAATATACCTTTTACATCAAGGATTAAAGACCTCTCTAGCAATACAAAATTTCCAAATATAACAATTTGCTAACAAGACTACTTTAGAATCTAGTAAATGTCTCAAAACTAAAAATTCTTCATTTTCTCATCTTGTCACGCAAAGCAATTAAATGATTACCTTTAATACAGGGTATCCCAAAAGACTCAATGCTTAAAACTTAAAGATTTATATCGAAATCAGAATGATCTGATTTCCTTTAACTCTATATTAACATGTACTAAAACAAACGCATTTTATTTAGTTGACCCCATCACTCACTAAAATATAAAAAGTTTTACTGAATTTAAAATCTTATGAAAAGTGACAATTAGGAAGGAAGAAGAAAGCCAAATGATTCAAGTTAAAATACCTTGTCATTAAAAAGCAAGCGCCCAAATAACTGTTTAGCTTCTTCAAGGCTTCCCTCCAAATAAACAGCTCCTACAGGATAGGAACAACATGTGGAAAGGAAGAGTTATATTAATTCGGAGAAAATTAGAAATCCCTGTAAGCCCTAGCCCACTGCCAAAAGGAAAAGACCAAGACCACCACCACTACCACCCACCCACCCACCCACACACACTCCATTTCTATAGCAATTTGATAGAAGTGATTATTTACAAAAAAAAAGTTTTCCCTCTAAGTAATATTTTATACTACAAAACTGACCTAAATTCAAAATAAAACTTTTCTTTTAAAAAGTATTAAAATTGGGCAAAATAAGATGGAAGAAGTACAAAATTTCATGAAGTGATGATATATTTGAATCTTATAAAAGGAACTGCAAGAGCATCAGCTTCAAAAATATAACCTTTTGTTTCTCTTTTTAATGTACACTTCAGAGAAAAGGTGTGCATCTAAGATAAATCAAATGAAAGATTAAGTAAGAAAAAAACAAAAGGCTACAGCAAATACATTAGAAATCATCAAGTCATGGCTAACTTTTCTTCAGTTTGAAAGAACTAAATGATAATAATGATACCTAATTTTATACTTCATTTTAATATTTGCAAAGAAGCACATTACATATATTATCTCACTTGAATCCTCACAACAACCTGTGAGGTAGATGCTATTATTCCCATTTGGTAGATGAGGAAACTTAAGTTGACAGAGGGTAAAATGACTTTCCTAGTAGGTGTCTGAGACAAAGTATCAAGTTTTCTTAAAAATTTATAGCTTGAAGTCTATTCAGATGAAGAGTCAGAGGCTGATGAACATGAGCCTGGGCTCAGGGGCACAATCCTGCTGTTCAACATAAACTGGACGATAAAAGTCTTAAATAAGTGTAGGAGTTCATGTCTATACAGTAACTGTTAAGCAAAGCGTTCACAATAAATATTAAACAGAATTAAGGTGATTTCTACTACTTCTAAAATACATCTTATTTCAAGGATCTGTGATATAATCAGTGTGAATGCTCCCTCTATTGATAAGGATCAAAAAGTCTTTGTGGTTTAAAATGCTCTTAAGTATAGTCTTTATGAATTGTTATGGCTGAAAAAAATTCATCATCTAATGGCCACCCTTCTGGTGATGAGTTTTTTCTAATTTCGCTAGGCTGGACCTCAGACAGAGTTTGTTGTTAGGTTTATACCCTAAGCTTTTCCAGCTCTGCAGTAAAAGCTGAAATTGGCAGTCCTGTTCAAGCTGGCAAATGCCCACCAGTCCCTGGCCTACTACAATAAAGCGTCTGAGGAGCATTGTGGTGGAAAACACAGACCATCAAACATTAATCTGTTTTCCAAGGGAGTAAGTAAAAATTAAAACATAAGTACCAAAACCTCTGAAATGTGGTCATACACACTTGATATTTATCTTACAATTTTCCAATTTTTCATTTAATGAATTACAAAAGATAAATTGATTTTTAAATATTTCAAAGCTTTCCTCATCTATTTTAGCATTAATAACCTGAAAGCTTTAGATAACCACTGATTAACTGGTACTCATGTTTTCCTGTAACTAAGGCCAATTTTATTCTGCTTATGTGAACAATGGCTTCCTTACTGTCTATCTACAGATTTTCAGACTGAGAACTTTTAAAACCCTCCATAACTTTTCCAGTCTTATTTCATATTTTTCCCTTCTACACACTTTCTGCTCAGGCTGAACTGGTCTGCTAGCTATTTACCATAAATTACTTCCAACTTCTATATCTGTCCCTTTGCACAGGTTGTCCTCCATGTCTAAAATTCACTACTTCTTCATCTTTACCTCTTACTTAAGGATTTTTAGGATCTCTCTCAAACTCCTATTGTTGAAATTCTCAAAGTTTTATTTTTATTATTTGGGTTATACTTTATATTCACGTATCTCTTGTATCTGTCCTCCCCTCCCCACCCCACTCAAAGACAGTGAGTGAAAGCTCATTGAAGACAAGACTAATTCATTATTATCTTCGTATTCTCAGAGCCAAACAGCCCTTGCTAATAGTATGCATTTAATAAATATCTGAATGTAATTAGATTCAATACAATTTAGCATTTTATATCTGAAAATGTATCTATGAACCAAAACTTTGCAAGAAAGAGCCTGATTTGTAATAAGAGATATTACCTATTAAGGCCTCAAAACAATTTGCCATGGCATGGCGAAGATCTGATTCTCTACAGAGGTCAGGTCCGTGAGCATAAAGCATGAATCGGTCCAGTTCAAGTTTCTATAAATATCAAAATAATGTAAAGTAAGAAACAAATAAAAAAATCAAATCAAGCAAAATCCATTATAGCAATCTGACACTTACAAAGTGTCATTACAAAGAATTATAAAATCTGTCACTTACAGAGACTATAGTCAGGTCAGTGCTACTGATGTATAAGGTCTTTTTTGAATGTGAGTCAGTCCTGAACCTCTTTCTCATGTAGGCTATCAAACCTAAGAGGAAGTATGGGAACCATATCTAACCAGGAACACCTCAGAAAATGGAACCGAACTACTGGGAGCAGATTAAAACCTTTAGGATGTCATAGGATTTTAGAGTCAGAAGAGACCTCAGAGGACTCAGGAAGTTTAAGTGTTTTACCCAAGGTCATGTAGTACATGTTGAGAGGTGGGATTTGAAGCCATGTACTCTGACTCTTTAGCCAGAGTTTCATCCTCTATATCATGGTGCCCAGAACTCATCCAATTACTTCCACAACACCCACGCTGAACCACAAATGACAAATTTTACATGGAATCCCTGAAGACCCTAGCCAACCCCTGCCCCAAAGTATTCTTAGGGCTACAAAATCAGTCTGGGATTCAAAAGGTCTATTCTCTTCTTTTCTCAAGCATGTGGTGCTGATGGCCTCTATGTTGAACTAAAGGGGACTGATGTATTCAATGTTAGGTTGTACTTAATGGAATACTTCAAAATGTTCTTTTCATAACATCAGCTCTAGAATTAGGACTTTGGAGAACCTTCATTATGCAGATGAAGAAACTGTGACCCAACAGATTGGATAACTTGTCCAAGATCATATGGAAGACTTTGGCAGAAAACAGCAAAACCACAAACCCAAATCTTACCTTGTTGGTTTCCCTCAGAATCAAAGTAGTGTTTTTTTTTTTTTATTAGACCAAAAGTCACAAATCTTTCCATTATAAGTAAAAGGAACAAATATTACAATTCTAAATTTTAATATCCTATGCTTCACTATTACATAACCTACTTTAAAAACTAAGTTACATAATAATATTGTTTAACAGCCTCTTCTAGTTTTTAAAAATAAAAGTTAAAATTAAACATTTATTAAGTGCTGACTTAGTACAGAGAGATATGCCGGGTACTTGGTGTCCTACGTAGTTGATACTAAGTAAGTATTTGTTAAGGGAGGTAATATGGCATAACTGATAGAGGTGGCAGTCCTGCCTATGCTATATATTAACTGTCTGACCCTAGGTAAGAAACTTAACCTTTCACTGTTCCCTAGAAACTATCTAAGACTATGTTATAAAACAGATGTGATCTGGAGCTTCTTTTATATCAATGACATCACAGGATCCATCCAAAAGCTTGAAAAATAAAAACAAAGTGTCTACTGAAGAGGGGACAAGTCACTAGCCTTTGAATCACCCAGATATAATATGACCTACCTCAGTAATTCCCAGTGTAAGTCATACTAAATTCTTGGAAATTACCATAGAAATGGTGATAAGTTGAAAGGAAGTAGAGATAGTGGCAATAAGAAGTGCACACTGTTGTACTGTTTCAACTCTAGCGATTTCTTAATATCTCAGTTCACCTTTTCATATGAAAATTATCACTTAGAAATGAAGCCACATGAAACAAACCCATTTTTGCCACTTCCAGAAAATAAAATCTAATCCTAGCATGTCATGGGCTACACTACATAATTTATTCTCCACTTTACAGTACGGAAATGTTTGCCAGCTCCTCCTGAGTATTACTTGGGAGAAGTGGATTTACTGTTACGTGAGGCTCATGAATTTCCTCACTTATGGACACATTCTTCCCTCCAATTTGATTTTTCCTTCTTTTTTTACTCTAATAGGAAAGATTTATGTGTTATAAAATTATGTCTGAGTTAATAATGGCTTTCCCCTACTGTATATCAAAGTTGTAACACCTAATAATTTTCCCTTTATCCCCTTATTTAAGAGGCAGGCATATAGAAAGAAGCATAAGTTAGAGATATATACTTAGAAATTAGTTTCAATATTTTTGGAAAGTGATGTTTTTTCACAATGCACAATTTTGTGCAAACAGATTCTCTCTAAAGGGATCATCACCTACCCAGTTAAACTATGGCAAACATGCGGCAGGTAGACTTCAGAGAAAATTGCAGAATACAAAATTCTCAATGACAGAACTATTTAGTAATTGGAAAAAATGAGGTCTACACCTGAAAATCAATAGAACTGAATCAATAATGAAGATTTAGGGGATTAGTTGCTGTGATAGTATTTGCTTTAACAGCAATGGTAAAGATCTATAAAATACATACGTCAAACAAAACGCAAGGGTCCATCGATACCAGAGTCTGATGCTTTATTATATGAAATGAGGTAATATTTGTAAAATGCATGCTATCATACCTAATACGGAAGATGTTTATTTACTTCAAATAACAAATTACCATTTTCAAGATGTTAAATGTTTACCTAATGCATCTAAAAGCTTAATATATCATATGTTTCACACAATCAAAAATAAAATAAAGATCTCAGTTATAAATCTAGTTTCCTCTAACCTGGAAAGAACAATTTTCATTTTCAATTTCTATTTCCCAGCCTGTAGCACCTATCAACAATATCACAGTCAGAATGGAAACTTCATACTTTTAGTGGTTTTAGACAACACTTACTGTACCACAGAACAGTTTCAATTTTTATGTTAAGCTAGTTTCCCATTCTATGCCAATATTTCTCAATAAATAACTGAAGAACAACTTTAAAATAGCTGTATATTAATGACAAATAAAGGAGACATATATGTAAAATGTCAGAAAACATTTAGACAAATCTTTCTATTAAATATTAAACTTTTAACACAGAGATCATCAAAAAAGTAAAAGCATTTGTTGTCACGCTGCTGTTTCTTCTTTTTGGCCGTTAAGGTAGTAGCCCCAGTTTGCAAGTAAGGATGTTTGCAGCACTAGACTCAGGGTTTTTTAGATGATCAAATAAGAAAATGAACATTAAGAAGTTAGTGAACCTTTAAGTACTGTATGTGGTACTTGTTAATCTTGCTGCTATTCCTAGTAAAAATAATTTAAAAACAAGAATGAAATAAAGCACTGAGCCACTATGCCACAATATCATGGAGAAGAATAAGTAATGCTTTGGCTAAGTCAAAATAAAAAAAAATCACAGTAGCCTATCATCAAGAATTAAATATTTTGTATCAAATTTTAACCTTTTTAAATGAATGAAAGTATTTTTTTCTGAAGGCAATATTCTGCTTATAACAGTAAAAAGTAAATGTAATACAAACACTAAAGTAAACTGTACGAAATATTCAATTTCTCCTGTACTTTTCTCAAGTTTCTATATCCCAAATGCTTAACTCTCTGACTATGTACATCTGTTCAATTATTTCCTCATCTTTTATTAAGTCAACTCACTGTGGAATTCATTAGCTGGTAGCTGAACTCACAAAGATGCTCAGAAGAGGACACAATTCAAATAAGAGCTGAAACTCCATTCTGGACTACAAATTGTTATTTCCCCCAAAGAACTTGAAAAAGGCCAAAAGAACTGCTGAAGAATTAATGACTGAGTTTCTCTTACTCAAATGCAAAACCAGCAACAGGTTGAAGAAAAAAGTATGACAGACAGCACTGTAAAGTGAGCTTAATGCTTAAAGCATTTTATATACCTTTGCTAACATAGCAAGATGTTGGTTCTGAACAATAGCGGTGCGATAGGTTGCTAATCCTCCTTCCTCTAGGCTAGGAAACAGGTAGTAGAGATGGACACTAGAAAAAATATATATATACACATATCATATATAAAATAAATACATTTCATAGATTTTATAGATTTTGAGTTGTTGCTTTAATTCACAAGGACCTGAACATAATATTTGGGTATAACTTTTAGGAGAAAAATGTTTTAGGAATGTGCCTCACAATGGTTATTAAACAGGCAAATGACAGACTCACTGGTAAACCCACACACAAAAGGACGATTCACATTAAAGGCTTTGGAAAAACTTGGGCCTGAAAAATCCCAATCACCATACTTTTTAGAGTGACAACTCCATTTGTGATAGCTCCACTGACAGCAAAGCTAGACCTTACACATGGCTCCACTGTAAGGAGACTATGGAGCTATTCCAAATCCCTGCATGAAGACAGAAGCAGGACTAGGCTTTGGGATTGGCTAGAATAAGAAAATGGAATGATGGGGAGAAAAACTTGAACCGTGAACTATTATAATTTTTTATATTTCCTAAATTTCTAAGCAATTTTTCAAGCCCTTGTCATCAACTGTTTGTCCATTGGGATTTGAATGAAACTGCTTCATACCTTGGAGTGGCAGAGTATATGTGGAGAGAGCTCAGGATGGGCCAAAGAGCAGTAGGGGGTGATTCTTTAAAAGACATTATATTCAACTTTTTGTTCGAGGGGCTCTATGATTTCATTAGTAATGTAGATGCCAGGGAGGAAACTTCTCTACCAATGCAGGTTAGCTCCTATACTGTAATTTGTCTTAGAACAGTGGTTCTCAAAGTGTAGTCTCAGAATAATTAGGAATTCCTGCAGCTCTTTCAAGTGGTTCTATGAGGTCAAAACTATTTCCAAAATAATAAGACACATTGATTTTTTGCACTGATTTATAATATAGTAAATATCAATGGATATAACCAATATGAACAAAAGTTCTGGGGTGGGGGATGGAGAGGGGGAAATTTAAGAGTATAAAGGGGTCTTGATGGAAAACTGATGTCTTAAAAGGCATCTTGGCCACTGAGAGGATAAGCAACTCAACCAGGGTCACATAGTCATTATGTGCGAGAGGTAGAACTTAAACCCAGATCTTTGACTCTAAATGCTGTCTCTTTTCATAAAGTACTTATCATCACTGAACTTTAGAAAGTGAAAGGAAAACCCTTTCCCTTCTCCCCATAAAAGTTTATAAAATACTTTGTAGCAATGAAGTTGTATTTATATATTTAAAATATAAAGGCTTTAAGACAAATAATTTTGAAGTGCTCCATTTAAAAGAATTACTCAAAATTCTCCAATAGGAGTAAATTTTGAAAAATATCCCTACCATAAGTGGTATAAATGCTGCATTATGTACAGTGAAATGTGTATTTGTTTTCACTTATAAACTATATGATAAATAGCAGTAATAAATGCAAAGGTTAGCTAGGTGCACAGTGAATAGAGTGCCAGGCCTGGAATACTCATCTTCCTGAGTTCAAATCTGGTCTCAGACACTTCTTAGCTATGTGACCCTGGGCAAATCACTCATTTAGTCCTGTATGCCTCAGTTTCCTCATCTGTAAAATGAGCTGGAAAAAGAAATGGCAAGCCACTTTGGTATCTTTGCCAAGCAAACCCCAAACTGGAGTCACAAAGAGTCCGACACAAATGAAATGATTTACCAGCAACAACAATTTATCATCAATACTAGTTGTTTATATGATATACCACTATATCAGTTATATTAGCTGTTCAGTCGTGGCTAATTTTTTTCTTTGCATTTTCTTTCCACACTAAAAACATTTTCAAATATTCAGAGTAAGGCTTCTTAAAAAAAAAAAAAAGAAACATCACTTCACCACTCATAATCACTTATCCATATTTCCCTTATGACTGGAAGGGTAGGAGTTGATAATGAAGATAAATCAGAGTAAAAAAATGCACTTAAAAATATCTCTTCCTCTACAAATCAAATCTAAGCTTGAAGGCACCTAGTCTAAGACAAGCTGATGTCTTCCAGTTGTGAGGAACTTTAATAAGAATCTGACAGAACAGACATAGCCTTTTATCTTGTAATTTTTATCATACCATCAGTAATAGCGAGGTACTAAGGCAATCAGTAGGAGAAGTGATGCTTTTTAGCTTCACTGAGGATAGAAAAGACTGAACTGTCAAAACTTGCTATTTTATTTCATTAAACTAATTGCAAAGAAGGCAATGTATGAGATGAGTACCTGGAAACAGAATTAATGGGAAACAATAGAAAAGGACACTCACCTAGTTAGAAATTCAACAACAGCATCCCCCAGGAATTCCAAACGTTCATTGTGGTTAATCCTGTACAGAGAGGATCATTTAAAGTAGCATGTATGTGCATACCTATGTATAAATGTATATGTATAATACGTATGCTTAAAGAAAAGAAATATAGGGTTTAGTTCTTACATAAGAAAATACTCCTACTTGGCTATTTCTCAAAGACACAATGTGATTAAATAGCTATTCTCAGCACTGAAGGTAGTATATGGAATATAATAACAATATTCTGGCATAGTGAAGGTTTAATTTCATCTTCTTATCATCTGGAACAGTTTTCCTTACTTGTGAACATCCCTAGAAAACAGAACTTAAAGGCCTTATCAACTTAAGACAGTTGGCGTGGTACAGTTGACAGAGCTTTTCATCTGTAGTCTTAGGTCCTGAATTCATATCTTTACAACCTGTGTGATAGGGGACAAGTTGTTTAACCTCCCTAAGCCTCTGTAAAATGAGAAGGTTAGCTTACGTCTAACTTGGAGATGCTATGACCCAACTGAGAATAAATCTTTCCACCTAGAAGACTAAAGGTATACTTTGATGCATTACATGTGCTAAGAATGACTATGATCACATCATCAGAAGGATCCTGGCAGTCACCTTTCTGTTAAAACAGAATTTTATAAAAAAAATAGTTCCTGGAAGCTTAGAAAGTGGACCATCTTTTCTTGCTTGCAAAATGTTATAGTCATAGAACGTTTCCTTGATAAGTAGACATCAAATAAAGCATAAAAAAGACCAACAATGTCATATGAGCAAAAGCGTGTTAAACTATAAGTCATCGTAATAATTTAAAATAATAAAATTGATTTTAAAATTCAATTAAATGGGCACAAATACACTGTCCACATTAAACAAGGGACCCACTGATTATTCAGTATGTGTACAAAAAATATTAAAAACTACTAGCATATTAAAAACTAACTTTACCATATCATATATTTGACTAAAAACAGCAATAGCTGCTATACTTAGGCTCTTTGAGGGTAGGAACTGTCATTTTTGCCTTTTATAACACCAGCACTTAGTACAGTGCATGACACACAGTAGGCTCCTATAATGTTTACTAATTATATACGGTATAATAACACTTATTGCTTATATTTCAGAAATACTTTATGGCTACAAAGAATTTTCATAGACATTATCTCACTTAATCCTAACAATTACTCTACAAAGTAAGGAAAAGTAACAAGAAAGCTATTGTTGTTGTTATTTTATAGGTGAGAAAACTAAGATCTAAAAGATCGAAAGGATGCCTCAAGGTCACAAAGTTAGGAAATGGTAGGACTAGGGGTGGACATAGGACTTATCCAGTGCTCTTTTCACTTTAACAGGATAACTTTACAAGTAATATGCCATGAAATTAATTTCAATGTCAATAATTCTGCTTTTCTACTTAGAATTTAGATGGTATTTAGGGAATGATGTAGAATATCCTGTTCTTCAAAAGTAATGTGGTATAGTGGACAAAACTCTGGCCTTGGAAATAGGAATCATCTGTGTGACTATCAGCGAGTTACTTAACCTCTCTCAGATTCAGGTTTTTTTTCATCTTTAAAAGGTGGGTGTTACGAAGCAGCTGGTTGGCGCAGTGGATAGAGCACCGGCCCTGATGTTCAGGAGGACCTGAGTTCAAATCCACCCTCAGACCAAACACTTGACGCTTACTAGCTGTGTGACCCTGGGCAAGTCATTTAACCCCAATTACCTTTTTTTTTTTAGGCAATTAGGGTTAAGTGACTTGCCCAGAGTCACACAGCTAGTAAGCGTCAAGTGTTTGGTCTGAGGCCGTATTTGAATGCAGGTCCTCCTGACTTCAGGGCCGGTGTTCTATCCACTGGGCCACCTAGCTGCCCCTAACCCCAATTACCTTAAAGAAAAAAAAAAGGTGGGCGTCGAACTAGATAGCCATTAAAGTCCCTTCCAGCTCTAAATATAGGATCCCACAGAATCTGAACTTCCTATTCAAGAAAATCTGAGCACCTCCTTTTTCTGTGGATGAATTTCCTTATATCAAGGGGTATCTGGAAATTATTCCACTGATTTTGATTGTTCCATTTAGAATTTGGATTATTCCTCTCAAAAAACAAAAAATGGATGCCCTTTCCTTTTTGTTTTTTTTTACATAATTGATAACACTAGTATATAAGTAAATGTGCCAATGTTCTGAAACAGTAAAAGGTAAAAGATGAATAGATACCGTAGGTTCTTTATTATAGTTGTTTCTTAGCTCTCTCTGCTTCTCCTAGTGGATGGATTAAAACTAAAGGAAGAAAAAAATCTGGAGGCTGATGGCACTCCCCTGGCATGCCAAACCTCTACTATGGCAAAGACACCTGAAATGAAGTCTAAATGGAGAATGGAAGTCATGGTGGATTGTCTTTTAGGCTAAGGTGCTCTGAGCTGCCTATTTAAAAAGTGGTGTTTCACAGGAACTACAGCTAAGCCTGTTCATTTCAGAGATCAGTTCCCATTACTACAAAGTTGGCCCTTGACTCAACAGCCCCCTTCAACTTCCCTGCCTTGACCCATCTTTTTGAATATGTGACTACCTGCCCCTTATGCTACTGTCTGACTTCTTCACTTCAAAAAAAGGAGTTAAGCCTGACATCTTCCCCAGAGCCTGACCTATCGTCACTCTGCCTAAATTACAAATTCCTCTAGGGCTGAGACTATGTTTTTGTTTCTTTTATACTCTCCACACTGACTAAGACTGCAAGCACTTAGCAAGCCCTCATTAACTACTTGTTGAATGAATGAGGAATCCAGGCTACCAGTAAATGTAGGAATAATAGTTCATTTTCTCACTGCACATTTCTTATCTGTAGCAAACATATCACTTCCATTTTTTTAATTTTAAGGAAAAATAATTTTAACAGGAAAAAATGTTCTGATGATTTTAAATGAGACCTTTTTGGAACATTTTAAGTAAGTCCAAGAAAAAAGTTATCTAAAAATGCCTTCAGGAAAAAGCCTCAGGGCTCACAGAAATGCCTCAGAAACATATTTTATCAGAAATTCCTATAAGCTGCTTACCATCTTTTTGTCCTATTAAATAAAACAGAAGAAACATCTTCTAAGGTAGAATGGAAAGATTGCTGCCTCTGAAATCAGAATATCTGGGTTCAAACCCTACCTCTGACACTCTCCATGTGACTCAGAGCAAGTCACAATCTCCTCAGACCTTAAGTTTTCTCACCTATAAAGCTGAGGAGACTGGACTAAATGGTTTATGAGGTTCCACTCAGCTTCAGATTTATGGTCCTATAATTAATCACCCATGTTACCACAAAAAATAAACCAAAAAAGGGTAAAAAAGAAAGAAAAAGTCAGCCCATAAAACCATTAGAATGACTGCACCGAAGTTTGAAAAGAGTGACTATTACTATAACATCAAAGATTGAGTAATAAAGAGAAAGGATATAAGTTTTTTAAAAGAAAGGAAAATTCTGTTTTATGGAAAATTTTAACAATCTAAACTGTAGGGGGAGAAAGGGCTTAGAAAACAAAAAAGTAATACTTCCAATTAATCACTTTTTGATTATACTGTAATTTTATTCAACAACTATATAATACCCTAGAAAATAAAAAATGACTTTGAACTATACAGTATTTTGAATAAAATCATATTGACTCAATAAGATTTTTATTGTGATCTGTTTTCATAAAATTTGGGAGGGTGAGGCTTTAACCAAGATCTTAATTACAAATATAGATTATCATTCAAATTATTAAAATACAGTCATGGGAAGACTATCAGAAAGTAAGAATTTTTCCTTTTATCAGAATATACACTCTACTGTGTCGCTGTTCGAACTAAACTTACAAAAAGATCACAGTAGTGAATTAATTATCTCAAACTTTATAATTCTGTTGAACAATTTTTAAGCTTTTTGGGACTGTTAGTCTTTGTTAAGGAATGTGCTCTGCTCTTCTGTCCCATGTCCACGGGTAAGATTATTTTTAAAATCACTATCTTTAGATGTTCTAATAGGTTTCTGATAACAAAGGTCCTAAACAAACCATTACATTGTGAAAACAGGGTTAACACAGAAGTTACCAAGTGAGACAATGTCAACAGTAACATTTACAGGGTCACTGTACCATTTACCAAAGAATAGAATTTAGTATTAAGGCCAATCTATCTTAGAATCCATTCATGTATACTTAGGTATTGAAGCATAAAAACCATGTAATCTGAGATTCCAAGTTGTAAGGGACGTTAGAAATTATCCAGTTCAACTTTCCATGCAATGTAAGAATCCGTTCAGTATTCCTAAAAAATGAGTATAAGGGAGTCTTCTCTGCAAGGTGATAGAACCTCTATAAAAGTTCTGAGCAATGAATTCAGCATTTATTAGTACAGTCACTGACCCATAAACATACACAATTTAATATGACAAAATTTTATAAATCTTTTGTGTTTTCTTAATATGTTAAAAAATTTTAGTACACATTCAATGGGCATTGGCAACATTCCTTTTTGGGGAAAAAAAGCATTATGGCTAAATTATACTAATGAATAGCTAATTTCTTCATGTCACTAAATTAGACACTCAACATTTTAGTCAGCAATAACTCATTCAATACAAAATAGGACAAATATCTGTATTACTGTTTTTTGTGCACCTCCTTTCCAAATATCTAACGTATATATAGATTACTCTTGATATATTTTTTAAAGCCTCAAACCTTAAGAGACTATTTTTAAAAGACAAAATTCCATCTTAATTTGCAAGTTAAAAATAAAAATTCAATTGAAACAGATGTGGTTAGCTTCCCTCAAAAGGCTTTAAAAATCAATGGGTAGGAACATTATTTGGTCACTGAGATTCTAGCTGATACACTGTATGAGAAAATGATTTATGCTATTCCAACAGGTAACTGGACTGACAGCTGTTAATCTTAAAAGTCTCCAACAATTTTTTTTAACTCCTTGGGATCCTAAATGAGATGTAAGAAACTAGAGATGATATATTCAAAAGATATACATTACAGTCATTCTTCCCACTCACCTGGTTTTTCTAATTCCCAATCAATAATGTCATTTTGGAACATTACCATAAAGTTAAATACCAGTTAAAACTTTTAAAGAGACCCCACTAGCTTTAACATTCTCAGGGAAAAAAAAATCACATGCAGCAAGGAATCCCACTTTTCACAGGTGCCAGTGTACAGCAGCCGTTGCTTTTGGCAGCAGGTATGTATATTTATGATTTTGTAGCATTTACTGTAAGACCTCTGAATACCTTCTGTGTTATTTAATCCAATTTTACAATAAGAAATCCAGTAACAAAAAGGAAAGAGTGAATTATTTAAAGAGAATTCACTATTACTGACAAAACAAAACAAAACAAAACATAGTAGGTAACCAACCGCCTCAAGATTCTTAACACCCATCAGACTTCCTTTGAATGAAGAATATAAACTGTGAAGGATAGTTCCAGTGTGGCCTTGCTGTGGACTGCTGAGGAACAGCAGAAGACAGACCAGCCTGGTACTTAGCCACTGAACTGAAGGTCTTTCTGAGAAAAGGCTTTGGGCTAAATCCTGCAAATAACAGCAATGGCCACAAATCAAAGAACAGTTAGAAAAGACCACTTGTTGTCTTGGAGATATCACCTTGAAATGAAAAGAGATGAAAATAGCAGTAATCTTTGGATTATAGTACTTGTAACACATGCAGCTGTAACTGTTTGCTTTGAAGGTAAGAGAAACATGAAGATCCTGAGACTTGTACAATGCTAGAAAAGGTATAGCTGAAATAGCAAGTTAGATTTGGGAAACATCAAAAAGCATTAACTGAGTGCCAATTGCATGCACATCACTATGGTAACTGCTTAGCTTAACTTTTAATATCATTAAATTATCAGCAATTAAAACACAAACTGGTCACACAGAGGTTTTCCATAATAACAAGTTTGAAAGAATCATAGTTCACAATGTCCCAGCGAGCATGAGTTGAGGACTCTGTTAACTGGATAATACTTGTCTCATTTCAGAATATTCTGGTAACCACAGTAGGAAGCTGTCTGATCACCTTTAATCTCAAGCTTTAAAATGAGATTTTGGTTTGTGATATACCTCTAGAAGATGTGGGACCAGGACAAGCCAAGTACAGAAAGATGCAACACATGAGGAAAGAGGCACAAGGAGTGGGGGGGGAAGAAATCACATTACCTAAGCTGGTAAAAGAGGTTATTACTGCACTTTGCCAGCTGAAAAGCACTTTTCATCCTAGCAGTGTAAATGTCACCCTTTGCCTCACCCCATCTTTCTTTTTTTTTCCATGCAACCATTACTAAACTACTATAAGCACTTCTCTTAAATAATCATTCTCTATAGCATGTGCTGTAATACTTTTGGAAAACACACAAATACACACACACACACACACACACACACACACACACGACCCCTAAGGCAATTTTCTCTCCTTTCCCTCAAAAAATAACACATTGTCCTTCATTTACAAATATGATACACTGTACTACTGAACTCCTCACGGGATATCACTTTCCAGTGGTGGTGACAGATTTGCGCTGATCCATCCATACTCTCCTCACCTGATCTTCCTTGCACTCAAGGGCACACATTTGTGAGACGGCTTGCTGGAGTTCGGGTTCAGTCTGTGGCTGTGGAACAGAATGATTCTAACTGGCCCCCATAGGTATTGAATGAATGACCTTAGTTGGCCTCATTAGCATGTGTTCTAACCAACTGAGCTAATCAGCCACATACCACATAACCTGAATCCACATAGTATTCCACAACATTTAGAGAAGGGGGATAGATGCTTACAGAAATGGCAGCTATTACATATGTGACTGCAGCTGAAGATCCAAAGTGAAAGAAAACAATTGGGGGAGGGGGGTGCAGAGGAGGGGAATCAAATTTTACATGGAAAAAAAGTTACACTAAACTAAAATATTATTTGTTTTCTCATATTCCAAGAAAGAAAAACAATAATGAAAATATTAAAATTGATAAAATACTGCTTTTTGTAGGTGTTTTAGAGTACTCTGTAAAAAAACACACACTAACTTTTCAGAGTACTCTTCTATAAAGTACATTTATAAAAGCATGTTTTAAAATGATACAAGCAGGAAACCAAAAAACAAGGTTTTTGTTTTGTTTTGTTTTGTTTTACCTGGAAGGAGTAGGGTCATCTTGACCAAGGCGTGACATGATATTTATTAAGGTGTTAATTCCTATTTTCAAAATAAAGAACAGAGAAAATACAAACACACATGCAAACACTGTTTGAGAAACAACCAAAAATTTTCCATCATCTATTTTGTGCCAACTTAATTTTACGATGCTTCATAGTTGTGGAGCAATTTGACAAATTTCTAGAATTATAAATGAATGCAACAGCTTATACTTATTTCTTTGTAAAATACAAAAAAAATCTCCCCAAAAGAAAAAACAAGCCAATGAAATTCACTTATTGGGAGAGAAATCACTAAAAAAATAAATAAATAAATAAAATAAAAATTAAAAAAAAAATCAAGCCTTATTATAATACTCATTTAAAAGGAACATTACCACTTTATGAGGACCCAGAGACACTAAAAAATGACTTTAAAAAAACTACAAAGTAGATCATTCCAGATTGAGATAATAATCCAAGGCCTCTTCCCTTCCCAAGATCCTTGAAATAACAGTAGAGAGCAAAGGCGGAAATACTAGCAGTGGAAGAAAGAACATCTTGAAAATAACCCAAGCAAACCTTTTTTCCTCATGTGCATGTGATGGACTTTTCTGTCTCCATATTTGGGTTGACGTATGCCACAGTTGGATAAAGAGTTACGAGCATGATCAGGATTCATTCCAAAGTTTAGGTGATGACTGGGATGAGTCATTGCTAGCTAAAATTCAGATCAAACAAATTCACTTTTACAGTCTCTGAACATAAGTATCATGTCTGTCCTTCCAAGTCTTTCCCCTAAAGAATGAAAGGGCTATTCTCTTGGTGCTGTTCCAGTCACTAGTCATGTTACAAACCCTGATGATTCCCATTCCCCAATCCAAATTTGCATATCAGAGTATACACAGGACAGATCTTACATTTAAGCATAGCAGTTTATCAATTTGGCACAATTTCAGGGGTAACAGGAAAAACTCTCCTTTTCAAAAAATGCCTCTATCCAACTAACCTGAAATTCTAAAATTAGAGATACATTCTTTAATGATTTCTATTCATAAGGTACTTTATAAGTTTACAAAGCATTTTCCACACAAAAACCCTGGTGAGTTGGCAATACATTATTTCCATTTTGCAGATGAGGATACTAACCCTTATATAATGTAAACTTAACCTGCCCATAGTCACAGAGCTAGAAACTGTTCAAACCCAGACACAGGGCTCAAAGTCCAGGGTTCTTTTTATTACAGCAAGCTTCCTTTCAAATGCCAAATGCCTCTAAGTGATAACATTAAGACTCGCCCAGTGAGTTTTATACCTTAGTAGGAATGACTTTCAGATCTTTTCAATTCACTGGGAACAAGAACACAAGAGTAAAAGGGATAACAAATGACGAAAAGAGTGATTGGGATCAAAAATAGGTTAACATTAATTATTTAATGTTATGGCCATTGGTGGGCTTTAGTTATGAAAGAAAGTATTTTAAAGTGCCAAACAGAAATATAAGATGGAAGATAAAGAGTTAGATTCTAAAGCAAGGTTATTATAAACCTTTTTTTCCATGGACTACTACTTTACCAGTCTGATGAAGACTATATACTCCTCAAAATAATATTTTTTAAATAACTGAAATAATGCTAAATTTCAGTTAAGAGTTGAGAAAAATAAGTAGAATTGGGTTCCCACTAAAGTTTATAGATCAACTGAAATCTTTTAACCTTAGGCTAAGAAACTATGCTCTAAAGATCTCCTCTACCAGAGGAGAACATATAATAAACTGTGTTCATGGAATGAGAAAACACATTGTCTTTTAGATAAGGATGAAAAGAAATGATTCTCACCTGTAGCAGACAACGATCTTGGAAAGTATAGCCAATCAACTTGTCCAGATGCATCAAGCACTGGTGGTAACGGATATGATGGGTCAAAACAGGAAGCATCATTGCATGCTAGGAAAAATACATAAAACCTTTTAAAATGTGATAAGTAATACTTGGTAAAAGGAAAAATTTTTCTTGCTGAGAACTCTTAATACAGGGGGAAAAAGAATCAATTTAAGAGAACCTACAGATGAGCACCAAGACAAAATACACCCATGTTTCAAACTCCAACACACACACAGTGGTTATACTTAATTTCAATGACAAAAAAATTTCCAAGTATCCAGGAGAAAGATAATTCTATTGGGTAGGGACAGACTACAAAAGAATGGGATGAATACTGGAGGACAGAAACAACGGGAAAAGAAGGTTGGGGGGGTTTACCCTAGGAGGGGGATGCTGTTAAAAAAAGATTTCCAGGGGAAAAGGTGTTTATCCGAGGGCAAAAACAAGTACCCTCTGGTAAGCTTAGTTCAGAGAATGAGTATGGAGAGGGTGAGGTTTCACAATGAAAGGCCACTATCTTTGGGAGTGTTGTGACTCCACAGACAGCATAGAGTAGGTACGAATGAGTCCCAAGGGGCAGCTGGCATCCAACTATTGGGAGGAAGGGATTATAGAACCAGAAATAGAATGGCATGGCTATTGGGATGGAGGCCATAATAAGGTAAGGAAAGGGGGTGGGATTTGGCTATATGATTTGGGACAGGAGTTAACTCTTACTTTTCAGCACTGTCTCCATCCAACTTTGGTTCTCTCATAAACTCTTATTTCTTTCATTAATTTTCAACCCCTCCCTAACTACAAGTTCCTTCTGTACTGCCTTCAAACATGGCCTCACATCATTAAACAAAAAAACCTTTCACTAGATCCTACTGTCCCCTATATATCTCTTCACTTTCTCAGCCAAATGCCTAGAAAAAGCTATCGACATTTCCTCTCCTCTCACTCCTTCCTTAAACTTCACAAACTAACTTCCTACTTCATAACTTAAATTACTCTCTGCAGTCAATAATGATATGCTGTCAGATCTTTACCCAGGCCTCATTCTTCTTTACCTCTCCATTGCATCTGACTCTGTTGATCACCCTCTCCTACTAGATACTATCTCTTTTCTCTGGGTTTTTGGGATGCTGAACATTTGGTTTGGCAAGCACTTTCACTCTCTTTTGCTTCAAAAATCATGGCTTTCTATTTTGGTCCTCTTTCTTTCCTTCTCTCTCTATGATCCTATCAGTTACCATGAGTTTAATTATCTATCAAGAACAAGAGATTACTTCTCAATCTCCTCCCAAACTCCTCCCAGAATGAGTGTTTAAAACAATGAATAGACTTTGATGGACTCTTAAAGATACAGCAACAGTATCTATATATATATGCAAGAAGCTAATGGAGCCAAAGTTACACAAAAAAGTGGTCTACAATATTAAATATTGTTGTTTTGTTTGTCCTTTGTTCTCAAAGAGGACCATGACATCAGGGAGATGATGACATGACTTGCAAATGACTTTGTTTTGAGTGAGGGAGGGCTATGCAAGGTCATCAGCCTCACTTTCTCCTCCAGAGTCATCTGGGTCCAGTGGCCAGATATTTATCAGGACAACTGGAGATAGCTCAGGATGCAATGGGAGATCCTGGCCCTTTTAAGCTAAGGTCTTTTCAGGTTCTCACTCTGAGTAAGGCAAAAGCCCATTCAGTAAATAGGTCTCTTTAAGAAGTGAGCCAAGCAGCTAGGTGGTACAGTGGATAGAGCGCCAGCCTTGGAGTCACTAGGACTTGAGATCAAATCTGGCCTCAGACACTTGACACTTACCAGCTCTGTGACCCTGGGCAAGTCACTGAACCCCAACTGCCTCACCAGAAAGCAAAAAACAGTGAGCCAAGGGAGAGTCCCTTAAAAAAAAAACAGGGAGAGAGAGAGAGAGAGAGAGAGAGAGAGAGAGAGAGAGAGAGAGAGAGAGAGAGAGAGAGAGAGAAATCTAGCCAGTAGATTCCAAGTTAAATGGGCAGCTTTCAGCCATCAAAATTTACAGGGGAGAGGAGGCAAGAGGAGAGGAGAGTCAGAGGTGCTTTTAAGGTCAGGGTTAGAGTCAGAGGCATTTAGGGTTAGGGTTAGAAGGTACAGAACGGGCAGCTAGGTGGTGTAGTGGATAAGACTGGGTGCAGGGCCTGGAGTCAGGAAGACTCATCTTTCTGAGTTCAAATCTGGCCTCAGACATTTACTAGCTGTGTGACTTGGGCAAGTCACTTAATCCTGTTTGCCTTAGTTTCCTCATGTGTCAAATAAGCTGAAGATTGAAATGACAAACCATTGCAGTATCTTTGGAGCTCACTGATCAGAGGGTGGGGTGACATGGTCAGACCTTTACTTTAGAAAATTCCCTTTGGTAGCTGAGTGAAGGATGGACTAGAATGAGGAGAGACTTGAGGCAGGGAGACCAGCCAGAAAATAAGTACAGTAGTCCAGGCAAGAGATGATAAAGTTCTGACCTAGGGTTGTGGTTATGAGTGAAGAGTGAATGTCTATGAGAGATCTGGTGAAGGTAAAAATGGAAAGATATGGCAGTGGACTGGATATGTGTGAGTGAAAGTGAGGAATTAAGAATGTGAACTTGAGGATCTGGGAGAATGGGCATGCCCTCAACAGTAATAAGCAAATTTGAAGTAGAATAAGATTTGGGGAAAAAGATAATAAGTTCTGATATGGATGTGCTGGGTTTGAGATGAGTACAAGGACATCCAGTTTGAGATATTCAACAGGCAGTTGGAGATGCACGATTTTAGCTCAGCAAAAAGACTAGGGCTAGATATACAGCCTGGGAAACATCTTCATAGAGATGATAAATGAACACAGCGGAGCTAATGAGATCAACAAATGAGACAGTATAAAGTGAAAAGAGAAGGGGGATCAGAACAGAGCTTTGGGGAACACCCAAGGTTAGTGTACATGGCATGAAGTACTAGCAAAGAAAGCTAAGAAGCAGTCAGAGAAATAATCAGTCAGAAGAACCTGCAGAGACAAAAGTCATGAAAATACAGAGAACAGAATATCCAGAATGAGGTGAACAGCTTTGTCAAATGCTGAAGAGAAGTGAAAAGGATTAAGATTAAGAAAAATGCTATTAGTTTTGGCTATTAAGTCATCAATGCTAACTTTGGAGAGAATAGTTTCAGCTTAATAATTAGACTGGATGCATCAAATATCTCTGATATCTGACATATAAGATATTAACATACATATAAGACCTAGAAGGATGCCACAAAAGATAAGTGATAAAGCCTGAAGAGGTCTCAAAATAACTGCAAATTATAAACTACTACATGAAGACTGTTCCAAATTCCTAAGAAAAATACAAATTAAAACAATGCTATATTTTCATCTGACATTAAACAACCTTGCAAAGATAAAAAAGCTAGAAATAGTCAATGTTGAAGAAGCTGTGGGAAGTGAAATACATTAACATGTTGGTGGAATTGTGACCCGGTCAAAATATTCTGAAAAACAATTTGGAACTGTGCTAAAAAAAGTGAACAAAATGTCCACAAATCCCATTAAAAGACCCTAAAGTATTCAAAGACAGAAGACCCAATGTAAACACAAATATATTCATTATAAGAGTTTTTGTGCTACTAATGTACTAGAAACAATGTGGGTACCCACTGACTGGGGAATGACTAAACAAACTGAGGTATAGGAATGCAATGGGATATTATTGTGCTATCAATAACAACAAATATGAGGAAATAAGAGAAACACTGGAAGAAACAAATTAACCATGAAAAAGTCCCTCATTAAAAATGATAGCAAGAAGGGAACACAGTTTGTTTCTGAAAATCACAGGGGTCCACAAGAAAGAAGGTAATTCTAAGATAATGCTAAAGACCAAAGCCACCTAACCAGAAGTCTGATAAGTGTTTTGTGGTTTTTAATTCACAACAAAACCAACCACAGTGCTAGTTAAATGAAATTTTTCTCTGCATAAGCTATTAGGAGGTTTAATAAAAAAAAACAAAAATTAAAATAATGTATTTTGGCCCAGATATTAAAATTGGTCATTAGATTTTGTATTGTCATCATCAATTTTCTCTACTAAGTCTTTCTCTGAAGTAAAGAATTGTGTTATTCTGTAATTTTAGGTGTTTTCCATTTAATAGTCATTCTGCACAGCGGTCATCTTGCTGTGTTTTTTCAAGTGCTTCTATATGTATTTCCAAATGTAGCAACAATTCAAAGTTTTGTTTTTTTTAAATCCCATGAAAATTACTGTTATTACTACCTCCATGAAGCTTTCCTGCATTCCTTCATCTAGAAATAATCATTCCTTTCCCCCTAATCTTGCATGCCTCTCTGACTCCTGAATGTACTGTTCTCATTCTAATTTGTATTACATTTATTTATGCTCTTGGAATCACCCTATACACTGTCTCAAAGTAGAAATTGTGAAATATTACCCTTTTCAATTCCCAATATTGAGCAAAGAATCTTACAAACAGTAATGCTTAAAAGATTTTTTACCGAATTGAACTGAAGCCTACCAAAAAATGGAAACCATGTTTGGTATAGATTTCCATCAATCCCAAATCAACAAGTCAAAAAAACTACCAGTTTTCAGTATGAGGATGTTTTTAGGACCCAGGTACCTGATAAGAGAAGAGATGTAAACCTAATTTTAATTTCAAAAGTATAATTACCTGGCAAACATCAGAACGGATGCCAGTTTTCCAGAATCCTTGGCTGCTCAGTTCCACTGTCACCTCTCTCCTCATTGTATTCTTCTGTCGAATTTTCTGCAGAGCTTCCTAGAAAAGAACTAATTATGAGAGCAATTCAATATTTCTAAAGTATTGTTAAGCCAGCTATCAGGCATTAAGAAATAAAATGGATTCATTCAAAACTACACTTAATCCAGATACTCGCCTATTTTCACATGAAAACTATAATACCTGGAGCACCTGAGAAACTAGGATGTTCAAAGCATCATATGACTAAATCATTCTTTCCCAGTAAATACAGAAGAGAAATCTAAGACAAAACTTGTTCAGTCAAATATTTACTTTTGGAGAATGAAAAATAAATAAGTGAAGGGCTATGATTTTAAACTTAATAAAATACTTTGTCAATATTTTCTTTAACATCATTGTGAAACATGTCAAGATTTTTCTCAGAGCTAAATGTCTTAAATAAAGCAATAAACATCCTTCTTAGATTCATGAAGCAGACAAAACCAGTAATCTGAAATATGTAGCTAGCCATGGAATAAATCTGCAGTCTCTAAAAGAAATGGCTTGGGGGCAGCTAGGTGGCGTAGTGGATAGAGCCCTGGAGTCAGGAGGACCTGAGTTCAAATCGACCTCAGACTCTTGACACTTACCAGCTGTGTGACTCTGGGCAAATCACTTAACCCCAACTGCTTAGCCAAAAACAAAACCAAAAACACACACATAAAAGAAATGGCTCTACAAACCACATCTTTCTAACATTCAATGGTACAAGATTCATTGTAAGACAACTCAAAAACCAAATGCATACTCCATAACTCCCAACAAAGTGATGAAATCTGAAGAATCCTTTTGTTTGAACATGAGATGAACTTCAGCAATCTCACAAGGCAATAACCTATCCATTCCACTTCACTCAATAACTTATTTTTGAATTGTAAAAAAAAATCAAAGATAAAATCATTTTCATTATAGAATGTATTTGTTCTTAAAACGGAAGTAGAACCAATACATCAGTACCATCTTTTTACAAGCTTAAAAAAAAAAGCATCACCTATTGGGGGATGGGGGAGACCTATAAATAAATCTACTCTGGTGGACTGTCAAAGGTATTGGAGACTGCCTTCTGCAATATAAGACAAAGGAGCAAGCTGGTAAAGTACAACATTACAGGAAGCCACTTTCATGTAGAAAACCTGTTTGGGCACTCAAAATATCAAATAGGCAAAACTATTTTTTTCTTAGAAAATATATCTGTCCCTCAATAATAGTAATCACATAAATGCCTTAACAGTAATTATGGAGAATAACGTTCTCTCCTTCAGGAAGCAAAGTAAAATGAATGAAACACAACGGAGGAAGAAGTGGGATGGCATTAATCATGGATGTTATTTTTTCCTTAGAAATGCTACAATACTACAACAACTGACTAATTCACCATCGTAAATCTTACATCCTTAATATACCTCTCTCTGTGCCAGCTTTTGCTTGTCAGCTTGTTTGACCTTGGGGCTGTTTGCCAACAGGTGACGGAGCTTCACATAGCTTTTCCATAGCTTCTGATACCTAAAGAAATTGGGAGACAGACAGATCACTTGGTCAGCATGTCAGAACTTAGGAATCCAAATTAAGGTGTTAGAACTGGAGGGGATCAAATCCAGCTCAAGAATATGAAGTGACCTGTGCAAGGTCACTGACAATTACTAGTCACTTTGGCAGGTTATACATTTATTCCAAAAAGGTAGCATTGCTCAAAACATTTTTGGGGAGTTTCTCTTTTGAAATCTTATTCAGAGCTTGAAACAAATTCTTTTGAATATCCTAAATGGTACCAAATATTTATCCTTTGTTCTGTTTTCCTAAATCAAAGTGATCCATAAAATTGCTTAGCCTAATCTGGCTAAAAAAAAAAAAGTAATCCTAATTTTGATACCAAAAAATTTTTTTAAAAAAAGGAATGAGTATGTATGTGTGTGAGTGAGTGAGTGAGTGAGCGAGAGACAGAGAGAGAGGGAGATGCTTAAACTGGCCCTGTACGTGGTTTCATAGAAGATTTAAAAATATTTTGAGCTATAGCAGTATTAGTGGAATAAAGGTAGCCTAACAAATTGACTACTTTAAAGGGGAAAACACTCATACGAATGGGAAAATGATTTTATGTTCATTACAAAGTCAATATGATTAGTTTATAATCATAATACTATCTAGTCTAAGAGTAGGATATAAGTCTCAAAGGTAGTAGTGCAGATCAATTATACTTAGACGCAGGTCATATGGCTATTATTTACATTACAACTGAAAATGATGCACAAAAATCTATGATTTTCAAGACAAAAGTAGATTCATGAATAGGCCATTACTGAGTGACCAAATACTTATCAAACCTGATCCTCACTAATGAAACTGCCAAAACTTATACTAGGAATCAAAGTAATACATGGTCTTTATAAATTATATCAATTGTCACCCATTTAGGGATCCATGAAAATTCTGTTCTATTTCACTATGGTTTCTCTGATAAAGAGGAATGTTCAAAAAAATAGTCCTCTGATACCAAGTCTTCATTTCCTTTAGTTAAAGCTGTTCCTCTTAACAAGGGGCCTCTATTATCAACAACTTCATGTGGTGTAGGGGAATTGATGCTAAAAGAAGACTGGGCAAAGTACTTTATACTTTAAAACAACAAAATGTCTCTGTTCTCCTCCAGACTGTCATCGGTTTTAAATTTTTAAACTCTCCAAAACCTTATTCTTCTCTCATTTTGACCACCACATCCTTGCTGTGTTTGATAATTTCTGCCTACCAAATACCAGTGCAGCTATCTTCACAACTAAGTGACAAGTGTGCCATGACTGTGAGGACCTAGGAACCTTCTACCTCCTCACAGGTGAAATGTCTATTTTAGTCCAAGCTACTGGCAAGTGCATGGACCTAGGCAGAGTTAAGATCAGCAAAGATTATCAGCACCTAAGACATTAACAGAAGCAGCAGGTTCTCTCATTCCCAATTACCCATTCTGAACTAAACATCTCATACATCTTGGACTAAAATTTTAATTAAAAGTTTGAGACGCAGTTAAGATGTCTCTGTGGTAAATGCCACATCCAGCTATGTATACCTATCCTTCTCTCCTTCTGTCTGGTTAGGGAAGCAACCAACCACGATATCATAGTAGATCCATTTTGTGTTCTCTGCAATCAGTTTGAAATTTAAAAAAAAAAAACTGTGGACATTTTATACTACTTTAAAGTTTACAAAGCACTTTATACCAGTTCTTTCATTTGAGCCCTGTAAGGATACAAGTCTTAACCTCATTTTGCAGATGATGAAAATGAGGCTCAGAAATTAAGTGACTTGCCCATGGACACACAATAAGGAATATACCAGAGGTCCTTAAACCCAAGTCTTTCTTACTCCAAGTCTATCTTTTATCTATATTCTGCTGCTTCTCTAAAGGAAAAGCAAGACACGCAGGAAATGAAGTGGGTTCCTTCTTTTCCCCTCTAAGTAAGTTAAACAAGTTTTGATGGTTCTTAAGGTCCCCATTCTCTGCTCCTACAGCCCAAAAAATGATCCTCAAGTTATTTTGGTACCATTATTAAGAATTTTAAGAAATTATCATAAGAGATTTCACTGTAAGAGTCCTACTAATTTCAATTAAAGTGACAGGTTCTGCAATTTCAAAAATTTTGAGTATTGAGTTAAAAAAATCAAAATGCTATACAAAGCTTCATTTCAAACAAAGAAAAAATCTCTAATACTATATAAACTAATGAAATTAGGATAATAATGTTGACAGAATTCTATAAAAAGAAACAGGACTAAGTAAGCTAGGAATTCCAAAAATGTTAGAATAAAACTTCAAACAGCTGAACATGTAGAAAACGGACTTATGCCGGTGATGTAACAACACATCAATCAACAAGCATATATTAGGTGCTTACTATGTGCAAAGCACAAGGGATACAAACAAGAAAGACAAAAACAGTCCCTGCCCTCAAGGAGCTTACACTCTAACTGGAGAGACAACAGGTAAATACAGAGGTACATACAAGATACATACAGAGTAGATGGAAGGTAACCTTAGAGTGGTAGGCTCTAGCAGCTGTGATGACCGGGAGCAGTCTCCTGCAGAAGGTGGCATTTGAGCTGAGTCTTGAAAGAAGCTAGGGATTCTAAGAGGTAGAGGTGAGGATGGAGAGCATTCCAGGCATGGGGGACAGACAGTGCAAAGGCACAAAACAGGAAATGGTGTGTCATGTGTGAGTAATAGCAAGTAGGCCAGTATAGCTGGGATTGTGGATTGCGTGGAGGGGAATAAAGTGTAACAAGACTGGAAAGGTAGGAAGGGGCCAGATTGTGAAGAGCTTTGAATGATAAATGAAACTGCAAATGTAGAAATAAGGTCTATTTTAGACAACTTTTTAAAAGGAAGGGGGAAAGGGGCAAGGCATAGATATAAAAGTCTCTCTTTAGTGGAAAGTGAAAAGACTAAGACAAACATTGAGAAGGATATCTTACTGAGGGTCTCCTGCATAACTCAACTGGGCAGGGCGTATCCCAAAGTGGACAATAATTGGAAAAGTAATCACATCAGGGTTGAATTGTTCCCGATCCAGTTGATCAATGCGTACTGAACTAGGTTTCTAGAGAAAAAAATCAAAGCTGATTACTCTGATGAGAAGTCTCACTAATAAATCATGACAGAAGGATGAGGATTGCAAATGAATCATTTTTTTCCCCTAGAAATTCCTAAATTTCCAAAAAAAAAAAAGATAATGTTATTCAACACTTTATTCACAGAGACTGAACTTTATCTCTACAAGTGAGTCAATACTATTTGGTATGATGAATGATTTTGCCCATTTTAGTACTCCACGGAGAAAGACATCTTTTAAACGTGAAGATTTCAAAAGGGTAGCAGCCAGCCATAACTTTTTCTTAACTTCTTCAGAAATTAATGATAAGTAAGAAGTACGTTTCAGAAAACAAAATACGCTGACGCATCTGCTTTAATTTCACTTTATATATTTCCAGGTTATGTACAAGTGGGAGCATGCACAAAAAATAAGCTCTCCCTTAGCTTTCAGGCTCTTTCCCACTCACAAATGAGGTGTTATGGGGCAAAAGTCAGCAAATTCAATTTATATTAAACTGTATTTATGGCATTTTGTGAAAAGAGGCTTTTTTTCCAGAAAAAAAATGAGATATATTTGTATTTTTACAGAGAAGATCAATTTTTTCCTGACAAAGTACAAATTAACCTTTAAATCACAAGAAAAACCAAGAACATTTTTTATTCTATTGTTTCTAACTCTCATGTTTTCTTTTAAAAATTTCTAAAAATTGTCCAAATACTACAGTGTCAGATAATCAACAGAAAGCATGAAATACAATTAATTTTTAGCACAAATGTAATTCCCTATGATAACTCTAAATCCTGTTATTTTTGCTAATTAATATAATAATTAATGGGGGAAATGTTAAGAAAGAAACAGAAAAGTATTTAGTTTCTAAAACCAACATTTCTTCCTTTTACAGCACATTAAAAATTGGGGAATATGGTGGTAAAGTATCTTAAGGTGTGAAAGCATTTAGGCAACCAAACATACCATGCCAGGATTGTTAACAATCATCCCTTTGCATTCCTCTGCATATTTCTGCCACTCAAGTTCTTCCCACTGGAGCATGTTAGCAATCTCCTCTTCAGGCACCAAAGCTTTGTTACATCTCAACAAGTAGAGCAGAATCTGATGCATTGATAGCACTTCCTTTCCTCCATCTTGCAAGGGAAAAGGGAAGAAAGACAGTAAAGGCAAGAAGAATTTTCATAACACCAAAGCATTAAATGGTATAGGAAAAAAAAAACAGGTCAAAAAGCTTTTTATAGGCAGTATACATTTTCAATTGCTCATCCAGATGACATATAGGAGGAAAGACATTCATTTAATTAATAAATAGTGCTCATAAACAATCTGATTTATTAAAATGGTAACATTATTAACAATTAGAAACTTTTATTTGTTAAGTTTCAAATAATAAAAACAAATTTTCTTCTCAAAACAAATTTTCAAGGAGCAGCTTAAAAAGCCACATGTCATACTTCCCTGTTATAGATTATCCCATACATACTTAACCATTCTTTTTATTACAATAGTTAAAAACCCTTTGCAAGTTATAGCACTTTGTTAAAATAATGCAAGGCTTTTATAGGACATTTATGGATGTAGTCAATTAGCTATTGTTGTGTTATGGACTAATTCTTTGTGCTAATTTGCTGAACCTGCCACAATGAAAAGAACCAAATGGGTTTATACTCATACCACTGTGTCACCATTCTATGAACTAAACACAGGAGAAAATCAAGTATCGAGTTGTACAGAAACATAAATTACCATGATCAAGCTTGCTTTATATTACAGAAGGAAAAAGCACAATAAAGGTGATACATAAGGTACTTCAGAAGAGTCAATTTAATAGTGGTGGTCTCAATATAAAAAGATTAATCAGTGTTACCCTATAGAGGAATCTTGACGACATTTTCTCTCAAACTGTGAAGAGTACATTTCTTATTGAGGAACACATCAGAAGGGGATAAGAGAAGGGGGGGAGGGCCTGCAGTGATAGAAAGGACAGCAGATTGGGGGAAGCTGTAGTCAGAGGCAAAACACTTTTGAGGAAGGATAGGGTGAAAGGGGAGAGAAAATAAAAGAGAGTAGGGAGAATAGGTAGCAATCATAACTGTGAAAAAAAATTGTGAAGCAAGTTTCTCTGACAAAGACCTCATTTCTCTAACATACACAGAATTGTGTCAAATATATGTTAAAAAAAAGGCCATTCCCGAATTGATAAATGATCAAAAGATAAATCAGTTTTCAGATGAAGCAATTAAAGCTATCTACAGCCATATGAAAAAATATTCTAATTCACTACTGATGGGAGAAATGCAAGTTAAAACAATTCTGAGATACCACCTCATACCTATTAGAATAGCTAATAGGACAGAAAAGGTAAATTGTCGCCCGCAATTACGTGAGGCACCTCAAGGCAGAGTGTGAAATGAAGAGATGTGGGCCAGGCGGAGGGTCCAAGTTTAAACAGTAAAGGCTAACAATCAGCCCTGAGACATTCCCAGGAGTCTTACATGACTAACCCCAGCCCTAATGCGCTACTTTAATTATACACACCTGCTTGTTATCAAGGTTCAAGGATCGGTCAAAGTGTTCTAACACCTCCCTGGCAGGGGAGATTGGTGAGCCAAACATTCTCAGCAAGTGAGCCCTTAAGGGTAGGAAAATGAAAGAGTTAAGCTCTGACCTAAATTCCTTATCCCATATTAGACTCCTCAGCTCTGCCCCTCAACAGTACATGACAAATACTGGAGGGCATGTGGGAAAAATGAGACATTAATGTACTACTGTTGGAGTTGTGAATTGATTAAATCATTCTATACAGCAATTTAGAACCTATGCCCAAAGGGCTATAAAACCATGCATACCCTTTGACACAGCAATATCAATACTAGGTCTGTATCCTAAAAGAGATAAAAAAACAAAAAGGAAAAGGACTTATACATACAAAAATATTTATAGATCTTTTCTGGGGGTAAAGAATTAGAAATTGAGGGGATGTACATCAACTGGGGAATGGCTGAATAAGTTGTGGCATGTAATTATGATGGAATAATATTGTACTATAAGAAATGATGAGCAGGATGTTCTCAGAAAAACCTAGAAAGACTTACATGGGTTGATGCAAAGTGAAATGTACTGGATACAAAGCAAACATTGTAAGATGATCAGCTGTGAATGACTTAGCTATTCTCAGCAAGACAACGATCCATGACAACTCTGAAGGACTTAGGATGAAAAATGCTATCCATCCCCAGAGAAAGAATTGATGGTGTATGAATACAGACTGAAGCAACTTTTTTTTCCACTTTATTTTTCTTGATTTTTTTTGTCTGCGTTTTCTTTCATAACATGACTATTGTGGATATATTTTGCATGACTACACAAGTGTGGCCTATATGGAATTGCTTGCCTTTTCAGTGAGGGTGAAGAGGGAGAGGTGAAAAGAATTTGGAACACAAAGTTTTGAAAACAAATGTAAAAAAAAAAGAAAGAAACCCATCTATATAAATAAGAAAGGCCATAAGAAAATTTCATCAAAGAACAGTGTCAACTATTATTTCACCTATACATTTGAAAGTATGCTCAACCTAATGAATTCAGATATAGTCTAGAGAAAAATAAGTTTGTTGTTTCTAGATACATTAGAGAAATAAATAGTTAAAAACACTTCACATTTCAAGGAATCACAGGAAAAAGCTACACAAAACACACACACAAAAGATCAAGACTATTCTTTAAATATCCTGAAAAGAGGCAGTTCATAACTCTAAGCCCTAAAAACAACCCACATTTGTAGCATTTAAATCCCCGCAGATGAGAGTTGACACAAAACTGTTGATTCTTTTTTGATGATGTTAACTAAAAAACAAACAAACAAACAACAACAAAACCCACAAGTCCATGAGATGTGTTACAACTGGCCCTGAAGCCATCTGTGACCATACGTAATTCTCTCAAAATATAACCAGAAAGTAGTATGTGATCTTTCAAAAGACTAAGCAAGTCAGAACTCACATTTGCAAAATGTTTCCATGTTAGGTCTGGGCATGTACAAAAGCAAGGTTCCATTATTTACACACCCACACCTGCCCACACACACATACCCACACCCCAACCTTTAAAATCTGGTTCCCTTCAAAGGAAAGCGTAAGGCTATACACACGTGACTCCAAAGATGACACAAATGCTCAAAAACATTTCTGAAACTCATCTTTATGCAATTTTAATTATGCTGCATTCTTGTGAATAATCTCAGTAGTGAAAAATTTTTATTTTTTGAGAGATTTCATTTTCTGAAGCAGTCAAGACATTTAATCAATTAATAAACATATATCAATGACCTACTATATGCCAGACATTGTGCTAAGTGCTAGAGATAGAAAAAGAGACAAAAGAGAATTCTTGCCCTTAAGGAGCTCATAATTTAATGGAGAAGACAACAAACATACAAAAACATAAACAAGCTATATACTGGATAAATAGGAAATAAGTTAACAGGGCACTAGAATTAAGAGGGAATAGGAAAGGCTTCCTGTAAAAGATGGGATTTTAGTTGGAATCTGGGGAAGCCAGTAGGCAGAGCTGAGGAAAGGTAGAGTGCCAGGAATGGGGGATAGCCAGAGAAAATGCACAGAGACAAGAGATGTAGTGTCTTGTTTGAGGAACATGGAGAAGGCCTCAGGTGTCACTGGATGAAAGAGTACAAGGTGAGGAAGTAAGGAATGAAGGAGGCTAGGTCATAAAGAGCACTGAATGCCAAGCAGAGGATTTTGCTGATGCTGGAGGCAAAAGGGAGCCAGTAGGTAGTGGAATGGAGTGTGTGTGTGATATGGTTGGACCAGTGATTTCAAAAAAACCCACTTTTACTGGCTGAATGGAGGATGGACTGGAGTGGGTAGCAAAGCTGGCTTGCCAGAAGACTATTTCATTAATCCAGGCATGAGGTAATAAGGACCTGTGCCAGTGGTGGCAGGGTGATAAGAGAGAAGATGGTACTTTTGAGAAATAGTACAAGGACATTTACAGACCATATTGAGTAATGTAGTTAAACAAAATATAGACTGTCTTTTGCTCAAAAATAAATTATGGCCATCAAGAAATACTGGTTACCTAGTTATGTATTATGAAAAAGTTTTGGACAATGGCAACACTGTTGAAAAAAAGATATTTAGCCCCTCAAAGGAGACTGCTTTTGAGGAAAACATCTAAAATATAAAAAAAGTCTAGCACATTTGTCATTCAAACTTCTTATCCCAGGGTTCTTTCCTAACAACATTCTTTTTATATGTTCTATTTAATAGATTACTTTTAAATCAGTAAAAGATTAAGTCCAAGAGTCTGAGAATTTAGACACGCTATCTCCCTCTCCCTTCCCCACAAACACTAATACTGCTTTCAAAGCTTACCCCTCGCAGTCACTGTCAAAGGCAGTAATCACTGTAGAGATGAAACTAAGCAACTGCCTCTGAACACGCTGTGGCCCAGGGCCTCCTCAGCAGCCATAGCTCCAGAAAATAAAGTTCTCTCCAAATTCCTTGGCAATATAATGGGTTTAATATATTTTTCTCCCAATGGAAATGACATTAAAGAAGATGAATTACTACTTGCTTTACTTTTGTCCCCTAAGTACCACACTGTGCCTGGACATCTGACTTACAACTGATAACTCCTACGTGTGTTGCCTTTCCTTCCCTATTTGAACATGAGCTCCTTGAAAGCAAGGCCCATCTTGTTTTTCTATTTTGTATGCCCAGTGCTTGGCCCATAGTGTTTAACAAATGTCCTTCATTCATACATTCATTCAGTAAAGAATCTATAGAGGAAAAATTAAATGAAGCAGGATTATGTGAGGAAAGGGCTCTGATGCTATTTCTAAAAAGATAAATAATCTAGGACCACTGCGGCTACCTCTAGGTATGTGTAAGAGTCCAGATTCATCCCTAGTGAATGCTGGTCCCAGAAAATAGCACCAATCTTTCTCTCTCTTAATACTTACCTAGGCACCAACAACCCTCTCTTTTCTCCCTTCCCCCAGCAACTACCCTAAGGACAGAACCAATAATATAATCTCTTTCTGCTTTTATTGCTTTTCCTCCACAGAAAGAACTTAAACTTTTAAGAATAGTTGAAGAGCTGTGAGGAGCAGTGAAACACATGTTCATCCTATTGGTTTATTAATTCATTGTCCCAGATGAAAAACAAAGGGAGAGACCTGTTTCTTAATCCAAAAGGTTGCACATTTAACTGATGTAAAAAACTTCATTAGAAGTAGCTTTAAATATTGTTTCTTGAGTCTGATAATAGTGTTCATTATCAGACAATCACTGCTAGAGTTTTGCAGCAATATATGCACCAGGGGAACTTGGCCCTCTAGCTAATTCAATAATCAAAAAGATGGCCCATGTTAAACATATACAGAAAGATATCCTACAGATTTTTAGTACCTATCTATAATCTTGGTGTCATGGAAAGAACATACAATTAGATAATAATTAGGGGATCTCACTCATAATTCTAGCTCTCTCATTAACTTGCTGGCACCAAGACACTTCTGGGCCTCAGTTTTTTCACTTGTAAAACAAGTTAGATTTGCTAAACCTCTTAAGATCTCTTATAGTTTTGAAATTCTATGATCCTATGAAACAATGCTTCAAATTATAAAACTGTTTACAAAAAATAGCTAAATTTATCAAACCAAACCTAAGAACAAATTTGCTTTTACCATAGATATGAATTCTACATGCACAACTATATTACATTTTAGTTCTTGTTTTATTACATTTGGGATTTTGTTTTGATAGGGAGCTTAAACTGGGCTATATATTTTTTATTTCAGTTCCAAACTAGGCAAAAAAGCTTAAGTGCTCAATATAATGTGCGACTGAATCTCAGAATTTCAGAGTTGGAAGCAATCTCAGAAGTCATTTAATAATATAGTATATATGTGATTAGGATACCTCCTTTATAACATTCCTTAAGAGTGGTCATCCAGTCCTTCAAGTCTGAATACTTCCAGTGTACTATTTCCACATGAAAACTCTCTCTACTTTTGGGCTTTTTTTTTAATGTAAGGAAAATTCAGGAGGAAAACTCACTACGCATTTTTCTATAACTGTCAGAAACGTTTTCCTTACTTTAATCCTCAATCTGCCTCTTTGCAACTTCTACTTACAGCTATTAGTTTATCCTTTTGGACCTAGTAAAACAAGTCACACTTGTATGTAATAGCCCTTCAAAAATTAAAAACTGCTCTCTTGTTCCACCTTTCTCCTAAGTCAAGTGGTCTTAACCCTAGAGTTAGTGAATTTTTCTTTAAATATATATTGATTATGACTAGTTTCCTGTGTAATCCTATGTACTGTATTTTATGCATTTAAAAACTTTCCTGGGAGGGAGTTCCAAGGGTTTCATCAGATTGTTAAAAGGGTACATGATACAAAAAAAGGTTAAGAACCCGAATTGTGTTCCTATGACAACTGCCAATTCTCTTCACTATTCATTTTTGCCCTTAGTGTCTGGATGGGCTCTAATTTGACAGTGTCGTTCTTAAAATACAAGTATCCACTAAAATTCAAAGTAACAAAAATTAAAACTACCCCGAGGTATCCATTTCAAGCTAGCAGAGATGGGAAAAAAAACGGGAAACCTACTGTTGGAAAAGCTGTAGGAAAACATAAACACTAAATTCATCATTATGGAGTTGAGAAGTGGTACGATCATTCAGGCAAACAACTTGGAATTCTGCAAAGAATGACCTAAGTTGTTCTATCCTTTGACCCACAGAATCTACTATTAGGATTACACGCCAAGAAATTTAATGATAGCAAGGAAAGATCTACGTGCAAGTCAGCATTCATGGAAGCATAACAAAAAGGAAACAAGATATGTGCTTGACAATTGGAGGGTGACTGAACAAATTATGGCATATTAATGTAATGGAATATTTCTGCTCCATAAGAAAGGAAAACTAGGAAAAATTCAGACAAACTGGAAGACTTATAAGAGGTGATGCAAAGTGAAGAAAACGTCCAAAATTAGACACAATAACAACCACAATGTAAATAAAGTCAACAATGAGAGGCAACAAAACCCAGCACAAATGCATTAATTGTTACTTTCATATTTTCATAGTTAAAGGACATAGCCCTCTCAGTAGTCAACATACTGATAAACTGATTTGAGGGAAATGTACATGGTAGGGAATATAAGTATTTCTTGGGAAACATCAAAACATGCCTAGAAATTTTTAAAAATTTAAATACAAGATGTGGTAGGTCATGATACACTCTAATGCTGCAGATATAGTCACAGATCAAGGTAAAAAACACAGTAGCTGTGTTCTGAAGATTGTTCAGACTCAATTATTATTACATTGTTGTATAACATCACAAATACTATATGGAACAATAAATTTTAATTCATTTGACAACATATATTCTTACCTGGAAGAAATCTTACAAAACGTGGCATGAAATGAAATCTTGGACAGCATGAACTATTATTTTCAAATGAAGGGCCTAAAACAATTGGAAGAGGAAAAAAAAAGTCTTAAAAAACACTCAAAGTTACTCAGTCCCTAGACTTTATGGTAACAAACAACAACACTAGAAAAACATGTATCTGTATATGTACATACACACATACATAGAAAAATGATCACAATTATTTCCAAAGATGAATCAATCACGTGTAACTTATATGAACAGCCAAAGACTAGGACAAGGAAGGATACCAAAAAAATAAGAAAATGACAAAATTCCATTTCACCTCCCCTATCCACCATCAGATATGTACAATTAAAGCAACGATTTTTTAAAGTCTACTTTACACAATAAAATTACTGTCAAACAACACAAAATACATTCTTATATAACATGCTTATATTTCTGTTTTTATCATTTTGTCTTTCAGAAATTTATTAAAGGACTATGCACCTAACCTTTAACAAATAATTGTTGTAGTTTAGTTTGAAAATTAACTCTAATGGGCTCCTTTTCAAAATAAGCACACAATGCCTGAGAGACATTTCCCGAAGAATAAAGTGCTTATCAATGAGAAGAGATAAATGTTTTTTAAATCTTGATAGTCTCCCATGTAAGCATTAGTATACCTGCACAGGCAAAGACAGAGAAAAAGCATGGCAGTGGCCAAGAAAAACATATACTGGTAATCATTTTTTGTTTTCTACACTTAAATTAATTATGGCATTTTATTTTTATAAATTTAAGAATTAGAAGGTTTTTGGGGGGTTTAATATAAAATTTTACTGATTTAAAATATTAACTGACAGGACTATTGTTAATGAAATTTAACTAGCTACTCTTAAAAATGAACAAGAGAACACCTTCTTGAGGCATAATGGGTACTGACATATAGTTTTATGTAAAAAGCATTTTTAAGAACCTGCTGGTGTCTAATCAATAGTGTTTGTCCATATCAATGAAATGAATTCCTATTGGGTACTTTTAAGTGACAGAACTATTTTTACTCAATTCTTCGAAAAATTTTTTTACAGTCAAATTTGGTTTAAAATCTTCTGCAGACTCTTAAATACAAGCATTATCCTTTTCATTACATCCCTATTATGATTTCCTTAATGGAGAGCTAGGTGGCTCAGTGGATAGAGCACAGGACTTAGGAATCAAGAAGACCTACTTCTAAATTCTGCCTTCATGTACTAAATAGCTCTGTGACCTTCAGCAAGTCAATTAATTTCTCTGTGCCTTAGTTTCCTCAACTGTAAAATGAGGGTAACAGTAATCTCTACTTCACAGGGTTGTTGAGAGGATCAAACGATTTAACATATGCAAAGCACTTGGAAAACCTTAAAGTGCTATATAAATGCTAACTATTATTATTACAACTTTACATGAATTTTCTATTTGCCCCAGTCTGATCTGCACAAGAGGTACATATTAGTCATCCTTTGCTGAAGTACCATACCTGTAAGATTCCAATCATAGAGTTCCAAAATGTCTCTGAATAAGTACAAGGAAAAGAGCTCAAGGCCTTTCACACAAAAATTCTGAAAAACAATAAATATTTTAGTATTGTATTCCACAGACCACAAAGACTGATGTTTCACTGTGGGGTGGCAGTGACTATAGGTTCTCAGCAGCTCTGCCAGCAGCTTAGGCTCTAGCAGGGCCCAGAAAATTGGAAAGTATTAGAGTTTGGGTCTGCTAAATTGTATGGTCAGAGGTTCGTTCAAATATGATCAACTTTTTGGCAATAGCAACAAAGTAAAACCATCAAGCAAGCCCTAAAATGGCCACAACCAGCCTTATAGATGTCTTTTAAATATAAAGTAATAAGTTTGCTATTTCAAAATAATTTTAAAACTGTAGAAACCAACTAAATAGGAGTTGCTCAACATTATTAACTTGCTAATATAATAATGATACAACAGGACAACATTGCCAACAGGGATAGAGCACTAGCCTTCGGTGTGGAGAAGGCCTGGCTTCAAGTTCTCATTGTGACGTATGCTGCCTGGTTACTCTGGGTAAGTCATTTAACCTTTCCAGTTGACTCAAGAGAACTTTCAGAGACTCACATTAATTTGGTTTTGGGATTGCATATCTCTTGCTGATACAAGTCTCAGCACAGTTTTAAACTTTAATAGCTTAAGTACTGCTGGTGGACAGCAACAATGAAAAGCCAGGAAAAAAGGTATTCAGATGACCAGTAACAGAATCTATTGCTTATACGAACTACATTAGAAACAGATTTAAAGTTACTGTTAGCTGATAGAACATGAAGAATGATATATTCAAAAAGAGATAAAGTGACTTAACAATGGCCCACATTTTACACTATAACTTCTACCTGCTTCAATAGTCTGTCAAAACATAATGCTACCAGGTTATAAATGTAGTAAAAGTTCCAATACAGACATTTCAATACTTTAAAAAAATAGAAATTTCGAACAAAAAAAGAGAAATGCCCCAAGGTGTTCTGTTAAATAATTATCCCCCTTACCTCAGGCATCATCTCTTCAATGAAATGAATTGTGTAGTCTATGTTAAATCTAATTACTTTACACAGAGGAATCTGTAATAACAATAAGAGAAGTTTAGTTCTTACTGTTCTCTAAGTGTTTTTCTACCTGATTTAAAAAGTAATAGACATATATGAAGTACAGTGTTTATAATTCTACCAATTACCATTTGGAGGTATATACTGCAAAGTTATACCATGTTGGGCAGGTTGTAAAGCTAATAAGCAGGTACTAGGTCTGCTCTCTACATATATAAGTGTACTGGTAATGATTTAGTAACAGAATTAAAGGGAAAAAGCATTAAATCATCTAAAAAAATTCCTTCACCTCAAAAGTCACTATCAGCAGAAACACAACATAACAAATTTCCTAAATCTCTCCCCTAGTCTCCTGCCATCATCCACTGCTCCCAGTAGTTTTCTTGTATATTTCAGAGAATCCATAAAATCAGAATCACAGTGGTACTTTCATAAACTATGGCATTCTTAAGTAGATAAATGACATAGAATTCAACTAAACTGCCTACATGGATAAAAAAAAGTAGAATTTAACTTCAATGGGCTACTCAAGGTTAACAATAAGCTGAAAGAAAATGGGATGAGTTTTGACCTGTTCCAACAAAAAACTGTCACCTCAACTAGATTTGGTAGGGAATTTGAGGAAAGTGGTCATCTCAAGAAGGTATGTCCTATTTGTATGACTGTAGCATTCGAGTGGACACTAAATGATCCCTTGGGGCGAAAAAAGGAGTGGAAAAACAATTCTACACCTGAAGAATTCTTAAAATTATGGTTATTAGGAAAACCATGATAATTCATGTCTCATGCTTTCCACAACTATGAAGCTGATATAATGGCAAAATAGTCTGCTAGTGCCATCTACTGGAGAAAGAATTTTGTTCGAGGAAAATACGTTACTGTTTCCCAGAAAAAAAAAAGAGTAACATTAAAATTAATTTTATACCAACTTCTACATTAATAAAGAAGGATTTTCATCTTTTGTCCAATGAACTGTACAAAGACAAATCACAACTAAAGGTCACTGCCATTTGCAAGTTCCACATCCCCATCTATCTCATTTCACTTGTACATGATCATCAGCAGACAACTGATTTTCTATTAAACTGAAATCATTATTCTCAATTCACTTAATTTTTTTCTCTTGATACCTTCTTTTTTATCCAAATATATACCACTGTACTATATACTATATTTTATCAAAGGATACATGTACTTGTCTTACACACCTGCCATGTTCTTCCTTAACTATTTCAACTCTGCATTTCTGTTGGAGTCTTAAAAGATCCAGGCTGGAATGACTACTTTAGGTTACTTCATATTGGCCCATTAAGTAATTATTTTATACTGGGTTCAAAAAGTGGCTTCCAGCCAACATTAGTTTAGGAAATAGAGATACATAACCATTTTTTTTGAATAAAGATTACTCTACGGAAAGCAAAATCAGATGAATTAAAAATCCTGAGATCTAGTCACTATTCATTTTACTCATCTTCAAAAACACAAAATTAAAAAAGATACCTACACTCAAACCTCTAAGTCAGGGTATATACTCTAAACCAGTTCTCTTTAAACTATGGGTCTTGACCCACAGTTTAAGAAACATTTTAGGGGTCATGAGTGGAAAAAGTTTAAGAAACACTGCACTAAACCACAATTTATCCAGATAGTCTTAGATTAAAATTATGATAAAGCCAAAAGCATTCTGGGTATAAAGAGGTCTTTATCTCTATACTGGGTATAAACAGTGGGTAGAATTAAAGGTCTTAACTCTCTGATCTAATCAAAGCCTAGTTCTAGCCAAAACTAAAACTGAATCTGAATTCATGGTAATTATCCTATCATCTATTAAATCCACATTCTTCAAAGGCTTTCAAAAGGATATGCACTAAAGGATGGCCTTAATGAATGTTTACAATCAATGTAGTTTAGCAAAGAGGGCTTATGTACTAGATAACTACTAAAAAAAGCACAGTGGTTTTTGATGATTTTTTAGCAGATGATGGTCAAAATTTCCTTTCATTGTTTAGAAAGTTCAATAATTTCCTCAATACATGGTAACCCTAAGTATGTCTACAAAGCTAACACTATCATACTGATTTTCACATTTATGATGTAGACAACTTCTCAAAGGGAAACTTTGGACCAAAAATATGACTGTAAAATAAGATAATCATCTTTGTCAAGCAGTAGCATCATAAATAATTACCCTAAGTACTGAAGAATGCAGAAAGAGGCAATTAAAGACTTGTAAAAGGTGGAGGAAAGAAGAAACTAGAGGCAGATAATTTCTCATCAATTCCTAATTCATTTTGTTTTAGAAAAAAATTTCACACTATGTGGGGACACCATGTATTGGTTTTTTGTTTACCTAATAGCAAAAGACTTTCAAATATACAAATCAGGAAAGAATTCCATTTGGCAGTGTTTTTGAACCAAAGCATATGATAGATAGATGGTAGAATTGTTATATTCTATACTCCAGAACACATAAGCAGCTATTTCAGCAGGTTAATATAATGAGGCCAACTGAAAGAGTAGAATAAATTATTCAATCACTTAGGTTGTCACATTTCCACAACACAGTGTTCCTTCAACTGAAATTTAGAAATTCATTTTGAACTTAGTACCAAACATGTGATGTGAGGAGTAATTAAAAAATTGACTGATTCTGTATCTCAGAGAAAGCTTCTCAAAGAAGGACAGATCTTAGGACACAAAAATAATCTGGTTTTGCTAAAATTAACTCAGGCTTGAGATGTTCTGAAGGGTTTCATTTTTTTTTTTGCACAGTTCAAAGTCTCACTCCTTTCTAAAAACTTTCTTAAAAAGAAAACTCAAAATAGCTTTAACATGTTGATCCATGTTACCATTTCTTTTCAATCTTTCACATCTTAAAAATGTTACTGTAACATTTATATATAGATATATGAATTCTTATAACCCAAACCTGGGACTCATTAGAAATAATATCACCCTCTCACACACTCTGCCAAAGCACACAATATCCTGAGGCTTTTTTAGCAATACTACATGATATCAGAGAATTCTAAGAAAAAAGGATATATACTTACATTGGTCAGAGGAGCATGTGCAAACATAGAAAATCCTTCAAAAATATATTCGTGATCATCATATTCTATAACAGTTGGTCTATCAGTCTAAGAAGCAAAATTATTAAAAAGTATACATCACATACAGGCTATGCAAAATTTGCTAGCATATACTGTTCCAGAATTGTTTCTCAATGAAAACTCAAGCCCACTAGAAGTAAAATGAATTCAACAAACGTTTACTAAGCAGTCAGCCAACCAACAAGAATTTATTAAATAATTACTATATAGCAGGGACTATGCTAAGGACTAGGGATACAAAAAAAGGCAAAAAGGCCCTGCCCTTAAAGACCTGACATTCTAGTGGAAGAGACCATATGCAAGATATATATAAAGTAATCTTAAAGAGAAAAGGCATCAGCATTAGTTAAGGTGAACTAGGAAAGACTTCTCGCAGGAGGTAGGATTTTATCTGAGACTTGAAGGAAGCCAAGGGAGCCAGGAGGCAGAGATGAGAAAGAAGTACAGTCCAAGTATAGGGGATTGCCAGTGAAAATGCATGGAATTGGGAGATGCAGTATCTTATGTGAGGAAAAGGTAGGCTCATATAAAGTGGAAATAGTAAGTAATAGAGAAAATTGGAAGAGAAGGGTTTTGGGGGGGTTTTGGGAGTTCAGTTTTGGACATGCTGAATTTAAGATGTTGCAGGTAAAAGTGTCAGTGCTGGACCACTGACAATTATTAGAACCAGAAAGTTTTTCTCTTTTAATAGAATTTCCCCCCAATTATATGTCAAGACAATTTTTAGCATGCATTTTTACAAGATTCTGAGTTCCAAATTATTCTCCCTCCCTCCCTTCCCTCTTCCTAAAATGGCAGGCAAGGGAGGCGGAGCCAAGATAGCACAATAAAGGCAAGGACTAGCCTGAGCTCTCTCCCAAACCCCTCCAAATACCTTTAAAAAATGCCTCTAAACAAATTCTAGAGCAGCAGAATCCAAAAAAAGATGGAGTGAAACAAATTTTCAGCCCCAGATAATTTGGAAGGGTGGCAGGAAAGATCTGTTGCACAGGAGTGAGAGAGGAATGCAGTCCAGTGTAGACTGGGCCTGATCAAACTAGAAGCAGACCTTGGGGTGGAGTGGGATAGAGACCACCTACCCAAATAAAAATTCAGAGGTTTCTCTCAGTAGAAACAGAAGGTTTATTCTAGAACGTCTCGCTCGAGAATTGGGTATCACGTACCCAGGGTGGACTGGAGTAGGGAGGCAAGGTACAGGCAGCAAACAAGCAGTTATATACCCTTAGACAAACAACTCTTAAGAAAAACCCTCCCCAACTTGTTTACCTCAATCTCTTTATCCTCATTGGTTGAGGTGAGAGACCTTATATTCTACCCAGGAACTAAGAGATACATTTTACCCAAAACAAGCTTGGGAGCTAGAAGATTACTTTATTTGGCAAAGATAAGGCTGGGGTGGTGGTTACAAAACAAGGGAGGGGGTGGGCAACACATGTATGACCTGATCACATGATTTACAGGAAAACGAAACTTAGGCCCAGCTAATGCTAAAGCCTTAACTAAATTTTGGAGCATAGCTTCCATTTCATATGAGAAACTTTCACTTGTCCCACACAGGGTGAATGACTCAGTGGCAGTAGTGGCAATTTCCAGAACTCTCAGCCCACAGGCACCAAAGACAACTTAGAAGGGCAACAGTAAAGATCTGTCAGACCTAGGTAAGGGTGAAATGCACTCCGACCCCAAAAAACCAGGAGCAGGCCTTGGGAGTCACTGAAGCAGTAGCAACAGTGGCAGCGGCTGCTTCTGGAGCTCTCACCCCACAGAGAGTAATGGGATCAAACAACTGGTCAGAAGGAGTTTATAGGAGTCTTTTTGCTAGCAGTGAGGCAAGACTCTGTTACTTTGTCCATACTTAGATCTGAGTGGCAGTCCTAGTTGACAGTCCCACCATGAGAAAAAGCACTAGTATAGCAAAGCTTGTAGCCACAGTGGAGGGGAGACCCTTCTCACAGTTCCAGGGCACAAAACAGTGCTTGTGGTCACTCACAGACCAGAGCACAGGCTAGCTAGGAGAGTAGCAAATACCTCTCCTTAGATCATACCACCTTGGAAGAACTGAAAACTAACAGGTCCCTAGAAGTATCTCTGAAAACAGCTGTACAAAACCTCTGAAGCTTGGGAGATTCTACTTTAACAAAGAGTTAAAAATCGAGTAACAGGCTGGGAAAATGAGCAAACAAAGGGGATAAAACTGACTACAGAAAGTTACTATGTTGACAAGGAAGATCAAAACACATACCCAGAAGAAGACAACAAAGTCAAAGCTCCTACCTCCAAAGCCTCCAAGAAAAATGACCTTGGGCCCTGGAAGAGCTCATGAAAATCAAGTAACAGTAGTAGAGGAAGAATTGGGAAGAGAAATGAAAGTGATACAAGAAAATAATGGAAAAATGAGTCAACAGGTTGGTAAAGAAGACACAATAAAATTCTGAAGAAAATAACATCTTAAAAAACACACTAGGCCGAATGGTAGAAGAGGTCCAAAAAGCCTATGAGGAGAAGAATGCCTAAAAAGCAGAATTGGCCACATGGAAAAGGAGATCCAAAAGCTCATGGAAGAAAATAATTCCTTAAAAATCAGAATGGAGCTAATGGAAGCTAATGACTTTGTGAGAAATCAAAAAATAATAAAATCAAAAGAATGAAAAAATAGAAGACAATGTGAAATATCTCATTGGCAAAACAAATAATCTGGAAAATAGATCCAAGAGAGATAATCTAAAATGGTAAGTTGATATAGGTTATACATGTGCTATCATGTAGAACTTATTTCCATATTAGTCACTGTTGTGAAAGAAGAAACAGATCAAAGGCGGGAAAAAAAACCTCAAAAAAGAATAAAGTGAAAAAAGTATACTTTGGTTTGCATTCCTTTGTAAGCTCCATTAAGAGGTTGCAAAAAAATAAAATGACCTTAGTTGCTGAGATTACAGGGATCAAATCACAAGGAAAATAAGAGAGATAGAGCCCTTTATTTTTAAAATCATATAAAGTATAGAAGAAAGCAAAGTGTGAGAATTACAGAAATGGATTCTACAATACATTACCTTATTAAATGGCTAAAATATGTTTAAGTACTTACTAAAAAGTTTGTAGGAGGTGAAACTGTAATTCGATAGTGGTAGAGTCTGCCAGCATTGTTGGTCATAGGACGACAGGGTTTGATGGGCTTGAAAAGAAAAAAAAATTATATAAGAATAATTTATTAAGAGTCAACTTCTGAGAAAGGGGGAGGAGAGGGTGTATATATGTTTTCTGGAAAAAAGTAAGGAAAGCAAAGTCTCAACACATCAAAGTGGCTGGTAACCTTAGACAAATTACTTAACCTCTATGAAACTCATTTTCTTCTGTTCTCTGACACTGCTACCACTCTGATAAAGGCCCTTATCACTGCATATCTAGACTATTCCAATAGCAGGCTGACTGATCTCTATGTCTCAAGCTTCTTCCTATTCCAATCCATCCTCCACTCAGCTGCTAAAGTGATGTTCAAAAATAACAGGTCTGATTATGTCACCCTCCCCATTCAACAAATTTCAGTAGCTCCCCTTTAAACACCAGGATCAAATGTAAAGTCTTCTCTTTGGCTGGTCTCTTCCTACTTTTCCAGTTTTCTTAAACCTTACTACTCTCTGACTGAATGACACTGAACTACTAGCTGTACTGGCTCCATCATATTCCCTCTCTTGACTCCAAGCCTTTACATTGGCTGAACACCGCTCTTGGACTTCTCTCCCTTTTCATCTCCATTTCCTGGCTCCCCTGACTTTAAGCTCCTCAAAAAAAGGACATTTTTTGCCTTTCTATGTATCCATAGTTAGCACTTCACACAGTTCCTGGCACAAAGAAAGTACAGTCTGATGGGGGAGACAACAAGCAAACATTTATTTCAAGCAAGATATGTACAGGATAAATTGTGGACAGCCTGAGAGGTAAGGCACTGAGGGTAAGGAAGACTGGGAAAGGTTTCTTGCCACAAGTGGGACTTAAGCTAAGATATGAAGAAGTCAGGGAAGCTTACCCTTTGCCTCTTTACAAAAGTCATATACATATTTTAAAAATAATTATTGTCTTTCAAAAAAATTCTTTAGCTACTGACAAATTCAAAGGAAACTTGAGGTAGAATTCTCCTTCAAAATAACTGTTCGCATTTGCCTCACCAGCCCACTGGCCTGGCACTTTAAAGACTAATGTTCCAAACCAGTTACCTCTTCACCAGGATAGATGCTGTGCCGGATTCCTGTGCGCCTCGCTTTTGCACTGCATTTACAGAGAGGGCCATCATTCATCTGTCAGAGAAAGAAGAGAATTTCATTTTCATTGGGAAAGGGGGAAAAAAAAAACCCATACAAGATGATGTCTCAGAAATGGTTTCAGTTTTCACATCATCAATTCCAAAGCCCCTGAGCGCCTGTCACGGACAGAAGATTAAAAGGAGGCTCTAAAACCCATAAAGCTGCAAAGTATCCACATATAGTCTGATAAAAGAAAGCCAACAGCAATATTAGCTCTGAGTATTATTTGGGCAACCAAGGAGGAAATACCAACGTCAGTATACTTCTTTGCCCCCATTTTACTCTAAACCTGTCTATATATTTCCACAACAACTTATTTTTATGAAAAATGTACTTTTCCACAAAGAACTAATACAATTTTGACTCTGGAACAACTAGAACATTTTGAAGGTGACCTGAAGATTTTAAAATCTGAATCACTTTCAACTAGAATTACGGATGTACCTTTCAGAACCAGAGAAACTCTGAACGTATTATATGGTGGTTGTTTTTTTTTACTCAGAGTTGGGACTTACTGCTATGCTGGGAGTACTGCCTTCTGTGTTCTGGCCTACTACCAACTAGCCTGTTTTACCTATTACTTGGAAGCCCAAACATTCAGTTTTCTAAGGACCTTCCCAGATAAGAGATTCTCATATCTAAGGCAATACCCTTCTTCGATCTGTTGGGGGTTTTTCACTTAAATTTCTTTTACTGTTTTAACAACATAGTTGAATCTTATTAAGATACTAATTTCAAAACACAAATCTTTTCCACTTATACAGAACTCCAAGTGGTAATGACCCCAAAAACTGAATAATCCTTATCAGAAGTATTGCTGTCAATTGCTATCTTTATCAATGACGCAATATGAGGATTTCACTGGTTTTCCTGTACGGATATTTGGGGATGACACTGTTAATTTGAGTGGCCATAAAACTGATAGAATTTTCACCTTATTCTTCATGCTCTTTTGGTTAAGGATCTCAGATCTTTTTTTCCTTTTTTATCACAAACGCATACTATACAATAATAATCTAGGTCTGATCTCATAATAAAAATCTTATTTCTTTTGGGTTTTTGAAATGACTTGCACTAGGTCCCTATTTTGGCCAAGTTCAATGATATCTGAGCACAAAGTGCCCTCAGACTCCAAAGGCCATGTCTGGGAACATCCTGAAAATCACCATGCGTATTATACGTTTTAAACTTATGTTTTATCTTCCAGTCTTATTTGGCAGGTAGTTTAACACTGAGCAAGGTCATTTGTACACTAAATGTTTCTAAGACTGTTGCCCGCAACCAGAACGGAAAGGTGCGAAATAAACTTGAGACGTGGGCCAGGCGGAGCAGTAGGAACTGATTCATTCATCTAAGGGTACAGGATATATAGAGAAAATCCATCCTAACTTCAAAGAGTCCTCCCCATGAGACACTCCCTGAAACATCTGCTAAGGATGTGATAACATACATTTCCTCCTTATCAGAGTTCCTAGATAGGGTTGTAAATTCCAAGGCTTTTTCCTGGCACCTGTATAGAGGAGTGAATATGTAAATCTAAGGTTCAAAGAGTGGGAAGGAATGTCTCAGAAGCCTCCTAGCAGGGAGAGATTTGGAGAGCCCTGCTTCTTAATTATTGAGCCCTTTGGGTTAAAGCCTGGGCAAAGGTCAAACTCTATCCTGGATCTTAAACCCATATCGGACTCTTAAGGCTGGCCCTCTACATGAGACATCCACTACATGTAAGGCACAATGCTATATCTACAACATATAATCTCTGTCCCCCTGAGAGTTTGTAATTTGGCTAGACAAACAAAACACAAACATGGGAAAAATTAATAAATTATTAACTGTTCTGATCATGATTATTTTCCAAAAGAAAGTTATGGAGATATAGCAATTTTGTCTCTTCTAGTTCTAAATGTATAATCCTACAAACCAGACTTCCTAAGAATTCTTTCTTTAGTGTCCATAAGGGGTTATCTATCTTCTGCTTTCAGACATGTGATTGATAAAATATTAAGTAAGGACAAGCAATGGAGGAAACTCACCAACTCCCAAAGCAACCTCCTATTTCATTTTTAGATAGATTTAAATATTAGGAATTTTTCCTTACACTAGAACTAAATCTCAATCAATCTCAAGCTCTCTCTCACATTTCCACCCACTGCTCCTAATTTTGCCCTTTTCTTTCCATCTCAAAAATCTAAAATATGATGATTCTAAGTGTAATCCCTCTTCAATGATAGTCCTTCAAATATGTGAAGACAGTATAAAGCACTTTCCTACCCACTAAGTCTTCTCTTCTAGAGGCTGAACATCCCTGGTTCTTTCAAACTATACTCCTATTCAGTTCAGTTTTTTTTTTTCAATCATGCCCAACTCTTTGTGACCCCATTTGGGGTTTTCTTGGCAAAGATAATGAGGAGAGTGGTTTCCTATTTCCTTCCCCAGCTCATCTGACATATAAGGAAACTGAGGCAGAGAAGGTTAAATGACTTGCCCAGGGTCACACAGCTATGAAGTATTTGAGGCCAAATTTGAACTCTGAAAGATAAGTCTTCCTGACTCCAAGCCTGCAGTATATCCCCTGCATCACACCTAACTGCCCTGTCCTCCTAGAATATGTTCTAAAATCTTTCTATTTTATCATTCTCACCTTCTTTTAGATATGTTTATGTCTTTCCTAAATTGTGGTACCAGAACTGAACACAATACTCCAGAAAGGATGTGATGAAGGCAGAGTATAATGGAATTATATCTGCCCTATTTCTGGACAATATATCTCTTAATATTAACTAACAGTCCATCATATCAGAGTGCTGACTTATGCTGGATTTACAATCCATTAACAATCCCAAATGTTATTCATAGCCACATCTCTTTTATTTATGTTTTATTTTACATTTATAAAATATTTTATTTATAAAATTATTTATAACTTATATTTATAAGTTTATATTTATAAAATTAACATATAAAATTGCAGACCTTTATACTTGTTCCTTTTAGCATTTCCACTTATTTTATATGATCCATTTCTGTAGCCTGCTGAGAAATCTTTTTGCACCCAAACACTGTAGTTGAAAGTGTTTGTCACTCCTCCATGGCTCATGGTATTTGCTATTTTGGCAAAAATGCCTTCTCTGCTTTCAAGTATATCACTGATAAAAATGTTAAACAGGGATAGGTCAAGTACAGATTCCTAAGATATGCTGCTAGGGACTTCCACCAAGCTGACTGTGGGTTCAACCTTTCAATGGCTTTTGAGCGTAATCACTGAACTAGTTCCAAACCTACCTAAGTCATACAATCACTTAGTATACACTTCTATATCTTGTCTACAAAGAATGACTTTGTCAACTGATTTGATGAAATTTAAATATACTATATCCCCTTATAAATGAATTCCTCTTATACATGAATCTCTATTGTAAATGAATCTATGTATTCTAGTAAAAATATAAATTAGGTTAGTTTGACATAATCTTTGCTTTGTGAAGCCACCGTGTCTTTTAGTTATTACTCCTTCCCTAAGTCTTTATAAACTATCGTGTTAATAATACATTCTAGATTTTTGGACAGGAATAGAAGTCAAATTAATTGGCCCACAGACTGCAAAACACTAGCCTCCTTTCCTTGAGACATTTGTCTTTATCCAGTCCTTGAGTCATTTTCTCAACTTCCAAATTCTTTCAAAGCTCCCTAATCACACTTTAGTAATTACTGCCAGCTCTTTCCAAACACTAATATGTAGTTTTTCTGTGCCTAGTGACTTTAATACACATTAGCTATATGCTATCTAACCAAGTCTTCACCTAATCTGGGCTTCTACTAATTGAGGAATAGTTTTCTACTATTCTTCCAGTCCAAAGATCACTCTCTATGAAAGAGAAAACAAGCAGATTTGCTTCTCATCTAGTCATCTCGTCATTGTACATTACCTTCATTTCATCCACCTCATGTAGTGGTTCTCTCTTCAATTATCCTTTTGCTCCCAATCTAGATAAAAATTTTCTTGACCTTGGCCTTCATTACCAGGCTTGGCTCCTTCTGGACTTCAACATTCCTAACATAATCCTTACAATACTTTTGCATTTATCCTGAGTTATTTGACCTTGTTTATATTTTCTGTGTTTTAAAAAATTCTCAGTTGGGGAGAACCTTCTGGCAAGACAAATGAGAAAGAAAATGGCTCTTTCCTCAGCTTACTTCCCTTCATCCCTTCAAAATAATAAACATGCCAAATAAATTAAAAGAACAACAAAAAGCAGTAAAAAGGAAAAAAAAGTATTAGGAGGAAATGCTTAGAGGAAAAAAAGCAGCAAAGACAATAAAGAAACAGGTAAATAAAAAACCCTTCAAATGTGAAGAAATAATGAGGTAAAAAGTATGAGCAGAAATCTGTAGAAGATAACTCAGTAATGACTGTAATCAGAATATTAGAAAAAAAATATAAGCTACTAGAACCCCTTGTTTGAAAACTCCAAAAAATTAAAGGAAGAGATAAAAGAACCCAACAAGCACAATCCTCCTCCCCAAAACAAAGTGTAACAAAAGACTGGATACCATATTTTTGGAAATCACAAAATAATTACACTGAAAAATTGGTATTAAAAGCAAAGCACAGATACACAGAATCAAAGCTACAGAAAGTATCTCTAAGTTTCTCCCAAGAAACGTAGCTGCCAAGCCCAAGACAAAATATTATAAGCAGCCAGAAGATAATTTATCTACTAAGGTACTTGACCAAAGTGTCTTCAAAGACAATCTAAATCACGTCTCTGCACAGTTCAGCCGTGAGCCAAATTTTGAAGGCAAAAAGACAAACAAGCTTTAAATAACATATGGCATGCCGGAAGTAGAATTTTGTCTGCACTGCTGAGTGTCCTTTAATCCAAGCATGCTCATCAGAAACATGCAGAAGAGAATAGTCACCAATCACATCAAAGCCCTCTAGTTTAAAATAGTTTCAAAATAAACATACAAACCTGTCCTGGGTCATTATACCAGAGTTCTTCATGAAGTCGATCAGGGTGGGCTTTTTTGCGTTTGATTTCAGCAATTACATCAAAAACATCAGAGTCTGAGCTGCTGGAACAGCTGCTATCATCATCAGAGTCACAGTCAGATTCGCTGGAGCTATCTAATATAACAATGGGGGAGTGGAGAAGGGTAGCCAAATAAGAGGAAAGAATTTTTTTTTAAGTGTAAGAGACTTCCAAGTGACTGAAACATCTAAACTTTAGATTTTAAAATAACATTCAATAAATATTACTGAATTCCCACCATATACATAGTACACATAGCACTATGTTAGGTACAGTGATAGGTAATACCCAGTCTTATTTCTCTCCGGTCCATACTCTTGTGGAGCCTGCAATTTAGTTGCAAAAACATGATTCATATGCATAAAGGCTAAACATAATAAAAGAGTTAATGAACAATTATAAGAGATGATTAAGCAAAGCTATGGGGCACAGTCTACTCATTTGGCATAAAAAATGGTATAGAATAGAATTAAAAAGCAAAACAAAAAAAAACCACTGTATCTGGGCTCAGAAAACCTAGATTCCAGTCTTAGAAGTATACTTAGACTAAAGAATAGAAGCCTTAAAAGGAGACATAATAGCTGCCCTCAAATATCTGAAGAGCTACAGTGGGGTCCTGATTAGTGCGAATAATGAATCTCATGAAGTACTTGCATGATCCAAATTTGTACTGCATATTTCCATTGAGTTGAAACTAATTATCATATTTTACATGATTTATCACTTTGAATAGCGTAGATTTGAATATATGTAACCATTTCAGAAGATTCATTATTCACACTAATTGGGACCTAGTTATATTCTGTGAGAGAAGAATGAAACATACTGTGCCACTATACAGGTAGCACTGGGAACAATGGGCATAATTTTGTGCAGCCAAATTTTGCTACAATGTAAGAGAACATTCTAACAATTTAAGTTGACTAGCAAAACACTATATGTATTCAATCAAATGCCAGGTGGCCATCCTAACAGTGGTGTTATACAGGGGACTACTATTCATTACTTACTATTTTAAATATAGTAATAATCAATCAAGTGTTTATTTAGTGCCTATCCAATGAAAGACACTGTGCAAAGCAAAATGGGATATAAACAAAATGAATGAAGGAGACAAGAACATATAAAAAAGTACAAAGCATAAATAACAAGTAAATGGCTGTAAATATACGCAAAGGAATTAAATATAAGGTAGTCTGAGAAGGAAGGCACTAGTTGTATTAAAAACAGACATTAAAAGCTTAGAAAACAGACTTCATTATAATTACAGATATTAATCTGTAATAATCTATAATAATCTTATGAAGTACACAGTTAGTTATTACGCCCATTTTACACATGAAAAAACTGAGGCTCAGAGAGGTTAAAGTTGCACATGAGCACACAGCCAGTATGCCACAGGCAAGATTTATATGCAGTTCTGAGGGAGCGGATTCTGGGAAGATGTCGGGGTAGGTCAGAAAATTCCAAACTCTCCAGATTTCCTCCACAAACAAGACAGAAGAACGCCTCAGGGTGAACATACAGCAGCAAAAATAATCAAGAGTTGGGGCAGAACAGTGGTCTGCTTAGGACAACCAAAGAAAATACAAAGATTCCAGGACAGAGGTTTGGTGTGAGTGAGGTGGAAACAACTCTAGGCAGGCTTAGCTGAAACAGCAAGTGGCGAGCCCTGGGGGCAGCTGGGTTGGGAGGTAGCCTCCACCTCAGCCACAGGAATTTTCATCCTAGACAGTGTGGGGAGTTGGGGGTCTGAACAGGGCAAGGGCTGTGGGAACCTTTGCTGACAAGGGACGCCAGGCCCAGCTGTGCTGCTAAGACGTAGTCCTGGGCAAGAAAGAACCATCAAATGACTGGTGAGTACAGAAGCAGTGGGGCAGGGATGCTGCTGGCTGTGGACACTTACAAGAGACCTAAGTTACTGGTCTCAGTTCTAGGCCAAAGGGGAGAACGAAAGGTTATAACCAATGGAGGGTTCTTGGGGATCTAGAGCATTTCCAACATAGTGCACTGGGGGGGCGGGCACATGCTATCTGTGGCATGGAGGGGGAAAGATGTGCAGAGGTTGGGCTCAGGACAAAGCTCAAAAAAAATCACAAGAAGAAACTGAGGCCAGAGGCACCATCTTCCACACCACAGGATTAGAGGTGATTATAATAACAAGCTGCTAAAAGCTGGAAAAAAAAAAACCAACCACCAAGCAGGCAAAGGAGAAAGAACCTAACCACAGACAGTTACTATGGGAATAGAGAAGATCAGGGTTCATGATGTTCAGAGGAGGATACTAAAGAAAATGAAGTCTCTCCTACCCCAAAGAGTCACATCAAACAGTCATCTGCCCAAAAGGAATTCACAGAACTCAAAAAAGACTTTAAAAATCAGAGAGACTGAGAGAAAAAAACAAGTAAGAATAATCCAAGAAAAACAAGATTATGAAAAGAAACTCAACCAACTGGAAAAAGAGAACCAGAATCTTAAGGAAGAAAATGACTCATGAAAATTAGAACTGGGCAAGGGGGAAGCCAGCAAAGTTATGAGACCAAGAAATAATAAAATAAAATATAAAGAATGAAAAAATAGAAGAGAATGTGAAACATCTCATAAGAAAAACAAATGATCTGGAGAACAGATTAAGAAGAGAAAACCTAAGAGTAATTGGACTAGGGGCATCTAGGTGGTTCAGTGTATAGAGCTCCAGCCTTGGAGTCAGGAGGACCTGAGTTCAAATCGGTCCCTGAAAGTTAACATTTACTAGCTGTGTGACTCTGGGCAAGTCACTTAACCCCAACTGTCTCACCCAAAAAAAAAAAAAAAGAATTGGACTACCTAAAAGTTACAATCAAGAAAAGAATCTTGATACAAAGATACAAAAAGTGTTAGCATAACAGGGGAAAGTAGAAATAGAAAACGGAAATAGAAAAAAATCCACTGATCACCGCCTGAAAAAAGAGATCCTATGAGGAAAACCTACAGGAATATCATAGCCAAATTCCCAAACTCCCAGTTTAAGGAGAAAATAATACAAGCAACAAGAAAAAAAACAATTCAAATATGGCAGTCACAGTTAAAATTACACAAGACCAAGCAGCAGCTACACTAAAAGACCGCAGCCGTTATTAATGATTTATCAATAAAATGTTAAACTGAATGGACTTTTCTGAATCCCCATCTTCCTTTAACCTCATAATGTTTTTTGACAATACTAACACTCCTTTCCTCTTGAACATCTTTCATTCCCTGGCTTCAGGGATACCATTCTTTACTGGTTGTCTGACCATTCCTTTTCAGCTTCCTTTGCCAGAGCAACCATTTTTTTGTTCGTGAAGAAAAGAGAGTATCCCCCAGGACTCTGTCCTGGACCTCATTCTCTTCCTTTTCTCCTTTCTGTCTCTCTCGTTTGGTGATTTTCTTTATCAACTCTCATGAAATGAAACTTCTCTAAACAGATGACTTGCAAATCTATAAATCTAGCTCTTTTCTTTCACTTTAACATTAGTCCTACACCACCAATTCTCTGTTGGACATTGCTACAGTGATGTTTCTCAGGCGTCTCAAAGTCAACATATCTAAAACAGAACTTACTAACTGTCCTTCTAAACCTATCCTACCTCTAAACTTCCCTACTTAAGATGAGACCACCATCCTGCTACCAGGCACAAGGTTCATAACCTCAAAGGCATCCCTCCATTCTTTCTTCCTCCTCACCCTTCATAGTCAATCAGATGCCTAGTCGTAACCATTTTAGTTCCACAACATCTCATATATGCCCTTTCTCTATACTCAAATGGCTATCATCCTTCTTAAGGCCCTCATTACCACTTACTTTACTGCAGTAAGTATTACTACAATAAGTTCCTAACTGTTCTTCCCGCATCCAGTCTCTTTTCTCTCTGATACATAAGCCATACAAGGAACAGTTCCAGCAACACAAGTCAGATACTACAGTACTTCCCTGTTCAAAAACTTCAGTGGCTCCCTACTACCTCTAGCACAGAGTACAAACTCCTAAGCTTGGTACTTAAGGTCCTTCCCAATTTGATTCCAACCCACCTTTCTTATTTCCTCCAATTTCTTGGACTTTTAAGTTCCAGAGAAAATGACTACTGAATTTCACATTTTATTTGTCATCCCCATGGCTTTACGTAAGGTAAAGTGGAGCATACTTGTTCCTCACATCTATTTCTTAGAACCTTCCTTCAGGGTTGAACAAAGGTTAATCTTTTCCGTGAAGCCATCCCTGACCACAGCAGATATTAGTGGTCTCAAATGTGCTAGTTTTTATCTCCCAATATATTGTGAAAAAAGAGACTATTTTACTCTGGACTTACTATTTTGCTGTTATAACAGCACCTTATACGTTAGAGGCACCTAAAGGTTTGTTAAATGTCGACTGAATTTTGTACCATCTCTTATAGTGTTGTTCTGAAGTAAGTATACACTATGAAATGTAATCTATTACTATTATCATTAATAATAAAAAAAATTCTCTCAATTTTAACATTAAGAAAATTTTCAAGAATTGTAATAGTCTGTTTTAGGTTTAAAAAAGATACTTTCAAAACTTCAAGTACAAATCCTTCCCAAGGACTTACCTAAATCCTCATCTAGTTTGGTCTTGGGTGGCTCCCATGGGGGTCTCACAGCTTTGGCTTTTGCTTGCCTCTTCCCTAATTCTTCTTCAAACTTTTCATACAAGTCTCGGAGCCTACTTGTCCCAACAACTGTAGAATCTCCCTTAAACATATACCAAAAAATTGGTAGTATTAACAAATTAACTTAGATAATATAATAGACCTGTTATGTGATACCAAAATATCACGGTTTCTACTTTATAAATTTAAAAACAAAATATCTTACTTCTGATAATTTACTGCTACTATTTTCTTTGGGTGACAAATATAGTGAAAAACACCAATCCTGTAAGTTATCTAACAGTGATAATGAGGAAATGCTTTATCTGTTAAAAAAAAATCTGATAAAGAGGGATAAAGATTAAAGTAGAAACTTTGGTATTGCCACCCTCCTATTCCCTCTTAGGATTTTAAAAGTTGATATACACCCAAGAGCATTATAGACGAATACATGGAAATGTCAGGAAACCAAAAAAGAAAACAAAAGTTCTTCCTGTTAAGCTATTTGCTCAGACTTTGAATTCTGGCTTCCCTGACAGAGATTCAAAAAATAACACATGAAGAGAGAAGGACTTGGGCTGAATTAGGAGGGGGGTAAAAGCACTTTGGACTTGTGAAAACGACTAGGGATTTAACTTGGGGAAAAGAAATGTGGAAACATTTGGGGGAATTTGAAAAGAAGCTGAAAGAAAACAACCCGACCAGAAGAAGAAAAGGAATTAGGATAAAGGACCTGAAGAAAAACATATACAATATCCAGGGAAATCATGGGGGAAAAAAGGGGGCTGAAGGAAGAATAGTACTTCTAGACTTCAAATTATAAAGCAGTGGGCATCAAAACCACATTGTACTGGTTAAAAAATAGAAAGACAGGGGTAGCTAGGTGGTGCAGTAGATAAAGCTCCAGCCTTGGAGTCAGGAGGACCTGAGTTCAAATCCAGGCTCAGACACATGACACTTACTAGCTGTATGACCCTGGGCAAGTCACTTAACCCTGACTGACTCACTAAAAAGCAACAAATAAATAAATAAATAAATGAAAATAAAAAGACAGACCAATGGAACCAACTAAAAAAGAGAGAATAAGAAACAATGTTACTCAATAATCTAGGGTTTGCTATCAATCAATCAATCAATCAACATGTATTAAGCAACTTCTATGTGACATTGTAGTAATCAATAAGAATATAAAAAGAAGCAAAAGATCGTTCATGTCCTCAAGTCAGGCCCTTCTAATAGGGAAGACAACATGCAAACAAATATACACAAAGCAAGCTTATAGACAGGGCAAATAGAAAATAATTAACAGAAAGAAAGCACTGGAATTATGAGGGGTTAGGGAAGGATTCCTATAGAAGGTGAGACTTTAGCTGGGATGGGACTTAAAGGAAGCCTCCTTACTCCTCAACAAGCCCTCTTCAATGCAGGGACAGTAGTGTCTTGGCTGTTACATGAACAAGACATTCCATCTCTCAGCTCCAGGCATTTTCTCTTAACATTTAAGGAATATTAAGGGGTTCCCTAAACAAGTCTTTTTGAGTTGTCATATTTTCCAAGAAACACTGGATCTGGAGAATGCAGGAGGCCCTGAATGGGCGAAGGACAAAGTCTCCCTGAGCTGACATAATTTGTTGTTTGCACCCCATGCTGAACTCTCTGTGTGTCCTTGAGAGCCAAAACAGGCACTAGTCAGTCACTAGGCTGAGAAACTGCTTGTGCAGCTGCGACCCTTTTACATAAGCAGACCTTTACATCTTTGCGGTCTAGCAGTTCCCAAGGGAAAAGAATGCCACTTTGGCCATCTTCTTGTTCTTCTCCTTTGGGAGAGGTTTTGTCCTTTTCCCACCTTTACTGCACCTTTCCTCCTCCCATGCTACTCCCTTTTAGGAGGGGATTTCTGTTTTCACCTCTTTTCTTGGTTGTACTGTCATAAATATGCAAACTTCTGTATGGATTGTAAATTCTGCTCTGGCTTAGAGTTCCACGTGTATGTTCATTTCTCTTATAATAAATCTAATGGCAACATAGTGTCTCCTGGTCTTGTGATATCGTTTTTTGTTAACACCTCCCTGCCTGAAACTTCCTCATTCTTCCTACTACCATACTGAAGAAAAATTACTTTGGCAGTAGTATATAGGACACACTGGAGTGGCTGAGAGACTTGAAGCAAGGAGACCAATTCAGAGACTCTTGCCAAAATCTAGGTGAGTAGCAGAGAGGAGAGATGGGAGATAAAAGATGGGAAACTGGATATGGCAAGGGATAGTGGAGTACAGGATAATGCTGAGATTACAAATGTGGGAGCCTTGAAGGATGGTGGTGCTTTGATTAAAATAGGAAAGTATGGAAGAGGAGATGGATTGGAGGAAAGATGATGAAACCCAGAGAGGACAAAGTATCTGGAAGACAGCGGTTAACACTATCAAATGCAGAAAACAGGGAGAGGAAGATTAAAACTGAAAAAAGACCATCAGATTTGGCAAGAAAGAGATCAGTAGAGATCTTAAAGAAGAGTACTTTCAGGTGAGTGATTTAGAGAAAACTGCAAAAGACTGAGGAGTAAGAGGAGAAATGGAAGTAGCACATATAGTGCACTGTTTCATCTTGTTTGTGCCCCTAGAAGTTTGGTTTTGAAAGAGAGGAAAGATATGAGATGATACCTTGAGATAGTAAGGCCTCGTAAAGAAATTTTTAGAATGGGAGATACTGAAAACTGTTTGAAGGCAATAAGTAAGGAATGAGTAAACAGGGAAAGGTTAACGATAGAAGAGAGAGATATTGCAATTTTCTGGACAAGACAGGACAGACAGAATCAAATGCTAACACAGAAGGTTGGCCAAGAGAGGAAGAACCATTTTTGTTTGTTTTTGTCAAAGACTGAGGGAAATGGGGGGAGTGCAGAGGATGCTACCCCAGGATTTTGAGATGAAAAAGGAGAACTGCTATGGGAAACTATTCATTATAATTTTCTTGTCCATGATCTAGTTCTAAGAGACAAACTCTTATTCTTCCTCAAGCATCCACTTTGGCAATTGTTCTATAGTTATTCTTATACAGGAAGCTGTTTACAAAATGTACTGAGGAAAAAGCAGGATTTCTCCACCTTCAAAATTATGAAATTAAGAGGCTGTGGGGTGGTGGAGAACACAGAAGTCTTTCATGTGTTAATGCATGTAAACCTTAAAATGTCTAATTCTCAAGTCTGTCTCTGGAAAAATGGCTTCTTTATAACCATCATAAATGCTTAATATATGCAAAAACATTCCCACTCCATTTTAGACATACCACTTGATCCATGGGGTCATTAGAATAGTAACTTTCTGAATGAGTACAACGAATCCAGACTGGTTTAAGCAGATCCTCTTCTTCTTCTTCATTTTTGTCAGGCATGATCTCCTCTGGCTCTTTGTCCTTAATTGAGGTATAGCTCTTTTCTTTGCCAGAATTCTGATTGTCAACCCATCGATCTCTGTCATCTTCCCATCGAGTTCTCTTCTTCTCTCTACTTGGAGATCGGCTTCATCAAGAAAGAAGGAAAAAAAAAATCTTTTGTTGTCAAAATTAACAGCATTCTGTACATTTTAAGAACTACATACTTAATCTCAGTTTTGTAAACAAATGCTCGTGGTTGTTCACTGATAATTTTGCCCTTAAACTGCCATCCCTCTATACCCCTACATTTCCATTAGAGATTAAGCCACAACTCTCATTAGAGAGAGACATTTTAAGAGTATTTAGTAACTACCACTGATTAATACCATTTTAATGCAGGTAAATAAGGGACTTTCAAAGAGGGAACAAATGCTTTACTTTCAGAATTTTCATAACAAATATTCATCTGAAAAGTTTTAAGACCATTATATTCTGATGGTTAGAGATCTCCAAAATTACTAGTTGTTCTAGGTCTTCAAAAACACCTTTGTATAGATTTTAAACTTGGACCTAATGTTGGGTTATGTTATTTTATAATATCACAAATCTAGAGTGAAAACAATTAGGTTTTCCTAGCTTATTACTGATTCCAAAGCCAGCCCCTTTAGTCTTACCTGCTGGTTCGCTTGTACTCTTTTTTGTAGGATCTGTCTGGAGATGGGGATCTTCGGCTTTCCCGGTGCCTGTGTCTGTCCCTGTCCCTGTCCCGTTCTCGCTCTCTTAAAGGGTTTAACACACACAACTGTTTTTGATAGAAAAGCTTAAAACCACCATCACATTTGTTGTTAACAATGTGCTTCCACACAGAGACCTCACTTCAGCAATTTTTCTAATTTTGCTTACCAGAGGCTTTTGCTATTTGCCATTAATTCCCCAAGAAGATAAAGCAATTTTTCACTTAACAAAAGAGTAAATCTCTTTCGCAATGTTTACTGGAGATGAAAATTTATTACTAATTCTCATAAATAACACACCTGAAACCCTAAAAATAAATGAAGTTTGATCATGGTCAATTTTTCTCAAAATCTTCCAATCACCATCCTTACTAATCTAGTCTGTCAGGTAAAATTAACATACTTCCCACTGCTGCATGGAAACACACCATTCTATCAAATTATAAGTAACTTGAAATGTAAAATTAAGAAGTATACAGGGTTGAGGTTTTACTAAAATTTATCCACAATTAAAAAAATGGAATTAAATGTTGAAGAGGATGTGGGAAAATTGGAACGCTAATACATTGTTGGTGGAGTTGCGAAATGATCCAACCATTTTGGAGAACAATTTAGAACTATGCCCAAAAGGGCTACAAAAATGTGCGTACCCTTTGATACAGCAATAGCACTTCTAGGGCTATATCCCAAAGAGATCAAACAAATGGGAAAAGGACCCACATGTACAAAAATATTCATAGCAGCTCTTTTTCTGGTGGCAAAGAATTGGAAATTGAGAGGATGCCCATCAATTGGGGAATGGCTGAGCAAGTTGTGGTATATGAATGTCATGGAATACTATTGTTCTATAAGAAATGATGAACAGGCTGACTTCAGAAAAAACCTGGAAAGACTTATATGGTCTGATGCTGAGTGAAGTGAACAGATCCAAGAGGACTTTGTACACAATAACAGCCACGTTATGTAATGACTAAGAATGCTAAACTGAACCCTTCTCAGCATTACGAGCATCTAAGACATCTCCAGAGGCCTCAGGATGGAAAATGCTGTCCACATCCAAAGAAAGAACTATGGAAGTCCAATCGCTATCACTTATTTTTACCTTCTGTTGAGTTTTGTTTCATCTTTCTGATGGTTCCTTCTATTGGTTTTAATTTTTACTTACAACTTCACTAATGTGAAAATATGTTTAATGGGTATGTAAATGTACAGGGTGGGGGGGAGGAAGGGGGAGAAAAATTTTCAACTCAAAAGCATATGAAAAAAAACAAAAAAAGAAAAAGAAAAAAAGAAAAAATGGAATTAAAGTAGCATTAAATCAACTTATTAGTGAAATCCGGTGATGTTAAAGTGAATAGATATATTTTAACTATACCTTAAATGAATATTTGGAAGCAAATTTCCAAAATGAAATTCAAATCATCAGAGGACTCTTGATTAGAAGATACCTATCAAACCAAGGGAAATAACCAAATGATTCTGCAAAGTGGAATGAGGGCTGAGAAAAGCCATGGTCTCTTTAATATAGAAAGTATAGACCTTAAAAAGCCAATAAGATTTCATCAAGAAAACACTGTCAGCCTTTAGTTTCTAATTAAGAATTCTGTGACCAAGTAATAACATGTTTCACTTTCTAAAATTCAGAACTTACAAAACAGAAGAATAAGTGGTCAATGTTTTAATATTAAAAGAATTCTTTGTTTAAGGTTTGTTACCGAGGAAATCTTTTAAATATTATGTCCCCCTGGTGAATTCAATTTGTAGAAATCTGCTTTACATATAACTTTTCAGTAACACCTATTGAACAAGAATACACTGATGCATTTTTAAAAGATTTTTCTAGTTTAAAAATGGTGCCCACCAAAAGAAGAGCATGAGATGTTAGGCTCTTTAATGTGACCCTGAAAAATTATAGCTCAATTCAGTTCTCTTGCACTATTAATTCTATATTAAACATAATAAAAGATTTCTGTTGAAAAGAAAAATACCATGATTTCTACATAAGATATTCCAAAAAGTCATTTTAAAATCACTAAAAAAAAATTGATGGAATTTAAATTTAAATATGCATTTAAAAGGACACTGATAAACCAGAGATCCAGAGGAAACTAACTAGGATGATAAAGGGCCTTGAGAACATGAGACTATGCCATACAAAGATCAGTTAAAAGAACTGGGCATATCTGGCTTAAAGTGCTTAATAACCTACAGGTCTATTCTCTGAAAAAGTATGAGGATATAAAGTGCTTGGGACCAAAGGGCACAACTAAGTAACAAAAGATAGAAGTTACAAAATGACAAATTTAGTTTGAAGTAGAGAAAAACTTCTTAATAATTAAAGCTATCTAAAAGTAGAATGTAATACTTTGGGAGACTGTATATCCATTTGTTGGGGATGTTACAAAGGGGAATTCTTGTTTGAAATAGGTTAGATTGATTGGCTTTTAGGTCCCTTCCAAAGATCCTGCAACACTACTGATACTAAATGATGTGGTCAGTTACAGTTGGAAAACCAGATTAAGTAGTCTAGTATATTTAGTTTAAGCATGTAAGCAATGTTTATGGTACTTTTTCAAAATCTTATTAGTAGGGCAAGATGTAAGCTTTTAGAAATAAAGTTCATCTTAAAATCTGTCTACGGGAAATCCTTATGGGAAGTGGAAAAGTATATATATTTTTTTATTTTTCCTTTTTTAGGCAATTGGGGTTAAGTGACTCGCCCAGGGTCACACAGCTAGGAAATGTCAAGTGTTTGGTCTGAGGACAGATTTGAACTCAGGTCCTCCTGACTTCGGGGCTGGTGCTCTATCCACGGCGCCACCTAGCTGCCCCAGAAAAGTATATTTGTAAATGAAAATGATATAAAAAAAAATTACATCAATAATTTTTTTAATTGGTTAAGCCCATTTTTTCCTTGCTATTGTTGAACTCTTGGTTTAAAAAAGAAAGGACACTTTGTGAAAGAATGGATTATTTTGTACTATACTTTCAAATTCTACTAAATAAAGGCAGAGAAAGGGATCATATGAAACTTTAGTTTAATTCATTAAAATACAATCTTATTTCTATATCTGCAAAGTTGTAGTGTTGTCTAAACTGCTTTTAGAAATTACACTAGAATTTTAGATTAAAGAGAAGTGTAAGGTAGGCCCCATCCAAGAGAATCAAATGGATTTTGTTATAAGATGTTATCTAATTAAAGGCAGTCTTACGGTGTTTTTGAGGTTATTATGTCCCTATATTATGGCACTACTTTTGTATGTATATACAAAGATATGTATAAAGAACAGCAATAATCCAGGAAGTTGTCCCATGACAGTAAAAGGAAAAAAAGTTTAGAGCAATTATGTAATGAACAGATTTTCTTTCAGTTTAAAACGTACTTACTATCCAGATATTCCTAGGCTATAGCACATCTTTATTGTCCAAGACAAGCTCAAAACAAAAACTAAATCTGTATTGCAAGTACTGAATGTTGATAAAGTGGCTTTTAAGAGTCCATCTAACAGCTTTACAAAGTAACAGGGGAAAAAAATTATCCAAAGTGTTCAAAGTCTCAGTTAAATGTTTTCCCTAAAGATTATAACATGAAATCATCTAAAAATCTGGAAAACATAATCCAAGGTCTCTGTACTACGGAAATGAACAGACATGACTGGATTCACTGATTCTTGCTGAATTAAAAAAATAAAAAGGGTTCTTATTCACTATCACTCTGTCTCCAGCACATTTCAGACTGCTAACCTAAATGAAATCCTTTGTCTCCTTATAAAAAGTCTTAATCACACTAAGGCAGTGTCCAATTTGGTGATGCCTATTGCCACCTTTTCCCATTTTTAGGTGTTTCTTTACTATTCATAGGGCTCACAGACTAGATGAATCCAGCATACATTGTAATTCTTGCATATACATACATTTTCCATAAAGAGGAAATAGACAGAGAACCTCCCTTCTTTCCTTCACTGGTGCTGTTCATCCTCTTAGTGGCAAAGAATGGCTATCATCCTTTAATTCCAATATGTTCAATAACAAATTGACAGAGTGGTGCAATGCTTATGTAGAAACAAATCTAAAAGGGTGATTTGTTTATTGGACAAACCAAAAGAAGAAAAGAATATGCCTTTGTGAGGACCTGCAACCTTTACTGGGGATATAAAGTATATTTTTCAGTGTGGAAAATGGTACAGAAAAATGAATTTAAACTACAAGGGAGAGGAGAAATAGAAGGAAGAATGGAAACATATTAGCATGACAATGAGAGTAAATATCAACCCTATCAACATTATAATAAGGCACAAATAATGTAGTCATTTTCTACTTACTGTTTTCTGCCATTTGTTTTTCTTGTGTTTATAGATTTTTGATCTTATGAAAAAGAAAAATAGCAAGTCTGGAACACAGTAGCTTGAAGAACAAGAATTTCTTCATTACAAGTAAGAAAAATTCATTAACATCATAGTAAAAAGACCTTAAGACATTTGACACAGGCAAGTTGCTTTTCAATTTGCATTACTTACCACATTTACTCTAAAACAAACAAAAAACTATGCAAAGGAAACATACAATTAACTCCCATTTATCCAGAATGGTTTGCAGTGAGAGGAAGTATGTTAGTTTTAACTAAAAAAATAAATGAAAACTATCATATCACTAATCATATTACCAATTTCCAAAGAAGGCAAGTAATACACACTTAACCCTAAAATTATACTGATACAAATGAATTTTTCTTAGATAAGTCAAGGTACTTAAAATCTTGCATTATCTTGGGGTTATTATCAGGCATATCAATGATCATTTTAGAGTACTATAAGAGCAACAGGTTACTGTTGGAATGAGATCTGAATGAACTGTGACTATCTCTAGTCCTGTATATCACATTATTTGCTTAAATAAATCAATCCCTGGGAATCAGTTTTATCCATTGATAAAAAATCCCATGTTTCAATTTTCTAGCTTAGGTTCATATAAATGGAAATTTACTTGTATATGGATCTTTGACAAATTTATCAAAAAATCCCAGACATCCTGCTTACCTGCTATGCTCATAACTTCGGTGACGAGGTGGAGTCCTCCCTCTGTCGTAATCCGATCTATGTCGGCTACTTTCTTGTCTCCTCCTGTCTGGACTTCGGGTTCTGTCCCGCCGGTCTCCGTGACTATCTGACCGGTGTCGGTCGCCATGTCCATGACTATGTTCTCGATGCCGGTGGTCATCATAGTGCTTACTCCTTTCTGGGGACCTCCTTTCACTCGAAGGCTTCTCTACCTGATACTGAGTTGGGTGCCTAAAATGGCTACTGCTGTTATTGTTACTGCTGGTCTGAAAAGAACTAGAGTTATTCTGGTAACTAAAATTAGGAGGCGGGAAAGACTGCTGTGAATAGGTTGTGGGATAAACTGATGGGTAATTAAGTTGTGGTGGTATGACTGGGGGTGGTGGTGGCAGGGAAGGAGGTGGCATCATATAGGGAAAGGTAGTTTGTGTAGCAGGTGTTCCAGGTACTGAAGTGTTAGTAGGAGTAGGTACAGGAGGAGGAACAGGAGGAAAGCAAGGTGGTACTGGAAAAGTTGGCCTTACTTGATGGTTGGGGAGAGGTGGCCTGAGAGGACACTGGGTAACAGGAGTCTGTGCTGTTGGAGGCACAGGTGGGGGGTAGGGCACAAAATCTGGCCTGGGTGGCAAGTAGCTTGTAGTTGGAGGACCTGTGAAAGTGGCTGGGGGAGCAACTGGTTGTTCATACTGGTATTGCCCAGTAGGCTGCTGAGGATGAAGCTGTCTCAAATTCTGAGGCCGGAAGGTTTGAGTCGAAGCTCTTCCACCAGATCCTCCTCGTCCTCGGGAATTGCCTCGTCCAGAGTGGAATGACATTCTTTGACTGAAATTTTAAAACAATAAGAATAAAATAAATTTCATCATATAAAGCCTTGTTTCACAATAACGTAGCCATGCAGTTATCAAATGACAGGACCCTAATCAAGCTACTGAAATGTTCACTGCCTTGCTTTCTATTCATCCCCCAAAATCCAGTTCCCTGTGCTGTCTCACTAATACAGCAAGACTACATTAGGCAGCACTAAGCTCTCCTTCTAATCCAGTCAGAACCTCCTTTGGGCTCCCCAAGCTTAACTGCTAGGAGGTGTCCTTAGCTTTCTTCTTTTTCTAGCCTTCCTGGAGATTCAGGTACCACCCCTACACCCTGTAATAAAACACTCCCCCTCCCCCATCCCCCCATTATAACACAGACACACAGGGTTCCTGAGACTTTGAGGAGCTAATGTTCAAATGTCTTTGTGCTCCTAAAAAGCAGCTGAGGCTCCAGCTCACTTTTAAACACTAAGTAAATTTGATTCAAGTCTCACTTCAAACATTTCATTAGGAAAGTCTCTCTAATGGTGTTTGATGGTAAATCTAAGAAGCAAAGGTAAGAAAAGTTAACCCTAGGGTCTGAAGACCATCTGTGCACAGGGAGAGAAGTGGGGGAGGGAATACCTATGCAACAGAAAGAGGCTGATTTGTCTGGAAAATGAACATAAAGGAAGGTGAAAGGAAGGCAGGTTACAGTCAATTTGAAAGGATTTAAATGACAGCTTAAACATTTATATATCATGCTAGAGAGACTACAGAAATTAAGATTTTTGAACAGGAGGTGATATTATCTCATAAAGTCGAGAGAGAGGCAGTATAGGATAAAGCCAGTCTAAAGAAAGCTTGGCAAAATACGCCACTAACTAAAGTCATCTCAGTGGCAGAAAGACTGTTTTAAGAGCTATGTAAAAGATGGAATTGGACCCCTCTCATTATTATATGACAGTTTCAGAAATGACAGTCATAAAAGTAATACAAGGTGATAAAATTAAGGGTATTAATAGCAGAAGAGACAAAATTATCCCTATTTGCAGATAAGATGAGGGTATACTTGAAAAACCTTAGGCAATCAGTGAAGAATATGAGATAATTAACAGTTACAGCAAAGTAGCAGGATATGAAATAAATACACAGAATTCATCAGCATTTCTAAGCCATACTAATAAAAACCAGGAAGATGGGAGAAATTATTGTCAAAATCACTAAAAAATGCATAAAATATCTGTGAATTAACCTACCAAGGCACAGGTAAATTTTAAATAAATGCCATTATAAAACATCTGACAGAAATAGTGATGACAAATAAATGGAAAACTAGTCACTATTCATAGTTGGATTATACCAATATAATAAAGATGACAATACAACCTAAATCAATTTACACATTTTAGTAATTTACTAACCAAATTACCTAAGATTACTTACTTCTTAGGACTAGACAAAAGAACAAAAATTCACCTGGAAGACTAAAAGATCTAGAATCTCAAGGGGAAATAATGAGAAAAGATATGCATGAAGAAGGCATAGTATTACCAGACTTAAATTATGCTATTAAGAAGTAATCAAAACTATCTGTTACTGGCTAAAAAGCAGAAATGTACATCAATGGAACAGACAAGAGAGGCAAGAAAAATAAAACTGAAAACTACAGCCTAATGTTTGATAAACCCAAGAACATAAACTCTACTGAGGAACATAACTCTACTGAGGGAAAGAAATCCTTTTCAGAAGAACTGCTGAAAACTGGAATGGTATATGGGAAAAACCTACATCTTACACCACATACTACAAAAAGTTCAAAATGGATGCACTATACAAATACAAAAATCATATTCAAACAACTCCACTGGCTTCTTGCTGCCACCAGGACAAAAACTAACCTCAACTTCTGTTCTTAAAGCTCTATATAACTTGGCCCAACCTATCTTTCCAATTTCACTGGACATTACCTCCCCTCCTTTATTCCATGATCCAGTCAATTGGCCTTCTCTCATTTCTCATATATGATACTCCATCTGTCTCCTTGCCTTTGAACTGGCTGTCCCTATCCATGGAATTAATATCTTTTCCTCATCTCTGAGTTCTTTTCTTCCTTTAAACTGCAGCTTGGGTACTGCCTTCCACATGAAGCCTTTCTTGATCCTCCCAACTGCTAATATCCTCCTTCCTTTCAAAAACTACTTTGTATTTAACAACTATGTATGTGTGTGTGTGTGTGTGTGTATGCACACACATATACACACATATAATTGTATTTCTATTATATGTATACGTGCACATAGACATAACACATAATCTTGTTTCCTCTATTAGAATACAAGCTCCTTGCAAGCAGGAATGGTTTCATTCTTTGTACCTGTATCCCCAACGTATGTAGCACAGGGCCTGGCACCTAGTAAGTGCTTAATAAATACATGCTGACTTATTTTCTTAATTGAATAGAATACCAGATCCCTTTACAACTATGGCTAAGAGGAGAGTTCTTAAACAAGGAATAGAAGATCACCGGGGGAAGGGGGAGGGAAGGGGGAGGAAGAGAGGGAGGGAGGGGGACAGGGGGAAAGAGGGGGAGTGAGGGAGGGGGAGAGAGAGAGAGAGAGAGAGAGAGAGAGAGAGAGAGAGAGAGAGAGAGAGAGAGAGAGAGAGAGAGAGAGAGAGAGAGAGAGAGATCTGGTACAAACAGTACAGATATATTTACTACCTCACTTGGTGATCTCATTAGCTCCCATGGATTTAATTATCATCTTGTTTTAATTACTAAAACTTAAAATAAACAATAAGAAAAGAAAAAGAAACTAAAATATCAGAAACTTAAACACTGAAACATACACAAAATAAGGGGGAAAAAAGCATGTCATGTGCACAGAAGAATGTAAGAGAGGATTCAAAATATATAGCAATAAATTTCCATTTTCAAGAAGACCTATATAATAAATACTATGTGTTGTGTTGACAGCTGTCCATCTTTTCTTTGCTTCCTTTTGAGTTTTCTTTTCTTCTCTGCTGTGCACTTTTCACTTTGTTCTTTTTTCTCCCTTCCTCCCCCTCCTGAGAAGGCTATAATTAAGCACAGACATACACACATACATACATATCCATAAATATACACACACATATATATACTTTACCTAACAAATTCTACTTTGATCTTTGTTTTTATATTTGTGCATATCTCTTATTTCCCATCCCTCCTAATGCCTTTACTTTATTTCTACTTGCTACCTTGCCCTATTAATCTACCCTGCCTCCAAGGATCCCTCCTTTCTCCTACCATTCCCATAAATCAAAACACTCTTCTATACCCTCTTTTGACCTATTCCCTCCCCTTCCCTCTAGAGATCCCTCCCTTATCCTCTCCCCCATCCCTATCCCCTTGGAGTTTTACTTCTTTCTGAATTTAGAAGATTTTTTATACTCTTCTAGATATATATATGTATTGTCCCCTCTTGAACCCATTGGGTTTCCAGAACAGCCCTTCTCCCCCATCAAATTCCTCTGTGTCAGTTCTTCCTCTCATACCTCATTTGTAAAATTACTGTTTTTAGCTGTTCCTAAATGGTTTTACTTTTTAAAGTCATATCATACTCAGGTCTACCCCCATCTTTCTTACAAACTACCCAATTACTAATAACAATTTTGGATATGTGTTTTACATTTTACATACATAAAAGGTAAACAGTCTGTCCTCATTGAGTCCCTTGTAATTAGTCTTTGGTATGCAACTTATATTTCTCTTGTATGTCAAATCTTCTACTAAGTCCAGATTTTTTTAAACAAAGTCTAGAAAGTCTGACAGCTTATTAGATGTCCATTTTTTTTTCCATTTAGGATTATGCTTAGCTTTGCTGGATGTATTTTTGGACAGAATCTCAGTTCTTTTGCTCTTCAATATATAATGTTCCAAGACCTGCAGTCTTTCAGTGTCGCTGCTGCTAGGTCTTCTGTGATTCTAATTGTGGTACCTCCATATTTACATTGTTTTTTTCTTGTTGCTTGTAATATTTTATCCATGAGCTGGGGGCTCTGGAATTTGACTATAATATTCCTCTGTGTTTTCCTCATAGGATTGCTTTCAGATGGTGATTGGCAGATTTTTTCCCCTATTTTCACCCCTTGTTCTAATGCTTGAGGTTAATTTTTAATTATTTCTTGTATTATTATATCAAGATTCTTTTTTTGGTCCTTTCAGTGGTCCAATTTTTCTTGCTTTCCCTTCTTGATCAGTTGTTTTTCTTATGACTGTTTCATATTCTCTTCTATTTTTTCATTCTTTATATTTTGTTTTTATTATTTTTTGATCTCTTATAAACTTTCCTGGCTTCCCCTTACCCATATCTGATTTTCAAGATGTCATTTTCTTCCTTAAGATTTTGGATTTCTCTCTTTTTTAAAATTAATTTATTTAGTTTTAGTTTTCAACATCCACTTCCAAAAGATTTTGAGTTTTAAATTTTCTCCCCCTCCCACTTCTCTCCAGCACCCAACCCCCAAGATGGCATAAAATCTGATATAGGCTCTACACATACATTCATGTTAAACATATTTTCCCATTAGTCATGACATAAAGAACAATTAGAATTAATGGAGGAACAATGAGAATGAAGTAATAAAACAAAACAACAAAGGAAAAGGATTGCAAATAGTATGCTTCCATCTGCATTAGGACTCCATGTTTCTTTCTCTGGGTGTGGACAGCAATTTCCACCAAGAATCTTTTGGAGTTGTCTTAGATACTTGCGTGGCTGTGAAGAGTCAAGTCTATCAGTCAGTCATCCCATAATGTGGCTGTTACTGTGTACAACATTCTCCTGATTCTGCTGATTTCACTCTGTATCAGTTCATATAAAACTTCCATTCTCCAATTGATGGGCATTCCCTCAATTTCTAATTCTTTGCCACCACAAAAAGAGCTGCTATAAATATCTCTGGATCTCTTTTTCTAATTGGTTAACTTTCTTTACATAATCTTCTTGTTTTTCTTGAATTGTCCTTTTTTAAGTTTTCCCTCAATCTGTCTCATTTGATTTTTAAAGTCATTTTTGAGTTCTTCTAGGAATTTTTTGGGGGCAAGTGACCATTTGATGTTCTCTTTGGGTAGAAGGTTTCTCTGCTGCAGTATTCTCCTCTGAAGACAAACCCTGGTCTTGCGTATTCCCATAGTAACTCTTCATGGTTGGATTCTTTCTCCTTTGTCTCCACTTTTTTTGTTATTTGTAATCTGCAGTTTTTGAAATCACCTCTAGTCCTGGGACGTGGGCGTTGGTACCTCTGGCCTCAGATCCTCCTTCAATTCTCCTCTCTGTCCTGGAACTGAAACCAAATCCTCCAGACTTCTATAAGTGCCCACAGGTAGTGGAGTCCCTGCCCCATTACTTCTGCCCTCTCCAGGCACGTGCTAGTTCCTTCTCACCCCTGATGTGTCTTTGAAGCACAGCTGGGGCTAGTGTTCCTTATCAGCAGAGGTTCCCAGATACCCAACATCCCTCACTGTTCCAGGGGTAAAAGTGTCTGTGGCTGGGGCAGAATCAGCCTCCCAACCCAGCTAACCCCAGGGCTAGTCACTTGTCATTTAAACAGTCCCTATCCTGGAGGTGTTTACTCCTCACAGGGACCAAACCTGGCCATGGCATTTTTCTTCAGATCAAGTGTGACTATCCCAGGAAGACTACAGTTCTATTCCTACTCTTATTTATGTTTATCACTTTATATTTGACCTGAGGCATTATTTTATTTCTTTGTGGGGTAAAACCTTGAGGGCGTGGAATTTTCTGACCTACTCTACTTCTTCCCAGAAGCCTCTCTCTAATCATCATCTCCATGCTGTTCATTCGCCTATCTACCCATCTATCCCTAACTCCTCTGCTGACCTCCAGTCTCATATCTTTAAGTGCCTTTCAGACATCTTCAATTCAACATACCCAAAAGTGAACTCATGAACCTTTCCCCAAAGTTTTCCCCCTTATAAATTTACTTATTATTGCTGAAGATGCCACCTAGTCCCTCAGGCTCAAAAAAACTGAGTGTCATCCTGGACTCTTCACTATTTCTCACCCCCATACCCAAGGCTTATTTTCACCTTTGCAGTATTTCTCAAATATTTCCTCTTCCCTCTTCTGACACTAACCACCATTGTATAGGCCCTCATCACCTCAGGCATGGACTGAGAGAAATGATTATAATAACTAAGGATTCAGGGAGATGCAGACCTCAATCTCAGAAAGTCAAGTTAAACATCCTCCATCTGACCCAACCCAACTCTACAAGAAATCTCTAATCTCAGGTGAACTCTATTCGATCAAGTTTGGATAGAGATAGATCCTTTTGTCTAGACAGCCCAAAAGGGGCTGGTGGAGGTGGAGGTGGGGGTGGGGTAGAGAGTAGTATGAGTATAGAGATAGTTTCTTCCTCCAAGGGTGACATGATGTCATTCTCAGTCTATCATTTTAATATAGTTCACCTACTGTGTTGACCAACCAGAGTTGACTGCCACTCCTCTTGCAAAAAATACACAGAATCTCTGAGCCCACTGCCATGACTGTCTTTGGTCTAAGAGAGATGGACAAATGACCATCCTTTTATTAATAATTTGCTGGCCTTATTACATTTACCATGACCAGTATTCAAAATCCTTTGTAACCTATCCACCTTACCACCATCTCCCCTTCAATTTTTCAGTCTTCTTATACCTTATAAGTGTATTCTAGGATCCAGTGACACAGACCTCCTTTGCTGTTCCATATACAAGACACTCCATCTCTTGGCTCTTGTTCACTAGCAGTCATCCATGCTAGAACTGCTCCCACTTCATCTCTTCCTCCTGGCTTCCCAGGCCTCTTTCAAAAACCAAGTAAAATTTCACCTTCTACAGGAATCCTTTCACAATCCCCCTTAATTCTAGTGCCTTTCCTATGTTAATTATTTCGTATTTATCCTGTATGTACCTAATTTGTACCTATTTGTCTACCTGTCTCTCCTCATAGGATCAGACCACCACCTTGTGCTTTAGGAATATCAACTCCACAAGCAACATTTTGTTTAAACATCTAAAGTTTATGCCACTTTTTAGTTATTTGTCCAGAGCAAAGTTGGAGAGTGGGTGGTATTCTGGCTTTTCACAGTGGAAAGAACCCTGAACTTAGAATCAGAAGATCTCAGGTAAGTTCTGCCGGTTACTTTCTCTGTGATTTGCTGGTTGACCCAAATGCTCTCTATGGTCCTAGCTAGTTCTAAATGCTATAATGCTATTCTTTTTTTTTTTTTGGCTAGGCAATTGGGTTTAAGTGACTCACCCAGGGTCACATAGCTAGAGAGTGTTATGTGTTTGAGGCTGGATTTGAACTCAGGTCCTCCTGACTCCAGGGCTGGTGCTCTATCCACTGCACCACCTAGCTGCCTCCTATAATACTATTCTGACCTTCCATTTTAACATTTACTGCATCTGCTTCATTGTTCCTTCAGTATTTCAATGGATACATCTTTTCCCTCCAAAGAGATGGACCATGTTCCTTAAGGGCATAAATCTTTTTTGCTTATTTGATATCCCCCAACAGCATCTAGCATACTGAGCAATGAAGTAAAGTGTTTGCTAAATTGAAATGAATTAAGATTCAAGACCCAAACTAATGCTAACTTATTAAATACAGAGACTCAAAAATATGAAAGGCTTAGATACATGTTCCTGTGACCAGCAGGCTCAGTAGGTAGAAGTAGCCTCCTTCAATGAAGAAATAAAGACCCTAAATTTCTCATGCTATCTTTACCTCTAACTTGCTGCAAGGCTCTGAGAAAAATGACTTCACCTTCCTGTGCTCTAGTCTTCCTCCTGTGTAAAATAAGGACATAAATCAAACAGTGAAGTTATATAATCAACTTAAAAATAAAGTGTCATGCCATTTTTTAAAAATTGGAGGAAAATGGATATAAGTATCTTGTGTGACTGAGGGAAATTCTTAACCAAACAAGAGATAGGCAAGATCATAAAAGCTAAAATACATAAATTTGATGACATAATATTAAAAAGCTTTTGTGCAAGAAAAATTAGTGAAGCTAGAATAAGGAAAATAGTTGATTAGGGTTATATATTGAAGATATATGTAGGGTATTAATTCACTTCCCAAAGATTCAAGTACCATCAGTATACAGATGAATCCCATTTCTGTAGACATCATTATTCTCCCCCTCCTGGGTTCTCTTCCTGAATCACCAACTTCCTATTAGATATTTCAAATTAGATGTCCATCCGATAAGTAAATCAAACTCATTATGTCCACAAGACCTACTCTCCCTTCTACAATCTCTTTCTGTGAAGGGAAACATCATTCTTCTAGTCACTGACAACTTGTATCATTTTCTCCCTCACCTTACATATCCAATCATTGGTCAAGTCTTTTTTCTATCTCCTCATTTCCTCATATCTGTCCCTTTCTCTCTACTCACATGCCACTACCCCCTTAAACTCTCAACACTTCTCACTTGGTCTATTCCAACAGCTTCCTGATTAGTCTCTCTGCTGCCTCAGTCTGTAACCCAACACTCTATAGCTGCCAATGCAGTATTTCTAAAGCATAAGTCTAACTAAGTCACTCCCTTTTTCAAGAAAATCCAAAAACTTCCTATTGTCACCAGGATCAAATTAAACTCCTCAGTTTGGGGTTTAAGCTCTTCATAATCACAGTCTATCTTTCTAGACTTATTATAAAATATGAGTGGGATACAACTAAATGGTTTCCTTGCCGTTCATCATATATAACATGCCATCTCTCACTCTCTGCACCTTTACATAGGTTGTCCCCCTCATGTCTACAAAGTATTTTCTTGGCTTTCCTTGTTAGAATTCCTAGCTTCCTTCAAAGCCCAGTTTAAACACGGGCTCCTCCAGTCAAGATTCCCCTGGGTTGCTAGTGCCCCTCCCCACCTTAAATTTAGTTTGTAATTATTTGTTTTCCCACAATAGAGTGTAAGCTCCCTGAGGGCAAGAACTGTTCATCAAGGACTATTCCTTTTTCTTTTTGTATTCTCAGGGCTTAAAATGCTACCTGGTATAATATTCAGTAAGCAATGAATAAAAGTTTATGGTTAATCTGGAAAAAAGCAAATTTTACCCTATAGTGATCACTGGGCTTTGATGGGATTAAATCCATGACTCGACTATGGCTTTGGATAAGTATGTATACCTTTCAGTTAAAGACAGTCCATAAACACTTATTAAGCTCCTGTGTGCCAGGAACTGTGTTAAGGGTTAAGGATACAATGAAAAACAAAATATAGTTCCTGCTTAATGAGCTCACAGTTTAATGGTAGAGACAACATGAAAACCATTATGTACGGAGAGGTACTTTACAGGATAAACTGGAGAGAATAAACAAAGGGAAGGCACTAAAATTAAGACGGATCTGGAAAGTTTTCCTGTAGAAGGTGGAACTGCACAGATGAGAAGGTTGAGAATTCTAAGCACTGGGGACAGCCAGTGTAAATGCATGGAGTTAAGAGACAGAGTGTCTTATTCAAGGAGCAGGAAGTAGGACAATGTCACTGGATAGAAGACTGTGTGGGCGATAGAAAGGAGGATGTGAAGTTAGGAAGGTAACACAGACTTGTTCTTGAGAAAGATCACCTGACAAATGATTGGAAAATGGGCTAGAATTGGGGAGAAAACCGTGGAAGGAAGATCAACCTGCTAGCAGGCTATTGCAACAGTCCAGGTGTTGGTTGCCTGTATCAGGGTAGGGGGTGAGGTATTATTGAGAAAATGATAATATTCATAGGAGGATACCTAAACAGAGGAGGGAGGCATAACAAAGATTATTTGGGTCAAGGTGAAAGAAACAAAAAGAAGTGATCTTGTCAGTGGATAAACTACAGACAACCTGGATCGAAAAAGGAAAATGATGAGAAATTTGTATTACAGATCACAAGCCTGGCACAGAAGCATGATACAGTAATCAAAAGGTACTGATCCAGAATCTGCCAAAAGCTCAATTGCACCCTTGAAAAGGTGGAAGAACTAACAGAGGTAAATTCTGTTAGATCTGATTCATACTATTAAGGAGGAACTGGTTGCTGGGATGGAAATAATGGAAATTCTGGGACATATCAATTATTTCTTCTAGAGTTTGTGACAGAGGAGATATAATCCGGCCTAGATTTGGGTACAGCATATTTCAAAGGATTCAGAGGAAAAACAAGTAGTACCCCATGAAGCAAAATGCTACAAGGGAAATCAATCTAGGAAGAATGGGAGATAATTAAGAAACTGTAAAAACAGAAAGAGAATAATTCCAATGGGAAGGGGCAAACGTATTTGTCTGAAGAGATCAATGTAAATGCACAGAAGTCACCAACAAACTTCAATTTTTAAAAGAAATTCCCAAAAGATGGAAAAAAGGCATGGTATAGCAAGATCATGAAAAAAAGCATCCAGAATATTAAAGCTCAGACTCAGCAGAGGCTAGCAAAGGAATCTAAGAACAACAGAAAATGGGAATTTTTAAAAATTATAATGGGAAAAAAGGAAGGATGAAATAAGGGATAGGGTCTTTGCTTCAGGGCAAAGGAGTAATGATAACTGACAGAGCAATTTTATTTTATTTTTTGTTATTTGTTCCTGCCACATCATAGCATGCAAGTACCTCTAGGTTCTCAAAAATTATCCCAGTACACTGTAAACTCTGGCTGGCTTTATCATGCCAGAAAGGCTCTAACTGAAATAACTGAATCTTCTTTCTTCACTCTAGCTCACCACAAAGACGCATCACCAGTAAGCTGGTCACTTAGCAATGATTTTTGTTTGTCCACAGCAACCTATAAAACAAAAAAAATTTTAAATGGCCTTCAATTCCATATAACCCCTTCTGCTTCTCCAGCAGCAGAGGGGGAGGAAAGGGAACATGGGGGTGCTACACCACATAACTTTTAAATCGTTAAAAAACTTAAAAATTTAACTCAATATTATCAATGTGAGATACTTGTCCAATGAACAAATGGATAGAAGGAACTGAATGGTATCAATTTTGACATTCTTGTTATATGTGATACCATTAAAAAAAAAAGATTTTACAGCTAAATAAAAGGATGGCTTACAGATGCAGCAAGGACAAAAAAAAAAGAGTTGCCTGAGTGGACTTAACCATATGCCTAGAGACAACAATGAGGATTATTTAATAAGATGTTAGTCATTATGTACTGCAGTACTAATGCTAAGTATGTGTCAAAAGACTACCCTGAAAACAGCTTATATGCCAACTTCAATTGCTGAGGCTAGAAAGGTAGAAAAATTATATGAAGAACTTGATAAGCCCTTCCATATCAAATCAACATACACCATCATTCTTGGTGATTCTGATGAAAAGGATGGATAAGATAAGGATGCTAAGAAATATAAAGGACATCATGGTTCAAGAAGAAAGAATCAGAGAGGCCAAAGATCTGTGAACGACAGAGAAACCTCATGACACTATAACATGAATCTTTTGTTTCTTCGAATAAAGAATTGATAGACACTGGACATGACAAATACCAAACAACACTCTGTGTGTGTGTGTGTGTGTGTGACAGAGAGAGAATACATTATTTTAACTAGAAAGATATTACTGATATGGAAGTTATCCAAGAATCAGCTTTCAGGAAATAGTTAAGAGCATCAACTCATCTTAGCTAAGATCAAAATTAGCAAAACAGAAGAATGAAAAAAAATACATATGGTATACAATTGAAATAAAAAAACCCACCCTTATTTAAACAAACAAAAAAAGGAGGGTTTCCTATATGAAAGCAGCAAACTCATCTTCCTCATATCAGCTTCTGCAAAAACAAAACAAAAAAAAAAAAAACAACAAACCAAAAAACTGTACCAGACTAAACAATAATCAAGGCAGCCAATGAGAAACTACATTAAGTGGCATCTTTCATGCTGTAACTGTAGAAAGGCAATAGATTAGGAAAACAGGAAAGGAGGCCACCAGAAAAACCAAAGACAGCAAGTAGCTACCCAGAATAATCAGAGCTATCTAGAGTCAACAAGGCTCTGTCTGAAAGGCAGGTGCTCAGAGGTCCCTACTATTTTGTCTCTGAGATGCCACACAGGGCTTTCCCAATGTTCTGAACCTCAAAAATTCATAGTGGAAGTTGGAACCCAGGTGATTCAAACTAAGACTAAGGAGAAAATATCAATTTACCCCAAAGAGTAACAACAGGAGGAACCTGTCACTGGCACATAGCTTCACTTCACAAACTATGGCTAAAGAGATGAGTAAAGAATTATAATAAAAGTCCAAGCTTCACAGAACAAATCTTTTTAATAAAAGTTTTTGTTCTGTAAAACTTGGACTCAGTCAAAAGGCTGCACCCAAGGACCTAGTGGGCCATACGTGGCCTCGAGGCTGCAGGTCCCCACCCGTGGATGAATACCCAAAAATCTAACCCAGAAGAGGGTAAGTCCACACCAACAGTAAACAAAGATCCAAAGGAAAAAGTAGGGTTTACATAGAAACTATATGAATACCTAGAAAAAATGATGGAAGAAATTAAAAAACAAAATAAAAGCTCAAGAGAAAAGAATTGTAAAAAGTAGCTTAGAAGAGAAATTACTCAAGTAAGAGATACCTTGAAAATTAAAATAGGTCAAAGAGATATGAATGACTTCATGAGACAAGAAATATATCAAAATCAAGAAGAATATTAGAAAATGTAAGGCATCATACATGAAAAATAACTAGCTTGAAAAACAGGTCAAGAGATCATTTAAGAATCACTGAAATATTTGAAAATCAGGATAAAAATATAGAAAAAGCTTGGATGTTTCAAGATAGCATAAATTAAAGCAATAAATCAAGAAAGCATAAATTAAAACTGTCCAGATTTATGAGAACCAGGAGGAAAAATGCAGAAATAGAGAATCAAACAATCACCTCCTGAAAGAAAATCCAAAAGGAAAAATCTCAGGAATGTCAATCAAAATCTAATTCTTCCAGGTTAAAGAAAAAAATCCTGCAAGCAACTAGAAAGAGTCCAAACAAAAAACCACAAGCAGGATCACACAAGATATGGACGCTTCCAGCATAAACCAGAGATCTTGGAAAAATATTTCAAAAAGCAAAAGATAAAAGTTTGCAATAACAGTTAACATTTATATAACACCTACTATGTGTCAGGCCCTACATTAAGAGCTTTATAATTATCATCTCTTCTGATTCTCACAACATCCACGGGAGGTTAAGTGACTTACCCATGGTCACACAACTAAAAAGTATCTGAGGCCATATTTGAACCCAGGTATTTTTGATTCCAGGCCAGCAGTCTACCCACTGCATCTTCTAGCTTACAACCAAGAATAACTTAGCTTTTTAAATAGCAAAAACATATGAATTTTTAAAGGAAGAGGACTTTTAAGCATTTGATAAAAAGGATATGAGCTTTGAAATGCAAATACAAGACTTAGGAGAAACTCAGAAAGGTAAATTTATTTGAGCAATTTAAAGCCGCATGATGATTTGGTGCTAATGTTGTAACAAAGAAAAAGCAAGTGTCCCTTGAGATCTTTAATGTCTTCAAAAGTTATTAAGAAAATTAATAAAGAAAAACAGAATATTTGATTCTGTTCTGCAGGTTCTAAGAGAGAAAAGAAAAGGGAAGGCCAAGGGTACACACTAGTTTAGAAAGAAGGAAAAAAGGAAGAACTTGCTACTTGTCATAATTGGAATGCATGAGAGAAAAGTATACAAATGGGGAAGAAAGGTTAGGGGACTGAGCATATAATAAACCTCAATCTTATTTGAATTAAATATATAACAGAAATAATCTTCTTCACCGACCCATGATATAAAAAAAAACCAACAGCCCATGAGGCAAAGCATATAGTAGGGAAATGCATTTCTAATTTAGAGGAGATACAGTAGAGTTTGGGTTGAAGAGTTTTTCTCTGTGGATAATGAGATCATCCCTAATACTGTTGCTTAAAGAAGACAATGTGATGATTGCATCAAAAGTCCTGAGATATTTCAGGGCTTCCTGGAAGAGACCTGTAATCAAAAAAGTTTGATTTATTTATCTACCCAAGAAAAACCAACTGGATGAAAAATGTGCTTCTAGATGAAATAGCAAGATGCTTGAACTGATGGTATTATTGACAGACAATGAGCTGGGTAGTGTTGAAGAGGAAGTGGCAAATGGATTGGACTGCTTTGGGGAAACTGAAAAGCTCCCTTATTTACCCCAAGCTTCTCACAGAAACAAAGGGTCATCTCTCTAATACTAACAATTTAAACTGATGTCGCTATATGGTAGCAACACATGGAATACAACTGTCTGTGAAGAACTAAAGATGAGTAGTGTATGGTGTAATATGGCAATGGAAAAGTGTATGTTGTAATAAGTAGGTTACAACAAAAACTGTGAAGAACAGTAGTAAAAGATGTCATCAAGAAACGACAGCAAGAGAATATGGGCTATTCATGAGGCAAGAACAAGGGATGATAGGCTGCCAATGTTCCACTGACAGCCTAGTAACTTCAAGTGAAATGAAGGCCTCCAACTTCTTCAGTGGACACCCTATGGAGAAACCTTTTAAAGGACATAGATAAAAGTCACATAAGACAAGCAAGGGATAGATGATTGCAGTCTGCATTGCTGAAGGGTACTTTTGAATGAATAAGGTCACAGATCCAGTGGAATTTCTCATCCAAGAATGACTTTCACACTGAATATTCCCTCATTTCAGTGTTACATTTTCAGTACCTTTTCCTAACATTTCTCATGCTTCACTACATTTGGGTCTATCACCTTCATATCCTGCACTCTGCCCTCATCACCTCTCCTTGGTTTCCACCACTCTCCTCAAAGCCTAAGATTTACTACCACCACTCCCAAAACGTCAAAACATATGTGAAACAAAATTTTTAAAGCTTAAAAATTTTAAGTGTGCAAAGGGGAGCCATAATTAATCCTCATGTTTCTACACAGGAGGTGCTAAATAAAAAGTTTTTTGGGGAGATGATAATCCAACATCCTGACTTTACAGATGAGGAAACTGAATTCTAGAGGTCACAATAATAAACAAGATTATCTCTGGTACATTTTTATTACATGCTTCTCTATGAGCATAGTATTACAGGCACATGCTTATCTATAAGCAGTGTTACAGTAGAAGGAACACTGGTCTTGGAATTAGAAGACATGGGTTTGAGTATTATCTCTGCCAATGGCTCCCTAGGTCACTAATGCAAAAAAGTCTACTAGAGGTTTAGTTTCCTCATTTGTAAAATGGAGTTAGTGATATTTACAGGATCAACCTCACAAAGCTGTCAACAAATATTTTATATACCATTATTCCGTATACCAATCAATCAATAAGCATTTATTGAGCACCTACTATGTACCAGTCAATGTGCTAGACTGAATATTAAAAGACAAAAGTGAAAGTTTTGGATCTTAAGGAGTATACATTTTAACCAGGGGAAATACTAAGCAAATTTGGCAGAAAGGCACTAGCACCTGGGATCAGGACAGGTATCATGTATGTGGTCCTTAAGATGAGCCTTGAAGAAACTAGGGATTCTTACTGTAAAAGCTGGAGATGATGAGAGAGTCTATTCTAGGCAAGGGGGCCCAGTCAACAGAGAGGCACATAAAGGATTTCAAGCACTGTATATGAAAAACAGTAAGAAGGCAGTTTGGCTTAACCACAGTATATATGAAAGGGAGTAACTTATAAGGCAGAAAGTTACACTGGCACAAAGTTGTGAAAGGTTTTATAATCCAAACAGAGTTTTAATTTGATCCTGGGGAGTCACTGGGATTTTATTCAGTAGGGGAATGACATGGTCAACACTACACTTCAGGAAAATCACTTGGGCAGCTGTGTGGAGAATGGAATGATGAATGCAAGTAGGAAGAGACTTGAGAGACCAACTAGGAGGCTATTTCAAGTCTAGCTGAGACATCATAAAGCCCTGAAAGACAACAGGAACAGGATAATTGGAGGGGAGAGGCAATTGTGGAGGTAGAAGTACAAGAGTTGACAACTGATAGGACATTTAAAATAAATGAGAGTGAGGAGTCAGTCAAGAATGACACTAGGGTTGAAAACCTGAGTAAATGGAAGGATAGATAATAGTACCAACAGAAATAGAGAGGTTCAGAAGCTTCATTAATTTTGGAGGAAGGTTAATCAGTCAACAAGCATTTAACTGTCTATTATGTGCCAAGCACTGTGGTAGGCAATAGGGATCCAAACACAAAGATGGGATCAATCTCTACTCTCAAGGAGCTTACATTTAATGGGATGAGTTCAGTTTTCCTCATGTTGATTTTGTGAACATTCTGTTTGAAATGTCAACTAGGCAGTCTGGTAAGGCAGGAATGAAGTTCAGGAGAGAAAATAAGACTGGCTATATAGATATGGAAATCACAACTACCTAAATACGAGAAATTTTTACTGCATGGTAAGAAATGCTTTTATAGCAATTTTGTATGATGTTTTCCTTACTGCCTTGTCTACAACAAAACAGCTCAACGTATAGCAACAATAATCTCAAAACAGTGTCCTGTAAGGCACTTTAAGGACTGCAAAGCATCTTACCTATGTTAATTCATTTGATCCTCACCACAACTCAGGAAGGTTAAGTACATAAATATTATCCCCATTTTATAGATGAGGACACGAAAACAGAACGATGTCATTTAACTTGCCCAGCTACTCCTTTAAAAAAAAAAAGGATTTGAACCTACGTCTTCCTGACTCTAACACTTCCATACACTACACCAACCCCTTACAGAAGGTTAGGGCTGAAGGAGGGATTATTTATGTAATACGCATGCATGCAGCAACGACACAAAGCTGACTGACTGCTTCTCAAGGACCAACCCAGCTCCGCACAGAGGCTCATCACTAGCAGGCTGTCCACTGGGTGATGAATTCTTTGCCCATGGCAACCTATGAATCAAAGAAGACAAAACGGAGGTCGCCAGCGCCGCCGGCCTACCCCACGCCTTCAGAGGCATCCCTGGGGGGGTCACTTTCCCTCGTCCCCGGATTGCGGGGCGGGGGTCCGGAGGATCACTTAGGCCGGGAGAGGGGCAAGGTGCCGCTCCAGGCCCCACCGCGGCGAGGAGAGAGCCTGGCCCCCGCCGGCCCCGTCATCCCCCCGCCCCGCCTCCGGGAGACGGCCGGCGGACGGCGCGTCCTGGAACAGACTCCCGTAAACCGGCTTCCATCCACGGGCCTCGCTTCTTACCTGCAGGGAGCTCCCGGGGGAGCCGGGTGGCGGGGGGCGAAGCCGGGGCCCTGAGAACGCCAGCCGCCGCTGCCGCAACCTCCACAGCCGCCACCGGGGGGAAAACAGGGAGGAGCCTCAAGGGCTGAAGCTGCGGCAGAAGAGCCTGCAGCTCCGGAACCGGAAGCCAGGATGTAAAGGGCAGGACTGCGGCGTGCCAGGCAGCCCTGCGGAAGGCGCATGCGCGTCAGGTCCCCTCCGAAATTGGTAAAGGAGCGTGTTGTGTCAGGAAGAGCAAAGTCTAGAAGATCCAATCAGCGCTGGGCGTCCCTCACGGGGCGGGGCGAGCCAAGCTAGGTTGGCCCGCCTTTCCTGCTTCCACATCCGGGTGAGAGCTAGTATTTCCGCTACTTCTTTGCTCTCTGTAGGTTTTGGCGCTTTTTGGTTGTCCGGATTTTTCTCCGTAGCTCTTCTTTTTCATCCTCCCATGGAACGTTCGCAAGCCTGAGGTTCCATCTCGGAACTCTGGAGACCTTGAAGTTCTGAGCGCGGACAAAAATGACTCACTCCCCCGGCGAGCGGCCCCCTCTCCGGCTCTATCCGAAGTTACCCGTGTGGGTAGTGGAGGATCACCAGGAGGTAAGAGCTCGGCTCCCAGGGCGCAGGTCTGACCCTGTCACCCCCAGACTCAGTATACTCCACTGGCTCCCTATCCACTGGATCAAATACGAAATGTTGTGTTTGGCGCTTAGAGCCGGCCCCCTCTTGCCTTCTTCCATCCCACGCTCGCCACGGCCTCATCCCCCAGATAACACTGACCCTGCCCCCGGCCGGTCCGGGAGCGGGACCCTCCATCTCTCGGCCTGGGCATTTTCTCTGCACGTACTCCCGTGGCTGCAATGCGCCCCCTCCCTGACTTCCTTTAAGCCCCAGCTAAAATCAGGCTTTGTACAGGAAGCCTTGCTCAACTCCTCTTAATGCCAGAGCTTTCGATCTCTGTTATTTGCTATTTATCTCGTGTGTAGCTTGTATATTTTCTTTTGCATGGCCTTTCCCGTTAGATTGCAAGCCCCTTGCGGGCAGAACTTATCTTTTGTGTCTTTTTTGTGGTATCCTGAGTGCCTGGCACGTAATGGGCGATTAAGAAATGTTAATTGATTGATCTGTGGTATTAATATTTTTAAGGACTACTCACAGTACTTTATCTTGAGATTTGTAGAGATTCCATGTTAGGGTCTGCGTGGAGTAATGAATAGGGAACCTGCATCAGAGTTGAGAATGAATCAAATATTTATTAGTGTCTTCTGTGTGCCAGGTATTGTACTAAGAGCTTCAGATTCAAAGAAAGGTGAAACAGTCTAGGTGCTTCCAGTCTAATGGGGGAGAGAGCATGCAAACAACCAAGAAAAAACAAAGTATAGATGGGGTTATTACAGAATTGTTCTGGGGTACATTGACTGGTAATTCCAGTAAGCAGCCAAGTAACAGAGGTAGAGGTCAGAATTGTACTTTATTCCCTCAGAGTGAGACACACCATCAGAAGTCGATGAACATGTGTCTAGAGGAGGCCTTGTTCCGTAGTAAACTTTCTTAACAGTCATTCCAATCAGTAAACATTTATTAAATATCTAGAAGAGAGTGATCCACAGTGTTAAAGACTGAAGAGAGGTCTAGGAGAATGAGGATTGAGAAAAAGTCAGTGGATTTTGCAACTAAGATCATTAGTAACTTTGGAGACAGCAGTTTGGACAGAATGATAAGGTCAGAAGCCAGACTGTAAGGGATTAAGAGAGTTGGGGCAACTAGGTGGCACAGTGGATAGAGCACTGGCCCTGAAGTCAGGAGGACCTGAGGTCAAATTTGGCCTCAGACCAAATACTTGACACTTACTAGCTGTGTGACCCTGGGCAAGTCACTTAACCTCACTTGCCTTTAAAAAAAAAAGAGAGAGTGGAGGTACCTATTGTAGATGGCCTTTTCATTCCCAGTAGATGAAAGAAAAAGGGCAGACTCCCTGCTCTGTATTTGGACCTTGATCTCAGGTTGAGTGTAACAAGTAGGACTGTGATATTGAACTTTTTTTAAAGCTGTGATTCATTCCTTCTTTTAAAAATCTAATTCGTATAATGTATTTGTTTTGTCTTTACCTCTTCAGCAGTCACCACCCTAGATCTGTAACTAATATTTTTAGGAAGCCTTGTCCTCAAATCATCAGAGTCTGTATATCCTAGAGAAATAATTGTAAGCAGAAGTTAGTTAATGAGGGCTCCAGAAGGAGAGGAGGGATGAATCAGAAAATAAGATCTTCCATTCTAGGTACAGAATCATAAAATTTTAGAGCTGAAAAAAAAGACCTTAGACATCAACCATTTCAACACATTTATTTTATAAATGAGAAGACGTAAGTCCCAAAGATGTTAAGTAGTCCTTCTAGATCACACAAGTAGTTGTTGCTAGAGGCGGGACTAGAATTCAAGTGCACTGACTAGAAATAGCAATTTGGACATCATCAACAATAAATAATACTACATCTCTCCCATTTAAAATTTAGCTGCTTATGGTGTTAAGGTTTTTTTAGTCTCTAGTAATATACGTTTGTGGTTTTTTTTTCCCTCTAAGCCAATTCAGTGCATTTATGCTTCCATTTATCTCTTCAGGTCTTGCCTTTTATATACCGAGCTATTGGCTCAAAACATCTTCCTGCCGGTAACATAACCTTTGTTCATTTTGATTCACATCCTGACCTCCTTATTCCTGTGAATATGCCAGCAGATACTGTGTTTGACAAGGAAGCTCTCTTCGGGTAACGTATATTCAATATTAGTCATTTCTTATGTGTTTGAAACTTGAGTTTTTTCTATAGATGTTCTGTAACTAAGGAAGTAGAATTGTCTTTAACTCCACTCATAGGAGTGGAGTAAAAGCTCGAGCAGATAACTGTGCCATTTGTAATGGGCTGTGTTTTGCGGAAAAGTAGTTAAGGTCTTTTTTGATTTTAGACTTATTGTGCCTTTTGTTTTTATACCCCATTTTCTCTCTGCATTTCTTCCCCATCCTCCATGAGCCCTCTTTTGTTAAAAAGAAATATATGCAAGCAAAACCAACAGATATAAGACTATATATGATATAGTGCCATATTCTTCTGCCTACCCCACTTGTCTACTGAGATAATGAAGAGATATTTTGTTACCAGTTCTCTAGGGCTGAGAGTGAGCTTTTACAAATAATCAGAGTTCCTGATTGATTCAATGACCAACCAAGATTCCAGAGAACCAGGGTTGAACAATGTTACCGACTTCCTGACAGACAGGTGATGGACTTAAAATGTAGGATAAGACATATGTTTTGGATATGGCGGTTGTGGATATTTGTTTTCCTTGACTATACACATTTGTTACAAGGATGTTATTTCTCTTTCTGCTTTCTTAATAAGGATAGAGAGAGAAAATAAGTGCTTATTTTTTAAAAAATTTTAGGCAAAGCAGTTTTTTCAACTGCTTTTTAGTGTTTTCATAATGTATACAAAATACTTTGCAAACCTTAAAGCCCATATGAGCTGCTGTTATAATTCAATTTATTATTTTTATTATTATTCTCTTTCACTCTGCCCTGGTCCATACAAGTCTTCATGTGTTTTTCTTAATTCCTTGTGTTTGTCATTTTTCAACATCAAAGTATATTCTATTATAATAACATAATAGTAATATTATAATTATAGTAATATAACACAATTTGTTTAGTCACTTCCCAAGAGATGGGCATCTCCTTTGTTTTGTGATTTGGGGGTAAAAAGATAATGGTTTTTCCTTTATCTTTGACCTCTTTGGGGTATACACCCTGTTGTAGAAGTCTAAGTCATAGGTCATGGACAGTTTGAGAAATAAAAAAGGAATTTATAATTTTCATATTACTCAATATGATATGTATAATGAATATTCCAATAATTTAGTTTTCTTAAGAGCTGCCTCTCTGGCTTGGGAGTCAGCTCACAATGCAGCCTTGAACTGATTAATCAAAACTCTGACACTACTCACAATCAGTGGACCTTAAGTGAAGGGAGTCAAAGATTGTAGAACTTGTTCTCCTCACAGAACTCTAGTTCTGTACTGTAGGGGAGGTAGTCACAACCCCCAAAGAATTGTTGTTTTGTGGGACTTGTAGTTTTCTCTTGGGAAATCTCTAAATGACTGTTTGTAATCCACCTTCCCTAGTTGTGATTTAAGTACGTAGCCTGTGCTTTTACTTCAGCTAGAAGAACATTCCTCATTCTGAAATTGATTAATTAAACTACTTGATTACTGACACTCCCATCTCTTAGGCCTACTTTGTGCAGCTCCAAGTATTCTCAGGTTAGAGACTGGCTCAGTAAAAATACTGTTAACAGAAATTTTCTTACATAAATTCACTTATGATCCTTATTTTCTGAGTTAGATAATCTCAGTTGGAAGAGACCTCAAAGGGCATAACTCCTTACCTGAAACCTAAATCTCCCTTAGAACATTTCTAAAATATGACAGAATATGTCATGACCGGGTTGTAGGAAAAAGAATGAAACTATCCGTCATAAAAATATACCTTATTATCTCATTGATTATGTGAGCTTAAATATTATGGTATTCCCTTCTTGTTGCAAATTGGAATCAATCCATTCAATCTCATCCTCTGTCTCTTGCCAATAGTCTTTAAAGATCCTCCATGGAGAATTCATCCAGTGTGTTTTGGGCCTCCTTCTAAGTTTTTGTACATTTCTGTGGTACCAGTGGAACACTGACTAACCATCTGTTATCCTTCCTTCTTTCCACTTGTCCGCTTGCTTCCTTTTCTGATCTTCCATTTCCTGATTATCTCTTATGTCACTGGGGTCAAACTCAAATAGAAACAAATCCCTACAGCCATGTATTTGCTTAGGAAAACCACAAATTAACATCATTATTTTCTGTTTTATTTATTGTTGATATATAGAAATGATGTTTGTTTTCATGTATTTATTTTGTATTCTCCTTTATCCAAGCTGTTAATTGTCTCCATTTCTTTGCTCTGTAAGATTGTCCAAGGAAACCATCATGTTATCTGCAAATAGAGATTCTTTTTGTCTCTTCTTCAGCTATGCTTATGCCTTTAGTTTTTTTCTCTTGTCTTACTGCTAAGGCTGACATTTGTAGGACTGTGTTACATGATAGTGGGGAAAGGGGCATTCTTCCTTTATTTACTTTATTTACTGGGAAAGCTTCTAGTGTTTCCCCTTTGCAAAGAATGCTGACTTTTGGTCAAACACACATTTACATACACAATAATTAAATTACCTGAATATATTCTGTTTATCTACTGATGGAATCAAGTAGTTTGTGATGTTTTTGGTTTTATCTAGACCCGTGATTTCATTGGTATTTTGAATTTCTGGTGAGGAAATTCTGCCCTTACACTTCCGTGTCCCTGTCCCCCATCACCTTGTGCATAGAGCTGTACCTACTTTGTGCTTATAGCATTAGAGAGTTGCCTTAGTGACTGAGAGATTAAATGACTTTCCTAAGGTCATTAAACCTATGTTAAATGGCACTTCAATACAGGTCTTCCTGACTCTGATGCTTGTCCTCTATCCCCTGAGCCACATTAAACTGTTTTAAAAATAATTGTTGTTGATTGCTTTCTTAGTGTTGAATTATGCTTGGATTTCTTACACAAATCCAACTTCATTCTGCTAAGATTTTATTCAACATTTTTCTGTGACTATATATTTTCTTTCTTTCTTTTTTTTTTACTTTTACAAATGACCACTTACAGTTTTCCACTACCACATTCCTTTTTTTTTTTTGGAGGGGTATTGATCCTTAGGGGAGTACTGTACTTTTTAAATTTTCATTCCTTTCAGAACAGTTTTCTATAGTTTGGAATTTTAAAGTAAACCAAGCAAATATTGATAAAAGTGTGTATCTTTATAAGTACTTCTAGCGTATCAACTACATAAAGAGTACTTCCTAGATTTAAATGAAAATTTTTGTAATTTATAACTTAAATGTTTCTTTTATTTATTTTCTAGGGAATTGAGTATTGAGAACTGGATTATGCCTGTAGTTTATGCAGGTCATTTTTCTCATGTAATATGGCTCCATCCATCATGGGCTCAGCAAATCAAGGAGGGCAAACATTGTTTTTTAGTGGGCAAAGACACCTCCACTACAACTATCAGGTAACACATTATCATTTCTGTAGGTATGAAAAGGGTTAAATGCTTCATATGCCTTTTAGTTATAGCTAAATAAGGTAATGATAGCACATGTCTTTGTAGCCTTGGAAAGTTTAGAGAGGGCCTTCCTCCTAACAGCCCTGTGATGTAAGTACTAATATCTCCTTTCACAGATGAGAAAACTAAGACTTAGATAGGTACAGTGTCTTGGCCTGAGCCAAACAGCTAGTAACTGTCAGACCTGGTATTTGAATCCAGTCTCTCCCTACCACTCAAATGCACTTCCTAAATTCACACATGGACATAATACTTTTATATTTTGCCTTTAAGTTAAGGTTCAAATCTTTTAAATTATAAGTTTTTGTTCTAAAATAGAACTCTGAATTCTAATCTTGTTTCATCTCATGAGTGATTTCATTAATTCACTTTAAGTCTTTGGCAAGCTTCCTCCCTTTGGCCATTTGATTAAATAATGAAGAACCTATTATGTGATCTTTTTTTTCTTATTTCATTTTCCTTTCCAAATGTTTTTTTATTTCATCTCACTGATAACTCATTTATCTAGTGCTTTTCAGTTAAAAACTAATTTTCTCTCACACTGCAAGGGGTAATGCAAATATTATTATCCTCATTTTAGCTATGAGGAAATTAAGGCTTAGAGGGATTAAATGTTTGAAGCCAGGTCTTCTGACTCCCATTTCATCATTCTTTTCTGAAAACACTGCCAGTGTTAAATGTTTCCTATTTGCTGATTTTTATTTTAATGTGTAAATTTTGGTGTGTTTTTGCTTTCAAGATAATAAAAAAAAACACAAAAAAGAATGTGTTGCTGTTTTCCCCTTTTTATTACTGCATACTGTTTTGTCATCAACAGTTGAGTGGCCAGATACACTATTTTAGGTAAATATAGGTCCTTATATCAGAGATCAACTTACTAAATAAAGGTATTTCTTTTTTTCCATTTGTATTTAACTATTCCAGCCATTTTCACCCAGTTACCAACACTGATTTGTAGTATTAGATTTTCTATCTTAGAATCGCATATTTAGAGCTGAAGTGGCCCTTCAAGATCATTAATTATAAACATTTTAGCGGTGTAAAATATGCAATAAATTACATCTATCATAGCATGTGGTATACACAATTAGTTTATATTATGTACACCAGTACAGTAAACTTTGCTTACATATCTTGTGTTACCAATATAATAATTTTGGAATATCAAAACATTTATGGCTAGATAAAACACTTTAAGCCATTAAAATACTACTTTTTATAACACAAAATGTAAGTTGTACTGGCAGAATTTTTATATACATAATAAAAATTGTTTATTTTCCTGTTGTATGTAGGACGACTTGTAGAACTAATGTTGTAAAATGTGAGCCTGACCTGATAGTCAACAGGCTTAATAAAAATGAAATATGATTTTCTGGCTAGAGTGCCAGGCTTGGAGTCAGATCCTGGGCTTGAATTCTACCTCTGACCTGACACTTATTAGCTTGAGTGTAATGGGCAAGTCACTCAACTTTTCTGAGCCTCTGGCAGTTCTCTTAGTTCTTTGTTATACACAGCTTATGTTGTACTTCCTCAAATCGAATTATCATACTAAAGAAATCACAGGCCCTTGATGTATTGACTTGATTTTCTGCTCCTTTAAAGCATTTAAGCTAGATGTTCAACACAAGCTTTTGGGGGGGGGGGGCGGAGATAGTACTGGCTGTTCTTACAGAATCACCAAATCTGCCAGCTAGAAGGCATCTCAAAGATAGCCAGGCCCAAATTTTTCGTCTTGCAGGTTCTGTTCTTTGTTGATCCTCAAGGCAAAATATATGTGAAGTATAGTCAGTGAAATTTAGCTGAATTATCTAAAAGAACATCAATTTAACACTAACACAGAACGTTAGAGATAGAAAAGAACCTGAGATCTCATCTAATAATGCACAGGTCACACAGATAGTGGTGTGGCCTAGGATTTGAACCCTGATCAGATTCACACTCTTAACTCCCATCTTCTTTCCATTGTACTAGGCTGCCTTTCCAACTTTTTAGTGAGAGTGGTACAGTTATATTTTAAAATATTCTCTTTTAGAACACTTAAAAATATGCTGGTATAGCTTTCGGTTAGTGTGGAAATATTATTTCCTGTTTGGACTGTAAAGATTGCTTTTATGTATGGTTTCTTATCAAATAAATCAAAGATTTATATCCATTTGTGTTCTCTTTTTAATTTAATTTTTTAGTTCAATGAACAATGCTATAGAAAAAGGAGACTTTGGTCATTAAAGGACTTAAATTAAATTCCTCTTAAAGAGGAAAAAAGTAATAAAAGGTATTGTTTTACTTGAATGACAGTTGTTCTAGGGAAGCATCTGGTTATGCTGATTAGTTGATTTTGCTTGTCTTGTTTTTTAAAAATTTAAGAATATATTGATGTTTCAAAGGTAAGAAAGACATCTACCACTCATGTTCATTGGATTTAATAAGGTAGCTTTCCATGTTAAATATTAGAAAGGTAAGCATTACTTTTAAAAAATCCATTCTCTGTTTTTAAAAACTTAAATACTAGGTTTTATTTAAAGGTATTTCTTTATAAGTTATGAAAATTTCTTCTCCAAATTTAGCTTTTCTATAATGTTTTTAAATGTCTCTTGTTCCTACTGTGCACACTGAAATTTTAGCATGTTTTCTCATTTTTCACTTTGGAAATTGTTTTCCTGTGATTTAGGGTTACAAGTACAGATCATTACTTCTTAAGTGATGGTCTTTATGTCTCTGAAGATCAGCTGGAGAACCCAAAGCCTTTAGAGTTGGACGTAATTCTGGTAAATCCTTCCCAACTGTTCAGCAGTCAAGAGGAAAGTGGAGCAGTGCCTTCTGCTAAGAGGCTGAAGTTAGCTGCAGAAGAGTCACAAAGCACTGCATTGACGAACTCTTCTTCTTCAGAAGGACTGTGTCCAAATCAAAAAGCAGAAGAAAAGGAAAAGGATACAGGATCACAGTTGGCTCCCCAAACTTGCATGGCACCAGCAATTTCAAGCTATCCTGAAATGCTGGACTGCCAAACTAGAGCCAGTGCTAGGGATATTCTCCAGATTCTGAAGAAAGGAGATGCCTTTGTTTTAGATGTTGACTTAGATTTTTTTTCAGTCAAGAATCCCTTCAAAGAAATGTTCTCTCAGGTAAATATACTAGTGTGGGTGACTAAATACATACAGGATGGAGGGTGGGAAATGGGTTTGCATTTTTCAGAGTCTCTTTCTTATCATGTAAAGTTAACTTCTTAGGTTCATGTGTCATTGTCTGTCACTAAAACAACCCAAGGAGAAACTAACTACCTAGAAACATGTGATTGTTAGGCTGCTTTATGAGATCACAGAAGCAAGGCAGTATGTGTTCTAGTTAAGATTAGGATGCAAGAATCCAAGGCATAACTACATTTATGACATTATTATGACAATAGTGACATCATCCAATCAAATGGGCTGATATTCCATGTCTCTAATATACTTTTAACCAGAAAGTATTAACCTTAAAGTGAGTGAAGTCATTAAATTTTAATGAGTTTTTTTTTTTAGGATCACATTTTATTCGTATCCCATTTGGAATTTAAATTTAGTGTTGGGGGGGGTGGTTTAATCTACACCTTGGATTGTCAGAAACCGAAAATACTCATAAACATCAGTGCTCCATTTTACTGCCTTTACACCATGCACATACATAGGAAGCAATTATGAGTCACTTAGATGACAGAACGCTCTCATGTAACATTAAAGGTCACTAAGATTTTATAATGTAGGCTATATTCAGAGTTTGTCTAATATCCATCATCCTGATTTTCCCCTTCTTGCTATAGAGCACAGTGCGTCATGCCCTCTGGAACTACAAAAAGGAGAAAATTTTCTATCTACAGCTCTCCCCATTTCTCTGCTGGAACGAGACGTATGTTGTGTTCAAGTGGAGAATCATTCACCTGGAGCCAATGGCCTCCGTGATCAGCAGCTATCAGAAATTACTAAGTAGCAATCAGAACTCCTTAGAAAGCTGTCATAGTAGAGAATGCTTGGACATGTATTGTAAGGCCTTTTCTGCTGCCCATATTCCCAAGTGGGATTATGTACCACATATGCTCTCCTATGTAAGTGGTGCGGTCTAGCAGCCTTATACATGAGCACGTAGTGGGAGGACTTTTTCTCCCTCAAAGATTTCCTCAACTGCAGTAGACTTCAATCCCTATGTGTATAGGAGCTCACTGACTGAAATACATCCTCTACTCTGGCCTTTTTTCTCCCAAGATTTCTTATACGCTCTCAGAAGTTTGGCTTGGTATCTGGAAAATCTCTATGTGATGATTAAGTATCTTGTTTAAAATATTTGTATTGTAAAATTTATGAACAGTTAAGAATATTTAAATTAAGGGATTTTATGCTTCAGAGTAATACTTACTCTTATTGCTCTGTAGGCTTCAGGAAGTATTTGTACATAACTAATTTATATTTGTTGTTCCAATAATAATCATTTGTGAAGAATCCCTGAAAAGGATTGGACCATTTAGAGTAAAAATCTGAAGATCACTTCTCATCTGACTTTTCTAGAATAATCTTTAAAGAGTCATCAGAAGAAGTTTTTCTCTGTAAAACTGTTTTTCACTTTAATATATATCTTTTTTTTTTCCCCGGGGGCTTGTTTTGTCTTCCAGGAAGAATACAAGCTCTTACAAGAACTATACAGTTTTAAAAAGCCAGATACAGAGCTGACAGAGGTATGCCAATTTTATTTGAGGGATGGGGAAGATTAAAAAAAACCTCTATAAGACCCCATGTTATGTTTAGTGATTTTTTTTTGAAGACCCTATGACTGGCAGCTTATTAAGTTGACAGCTTCCTAGGGACTGCCCAAGTTCTTTTTTTATTAATTTAAACAAATCATTTTTGTGTTGGAGTTTAGGAATCCTTTCCCTCTCTTTCCTTTTTTGTAGAACTGAAATTTTCATTGTAATGGGATTTTCTTTGAATTCTGAAATCAGTTACAGTGTTTACACTCCATTCTTAAAGGAGGGCTTGGTAGATTGTGTGGAAAGTCGGGTTCATCAGCTGGAAGACTTAGAAGCTGCGTTTGCAGACTTGTGTGATGGTGACGATGAAGAAACGGTACAGAGATGGGCTTCAAATCCTGGGTGAGAATTAAGGTGGAGGTGGGGTAGGGGGTTCTTTATTGCTACTGGCATCTTCTGGAGAACTTTTTTTCATGTTGCTTATATGTGTAGATCGTTAGCCTGGTTTAAAAAAGTAAAACTTCTTATTATAACTGTAAAAAGTAGCATTTTTCAACAACTGGAAAAAAAATTGTTTCTTGCTGAGGGAGCTGCATCTTCAAAAGTGTAGAGCAGGGCCTTCCCAGGAGTCCTGTGCTGACAAAGCCCTCACCATTCAAACATCTTGTTAAGTCCATAGATAAAAAAGGAGCCATTATGAAGTGTGTCATCAGTGTAAGGGGAAAAGTTTCTTCTTTTCATATCAGCACTGTTTCAAGCTAGAATCATGAAAATACTGATTGTTTTTCTTTAAGTGGCTTAGAAGAAAACTCAAAAGTATAAAAATTACTGGCTGTTAAATGTTGATGACATTTGTAGCTCTATTATTGGCATCATCAGCATCTTTAGTATGTATTCTGTGTCCTCAATGAACTAAGAAATATATTCTTTCATATTTTGTGAAAGTAAGTAAAGGGACCCCCAAAATATTGATTACAGTTGACTTGAGATCTGGATTCTTAACCTTTCTGATGTAGTCATTATGTAATGTTGTATAATAGTAATCTCAGCATGCATTGTTCTCACACACACACTCATGCACACACGCCCACATGCCCACACGCCCAAGATTAGAAGTAGGGAGAAGGAAGTGCCATCCTTTGCTGAGCCCCCAGGAGAGCATTGTCTTCAAACTCCCTTGCCAGTTAGGCACAAGGAGCTGTTAGAGGAGGCCTAGATGATTCAGAGCTCCAAGGGTCCAATGAGCCAGAGACAAAGATGGGACAGCTGCCATTGAAGTTTCTGTGTTGGAAATTTGGAGAAGAGATTAGTTCAGGAGGCCTGGCAATATAAATTTGACAGTCATTTGCACAGAACTGGTTCAGTGGACCCACAGGACCTGATGAGAGTGAGAAGGCTTTAAAGGGAAGATGCCCACACTTACTGGGGCTGGAGGAAGAGGATGATCAAGGGCTCAGAGAGACAGGAAGAAAAATAAGAAAGTGCAGGATCACAGAAGCCAGGGAAGAAGAAACTGTTAAAGAGGGAGGGTGGTCAGTGTCAAAAGCTGAGAAAAGGTCAGGAAAGTTGAGGAGTAAGAAAAGGTTAACATTTGTAGCAGTTAAGAGATTGTCAGTAATCTTGGAAAGAAGAGTATCAGCCTATTGATGTGTTTTAGAGCCGTCTTACAAGGGATTGAGAAATAATTATGTGAGGAGGAGGATAGATGCAGGCATAACTGGCTTTTTCTAGAAGTTTGGATGTGAATGGGGACAGAGTAGTAGGACAGTGTCTTGAAGGAGAGGTAGGGACAAGTGAGGTATTTTGTAGGTAGCACAGAAAAAGACAGTAGATGAGAAAGAGAAGGCATAAAAGAGAAGTGGGTAAGAGGAGATGAGATACAGGACATAGGCAGAAGGCTTGCTTTGGCATTGGACTTAAGCAAAAGAGGAAAATAAAGGGGTTCTGATCCCTAGACTCAGGGTTCCTTTTTGAACTATAATAAACTCTCAAGTTAACTTTACATTTAACTCCTTGTCATTTTCTTGGACCAACAGAGGAAGTTCAGGGGCTCAGTAGCAGATTGTGTAATGGATTGGAAGAAATATCTTTTGCCTGTTGAACTTTAAAACATAATTTTTATTACATGTTGAAAATCTAAGGCCTAATAATCTCATGTTTATATTTACTAAACCTTTAGTTGCTGGTTTGTTAGGAGAATGGGGGAGTACTCTGACTTTTCTTCAGCATAGCCTAACTGAAAAGAGCCCTGAATTCAGAATCAGAAAACCTGGTTAGGCTCTGAGCTATGTTAGTTATTATCTAGGCAGCCTTGGTTGAGCCAACTGTCCTCTCTGGGCTTCATTTTCCTCCACTATAAAATTAGGAGTTTGGACTAAATGACCTTTAAGGGCCTTTCCAGCTCTAAATCCTGTGATTCTGTGAAATCTACATCAGTTTCCATTAAGTTGGAAACAGCCAGTTAAATGACATTTTGCCATATAGTTCTCTGTACTCTGCCATGGTCACATCACATTTGGAATACATTTTTCTATTCTGGATGCCACGTTTTAGGCAATCGAAACATTAATAAACTGGAAAAGTTTTAGGAGAATGACCAGGCCTGTGAAGGGCCTTGAGTTCATATTATTTCAGGATACAGTTGAAGAGACTAGGGATGTTTAGCCTGGAGTAAAGGAGTTGTAACAACTGTCTTTCAGCATTTGAAAGACTGTCCCATTGAAAGGGGATTAGACTTGTTTGATTTGACCCCAGAGAGCAGAAGTAAGAGCCAAGGGGCAGAAATTGGAAAGAGGCAAATTTAGATTTGATGGAAGAAAACACTTCATTGCTTAGAACCATCCAGAAATGGAATGAGCTGCCTTTAGAAGCAAGGGTTCTTTTCCCTGCATGAGCACTTGTCTTTTGCAGATATAGGTTAGACTATAATGGCCTCTCAGGACTTTTCTAACTGCAAAGATCTTGTAATTTTCTAAAAGTGTTATTTTGAATGCAGAAATTGGGGGTATAAAGAAGAGAAAAATCCAGTATGTAAATTTGAAGTACTGGGCATGAAACTCCAAATGTTGTAATTGTTTCTAGGTAAAGTGAAGAGGAGTGGGGTATTTACCACTATTACAATACTCCGTTTTGCTTTTAGAGGCTGGGAGGGATTATCAAATAGATTTCCATCTAAATTAAATGATTAAGATTTTCACTAGTTTTTTACCTTTTGAGATTTTTCTTATGGAAAAAATAAAAGGCTGTACCTGTTGAGAGAAAATTTTTTAGGATTTTGCTGAATGTAAATTGTCATTTTAAAATATATTTTAGGAAACCTGTGTTTATTTTTCCTTGTATCACATTTGTTGTGCTTAAAAATCATTTTTAAAGGTACAATGGAATCTTAGCTTAAAGGGATTAGAAGTATAACTCTTCACCTTTCTACATATTCTGTAGTCTTAGGGTATTAAATAGAAAACAGATTTCTTAACTTTAAACATAATAGAAAGATATTAACAGCTTTTTTCCTTCATGCTACAAGCATACTATAAAATGGTCCTAATTTAAAATTTTAAGTAGAATTTGTCTTTTCCTATTGTGACATATTAAGACGTGTATGGTGTTTGTGCACTTAATGGATTTTTTTGGGGGGTGCTTTTTTTATAGAATGGGGTCCTTAACTGCACTTGTTCAGAGTTTGAAAAACCGGACGGAAACACCAGACTATGAGATGGTAAATATTTTCAACTGAGAATTATAAATTAGCCTTTTATATAGCATGGGGGGGGGGGAGGGGAGATTGGCTCTTTATCAAATGATTCACTGGTTTCTCTGCCTTGGAAGTATGGATGAATTATTGAGAGAAATTAATTAAAAGAAGTAAAAATTGAAATAGAATCTTTAATTCTTCATTAATCAGAAAATTTTTCATTATCATTTGTATTCATAATTTTTATATGATATAGAAATACAATACATTTGGCTTTGCATATCCTTTCAATATGTTGGGGATGCCTATACCACATTTTTGTTTCCCTGTAGAAAGTTTTTCATTGTAATACAGAAAAAAAGGAGGTGATTACTAGTAGGTATCTTTTTTTGCAAGTCAGTATTCTAAGCAGTGACATAGAAAATGAGTTAGTCTTATTGGTAGTTATCAGCCTCTTCCTCATCTTCCCTGCACCTCATCCCCATTCCCCCATTCCCACCCAATAAACTTCAGTTAGTCTACTTCCTTTGGAATACAGCTCAGAATGTGATTTCATTGACTAGACTTGGGCTAATGAAAGCCTCTACTCTTTAAAGTAGAAATTATTGCACACAGAATCATACAGCTTGATTGAGCCTTTAATATACCATTCTTAAAAAGTCTGAAATCTTTGGTATAGCCCATCTCAGACTTTTTACTAGCCTTGTGACCCTGGGCGCAAATCATCACTGCTTCAGTTTCCTCATCCACAGAATGAGAGAGTTGAGCTTTAAATCTCTTATCTTAAAAAATTAAAATGAATTGCTGTTGACAAAATTCCTATCACCTCTATGCAAAGACTTTAGTGAATATAAAATTATTTGAAAGCAGACCTCTCTCTACCTCTCTTCTTTGCAGATATGGGAAGTTCAGAGTATCAGATATTGCATGTGCTCTAAAACTCAGTTGATGTATTGGTTAGTTTTGCTGAACTTTTTTTTCCCCCTAGGTAGGAAAGAAAGAGGACTATGTTTAGAAATGTGTAAAAAGAAAAGTTTTAATATAACAATGCTAAAGAAAAAAGGTTTAATATTTGAAAAGATATCTTTTTAAAGGCTTTTTTTTTTTTAATGTTAGGTGCATCAGGCTGGTCTGACCTGTGATTATTCTGAACTTCCTCACCATATCAGCACAGAACAAGAAATTGAGTGTCTTGTACAGTCTCTAAAATATTTACTTAAAAACTTGCCAAAGCCTACTCTTGTGACCATTGCCCGGTAAGACTCGCTAAATTATTTTTTTCTTTTCCTAAAGAACAAATTCACAGGCTGATTAACTGCTATTATCTATGTACATGTTCCTGATACTGACTTTTACTATCTATATATATTGGTTTCATTATCTAACAAATTTTGCGTAATGGTGGAGGGTGAACAGAGTTAAGGCTAAACATGCTAGAGACCCTGATTCCTAAACTTTTTATTCAGAAGGTTTTCAGCATTGCAAACAAACTACCTGCCCAGGTAATTCCCTTGTTCCCCCCCAAAAAAAAAAAGAAAATCAAAACAAAAACCTTTGCCTGATTTCAGTTTTTGCTACTCGATCCTCTGTCATTGTGCTGTACAGCAGAAGGTAGTCGTGGGTTCATTCTCAAGGCAAGGTCAATCAGTACTGGGATAAATACAGGAAGATCATGTCATAGAGGAGCTGCTTTGTTTGAGATTTTTGTACTTTTCTTTCCACTTATTCCTTTAGTGGAGAGCTAAGCAATTTTTTTTTTAAGCTGTGAAATTCGTTACTAAGTAGCAAGTTGTATTTTCCTCTGCCTAGTTTTTTTCTCTTTGTGCTCTCTGGAAAGTTCAGACTTCACCAGCTTTTTGTCTTAAACCCAATCCATGGACCAAACTTTTAAAATCACTATTCTAATTATACTTTTTTTTTTGCTTTTTAAGTAACAAACCCGCAGCATATATGTTAAAATTGATAAAATTTACCTACCCTCCTCTTTAGTGAGTTCCAGGAAGGACTGATTTATTTTTTAAAATTCCAACAGTGTAATCACAAAGCACAGGCAGACTTTCATCATTGTAAAGTTCATTGGCTTGTTAGCCTTCTCCCTCTTCAACTATATGTAATTTTATTCAAATTTTGGTTACAGGTCAAGTTTGGATGACTACTGTCCTTCTGAGCAAGTTGATACTATTCAAGAAAAGGTCCTTAATGTGCTTCATACTTTGTATGGAAGTCTAGACATTCACTTGGAGTATTCAGCCAGTTCACCTCCTGCTTGAAAGGAAAAAAGACTCCTATTCCATCTAAAAAAATGTATTAGCAATGTCTCCTTAACTCTCCCATGCAGCTTCTTAGAATGAATATTTTGGTTGCTTAGAAATTTTAATTGGAGTTGTTTCTAATGATCTAATCTTCAGTCTCCCTTCTATCTAGGTTATTGAATATCAAATATGCCAGTTTGTAGAATTACTATTTCACTATATCTTTTTGTCTATCTTTTCTCTGTCCTCCACGTCCCCTCCCAACCCAATCCTGTTTCTCAGACCTGTAAGCTAAAGTACAATGGACCCTGCTTGCAGGATTAAGTGGTAGAAGGGGCCTTACAAGTCATGTAATCCAACCCCCTCCTTTTAAAGATGAGGTAACTAACTAGAGAGCTAGGTGGTCCAGTGGATACAGTGCTGGGCCTGACATCAGAAAGACTTTTTTTTTGTTTTGTTTTTTTCAAATCCCAAAACATTTATTTAGGTACCACTCAGAATAAATATACTTATGCACACACAAAAAATAAATAGCTACATATGAGCTTATAGTAAAAACAAGTATACCTTCCCTGTGGCATTAGAAAGATACCCCTCATTAAGGATCATGAGGTGGATACTCTCAATTTGGTCTCATTGTCTCCCTGAGTTTTCCGCTAAAGCCAAGCAGGCATAAAATTGCACAGATTGGAGATCTTTGGCTGAGCAGCTCGACTAAGTTGCTGCAGAGATTAGAGTTTGTAGTGTACTAGGAGGCTGTGACAGTTCTCAGTAGATCCTTTGAAACATTGCAGTTTTTCCATTTGTTTAAACAGATCAACCTGCCTTTTCAGAATCCTAAATCAGATAATGTGGGATGGAGGATGGGGAGTGATGGATAAATGGAGATGCCTGAATGGAATTCTCCCATTGGCCAAATTGAGTATTTGAATGTTAGAAGCACTACATCAATAAAATGTATATGACAAACCCAGTTAGGGTTACCTACTCAGTACAGTGATAAAGAGCTCTTCAAGTAACAGTCATTGAGATCTATTAACTTAGACGCTAGGGCAGCAAGGTGCCACAGTGGATAGAGCACCAGCCCTGAAGTCAGGAGGACCTGAGTTCAAATGAGGCCTCAGACTAGCTGTGTGACCCTGGGCAAGTCACTTAACCCCATTGCCTAGCAAAAAAAAATAAATAAAAACAAACAAATAAGAGGTAAAGTCTTTGTCTAAAATGTGGTAATAAGCAATTCTTTACTCACTGGAAAAAGTAGCTTTTTGGGGGACTTTTCTACAATTTTTAAAAAATATATTTTCCAAGAAATCTTCAGCAGTGAATCTTTCACATTTTGTCTACCCTGATAGTGTTCTTCAAGGCACGTTTCAAGAGATGGGTAGCAACCACTTCTAGGAGATGCTGTAAGTTATTGCTCACTTTTTGTCTATTTTCAGTTGTCATTTGTAACACCAGCTGGTATTGCTGTTGAATGTTATCCCATGCCTTCACTGAGGCCCTCATTAACTCTACTTTCAACTAAATGTTTATGTTTTTCTGGGGACTTTACTTCAGTGGCACATTTTCTGTCTTTCTCTTCAGCTTCCTTAATTTTCTTGTTGTTTAAGATCCTTTATTTTTGGATTTCATCATTTAACATTTTTATACCACTTTTCACTTCTGTTACCATACATCCGTTACCCTACCATGCATTCTGTTATCCTTGTTCTAGGGTCTCTTCTGAACCAATTTTTTTGTGCTTATTTATTTTTTGTTTTGGTTCACAACCTCCCTAAGTGGTAAATAGACTTGAATCCTTATTTGACAGGATAATTTGCACCAGCCTCAGGATTAAACTTAATTTCAACTTTTGTTCTGTCTCTAGTTCTGTGGTTAATTTTTTGATAGTTTACTGGAATTAATTTCTTTCATGATGTATTCTCTATGTTGGCAGTTGAATGCTTGTGGCTATCAATAACATTTTGTATCTGGGCTTCTCTTTATTTCTTCTAATTCTAGTTCTGTAGGAGCTTCTTTATTGAGACTAACTTCTGGTCAAGAATGGTGGAAGAAGACCCCAAATTGTTCATATATGTCTGGTACTTCTGAACATCTGCTTCTAAAGATGATTTCAAATTTTTTAGTGATACCAGACTTATTTGGCTTGTTTTTTCTCTCATTCCAGTCTTGCAGTTGCTTCAGTTAACCTTTTGTTTCTGAAGCCAAAGATTCTAGCTTGATCCCTGTGACTTTTCCAGTCTTCTTACACCATAAGGGTAAGACAGATAATGGTGCTTGGATCAAGGAGGCTAGGGTCAGGGAGAAGGGTCCTGGAGTCGCCAACAGCACCCCAGGAAAGTGTTGGTGCTGCCATCCAAGACTTATTTTCATGAGTTCAAATCCAGTCTCAGACACTAGCTGTGTGACCCTGAGCAAGTCATTTAACCCTGTTTGCTTCAGTTTCGTCATCTGAAAATGAGCTAGAGAAGGAAATGGCAAAAGACTCCAGTATCTATGCCAAGAAAATCCCAAATGGGGTCATGAAGGGTTGGGCACAACTGAAAAATAACTGAACAACAATGTCCAGAGAAGTTAAGTCATTTGCCCACTCAGATAATAGCCAGCAAAGCCAAGAATTGAGCCCAATTTGATTGACCCCAAGTGACTGATCTAACACTCTTTCCATTGTCCTTTGTCCCATATTGCTGCTCTAGATTTAGCTTTATCTTTACCACTTAAAAACGTGTCTAAACTCTTATTTTTAAACATTCTTTAATGGTGTATCAGTCTCAAAAAGGTAACTCCCTAGAAGGCTGACCAGCTCATGATAGTTAATACACCATCTCATACTTGTGTTGATTATGTGGCTCAAATTACAAGTCAGCTCTCTATAACATTGGGAAAGAGTTAATTTGAACTTTTGTTGTTGTTTCAACCCTGTCTGACTCTTCATGACCCAATTAGGAGTTTTTTTGGCAAAGATACTGGAATAATTTGCCATTTGTTTTTCCACCTATTTTTTAAAAATGAGGAAACTGAGTCAAATAGGGTTAAATGACTTGCCCAGGGTCACACAGCTAATGAGTGTCTGAAACTGGATTTGAACTCAGAAAGATGAGTCTTCCTGATTCTAAGGCCAATGTTATATCCATAGGATGAATGAAATTTTACCTTTCTTGAAGAAGGCATTTAAGATACTGTAGGGCCTTTGGGTTTTCATTTTGAACGTGTTACCATTGCGAATTTATAGAGAGTTCTGACAAATAGCATGGCATCTTTGAGTATAAGTATTAGGGGAGGGAATCAAGTTTTCACTTCTGACCTGTTATATTATTAATATCACTGAGAACCCAGACGTACCATGGTTTAATAATCATCAGATATTTAAGAGGCAGTGTCATGTCATGGAATGCAGCCTAGTGTTACATAAAGGCCACATTTCATTCCTGCCTTTTTTCTGCCTTGACAACACTCACATCCCTTCCTTTCCTCCTCTTATTCTGGGAATGGTAATTGAATCAACATTGTCCTATCATTCCTCAAAAGGATGGGTCAGTCAATTGCCCTGTGACTCAGTTTACTACCTTATGACTTCCTAGACCACAATACCCCTATATTTGTTACCTTCTGTTACAATGTAAGCTCAGAAGAAAAATCTTTTTTTTGTGTGTGCTTTATCCACTGGGTTTGGTATGTTGTATTAGCTTAATAAATGTGGAGGGTTTTTTTGTGTTGGTTCCCCCACCCTCTCCATTTAAAGCATATTGAATTTGAAATCTGGAAGACCTGGGTTCTAGTACTGCCTCTGACACTTATTATCTATGAGTCCATGGGCAAATCATTTACCCTTTCTAAGCTTTAGTTTCCTCATCTGTAAAATCAGCTGACTGCCCTACTCTGGTAGTTCTCTGACTTCTCCATCATGCTCCAGAAAACTCATTGTTGGGAAAACCTCTTCATCTTATGAGATCTTACCAGCCTAGGTACTCTGCCTCTTCACCACCCTCTGCCCTCTCATTGGAGGGTAAAAGTCCTGAACTCCAAAACCTCCATTTAAGAAAGGAGCTCAGCTGAAAACTTCTGATTTCCCACTTGGCTGCATTATTTTGGGATATCTCTGAGTTCTCACCATGTTCCAGATCATTGAATACCTTCCCTCTGCCTCTGTTTCGGCTTTCTTTTGTGTGTTGTCTTCATTAGATTTTAAACTTATTGAGGGGAAGGACTTTTTTTGGTTCTTTTTGTATTTGTATTTCTAGCATTTAGCACAAAGTAGGCACATGGTGAATATTATAAACTATTAACTCAACTGTCTGGTATTTTGAAGATCAAATGAAATGTTATGCATGGCACTTCGCAAACCTGAAAGCACTTATAAATTTCAAATAATATTCATAGTATTGGTGCTTTTCACATTTTTCCATTTATCATAATCCATAGACAGCTATTTTTCTTATGTGGTAGAAGATCCTGTGCAGTAGCAGCAGCCTTTCTTGGAAATAAATAATGCCTTTGAGGGTAAATTACAATACTGTTACAATTCAGTAGATGGTGCCATCTACCAGGCTACAAATGATCTTGTTCTCTATCTGCACTCAATGGTTTGGTGTGAATTGATTTCACAAAGCAGATAGCAGCATGTCCTGCTCACTTTCTGGTGTGAAACCAAAACTGATTTGTTTTCTATTTTGATATATCATGTGCTAAGAAATTTGGAGTGTTCTTGCTTTTTGTCATTTAAAGCCAGAACTGGAGGAAATTGAGAAAATCTCATTTATTTCTGTTTGGTTACTATTTTTTTAAAGTTCTGAAGAGCATCATATATAGAAAGTCCATAGAAAAGAAAATTTGAGTAAATTTTATGTATCAAAGGAGGCATGCTTACAGAGTTTTTAAAAATTTAAACTATAGGACTAATAAATTATCTTGGAACCACAGTGTTTTGAATTGGTTTACTGAATCTTTTATTATCCCTTTTTTTTTTAATTGTTTTCCACATTAAACACCAATGTCAGAATAAGTACTATCTTGGCTGATGCTTGTGAAAATGTCTGGGAATTATGAGCACCTGAGGTCCTTAGTGGTAAGTGTTCTATTTGAGACCAGTTGGGCTACTTCATTAGCCTCCCTGTTTTGTCACCTGGCATGCCCTTACCACCCTGTCTCTCTCCACCTCCCCTCCCCTTCCAATTCTAGAACCATAATTCAGTCTTGCCAGGAGTATCTGAAAAGGTATGTCAATCTGCTGTCTTCTGGGCAGCAGATTTTTAAACTTTTTAAAACAAAATGTCCAGCCCCCAGCCACTCTCCCCTTCTTGTAAGTTCCTTGATGGTAGGGACTGTCTTCACTTTTTTTTTATCCCCAATACTTGACACATAAGTGTTTATTAAATGTTTTTTCATTTATTAAAATGAGAAAGTGACTGACACACCAGTTTCCTCTGTAGGAGCAGTCCTTTCAAAGAGTAGAAGATGTAGCATTTGCCAGTTGAACCAGAGCAATTTAATACCCTTTTCAAATAAACATTTTGGCATTTTGGAGAGGAAACTGCCCTTCCCCATACAAATTAGGTAGCACTTCATGGAACTTTGAGTTGTGTAAAAACAATTCAGAGCCATGCCTTAAAAATTAGCTAATATCCTCAGCTATATAACGTTTCCTCTATAGAAGGCATTTATAATTTCATATATCTTTTACTAAGTGCCCCCAATCTTCCCTGCTTAACATTTTCTGCTGTGTGTACATGGAATAGAAACTATCCTGGTCCTCACCACCTGGAAAACTAGGTATGTTAGATTTTACCCCTCTGGGATTCTCCAGTACCCTTAAGGGAGTTTGGGATGTTTAGAATCTCTGCAAAGGCTCTAACTCCTACCAATAGTGTGCCCTTAATTGTAGGGGATGGTCTTTTTCATCCCCATTACATTTAATAACTTAAAAGTGATATTAGCTGTTACATGAATATTTACTTCAAAAAGTTATAATTGGGGCAGCTAGGTGTCGCAGTGGATAGAGTACCAGCCTTGGAGTCAGGAGGACCCCAGTTCAAATCCAGCCTCAGACACATAACACTAACTGGCTGTGTGACCCTGGGCAAGTCACTTAATCCTGATTGCCTCACCCCAAAACAAAACAAAACAAAAAGTTGTGATAACAGATATACAAACATACACTCCCAAATGTGGGAGGCAGAACCCCCTACTCTTTCACCCAGCCCCCTCTCAAGCACTACTTCATTCTCTGGGGAATTGAAAAGGGTTAGGTCTGTCAATAGGACCAGAACTGGCCTCCAACCTGTAGACGGCCCGAGTCAAATGGAGCAGTCTACAGACGGGAGAGTCAAGGATCAAACAGAAGTTTAATTTTCAAAGTGAAGGAAACCACTTGCAAGCGATGACACATGCTTAAGCCTTGCTCCTGGTTGGGGAGCCCAAAGTAGTGTGGGGACCTCTCAGTATTTATCAATGGCTACGAAGTTAGCTGTAGCCCTGACAATGAGGGGTAATTGCAACAATGAGAAGTTTGATTCATAGCTGGGCTTCATGACCAGAACATTGGTACTTGACTGTTGCTTCTCTGAGCTCAACACCTGGTGCTGGTAAAAGCAACACATCATGTATTTTGAATTTTGCCAGAAGGTGAGATGATCCAGAGAGTGAATACAAAGGTTTGTTGTTATGCCAAGTGCAGGATGCAGTTTGCTTGCTGGGTCCTAGCTCTGGAAAACGGTATCTCATAATATCCTGTTAATCTTTTTTTTCCCCTTAATTTAAAACATTTATTTATTTTTAGTTTTCAACATTCACTTCCACAAAATTTTGAGTTCCAAATTTTTCTCCTTGTCCCTCCCCCCACCCCAAGATGGCATGCA